CTAGGTAAATATGTAACCAAATTAAAACGTTCAAAACGTAAAAAAATGTGCATGGTTGAACATTGTCAGAAAGTAGATTCTTGAATAGGTTTTGCCAAAATGGGTTCAAAAATGTCAATAATTAATTAAAAAATACAGTAGCTTTATAATTACTTATAACTTACCGAACTTGATGAACGACATCTTTTATTGGAAAGATGAGCTTGATGAGCTTTCATCATCGCTACTGCCTGAAGCACCAACGTCAATAATGAATGGCTCGACTTGTTCCTCTAAAATATTGTCCAGTTCCCATATTCTCTTTTCAACTTTGTCTTTCACGTGCTTAATACAGTTTTCCCATTTTTGCACTGTTATTAATTCTAGTGCTTCTTTGAAAAGTCCTTTGAGGTCACAAAATTTAAAAGTTGTATTGTGCTTAGCTATATAATTTTTAACCTCTGCCCATATGAGCTCAATGGGATTGAGCTCGCAATGGTATGGAGGTAAACGGAGCACAGTTTTATTTTGACTTGCTGCCATTTCGTCAATGGCGTATTTTTGATATTCCGCCTTGTGATCCTTGACAATTCTTAATAATTGTACTTTCAGCATTGCTTCTTCAAAGTTGATATTTTTCGAGCGGAGCCAATTTTGAACATCAACTTTCCTTGAAGCCGTTGTTGGGACCTTCTCAATTCTTCGAGAATGATAAGGCGCATTATCCAACACAATTACTGCGTTTTCCTCTAAGTTCGGTAAAATTTTTGAAAACCACTGTTCAAACGATTCGCCATTCATTTCCTCGTGGTAATCTCCAGTTTTCTTGGACTCAAAGCACCACAGACCGTCAACAACAAATCCATCCTCACTGCCAATATGGCAGATAATGAGCCTTTTCCCTTTACCTGGAAATCGAAGTACTAACTGGTGTAGATTTATTTCAATAAGCGAACCTTTTTCAAATGTTTTCATCACATTCAGTGAAAAAAGAAAGAATATTGAACGTCGTATGATTACTCAGCGCTTCACAATTTAATTTAAAGTTATAAACCTTTAAAAAATGAATGATCAGGAACCTGAAATACGCGCAAATATTAATATTAACAAATTATAACTTTATAAAGCTTAAAGTATGAATTAAAATGATTAGAAATATTAGGAACGGTACACAATATAAAACTTAGTAACTTTTTTTAAGTTTATAATATTCGACATATTTTAAGATTATATTAAAAAATTATTGAAATATCGAAAACACATAAAAACATGGCCTAAAAAAGTTCTAACAAATGAAAATGACAATAAAACATCCACGCATTTTATCGAAAGTTATAAAAGTTTTGTTACTTGTAATATGTTTTATCTGCCCCCTGGAATTAATGTTTAGAACCTTGTTCCCAAGGTTTGAAAAACATCCGATTGTTGTCTATTACTCGTATTTACCTGCTGGATTTTTTAATCCGGTGGACAGTCCATCTAGAAAGGCCCTCCTGGATAAAGTTACAGAATCATCAACCCATACTTTACTTGTAGTGTGTCCTGCGTTTACCCACGTTTCATCAAGGTAATAAATCTTCCTGTTTTGATTTCTATATTTCCCAATTTTTGTTAAATAATCCCTCCTCCATAGCACAATTTCTTCTCTATCCAGTAGTAAACTATTACGACCCCGTTTTTTCCATTTGAAATTTAAATGCTTCAGTAACGCATGGAAAGTTGATCGTTTGAAATTTGGCAACGTTGTATCTCCATTTACCTCCTGCAGTACTTTATCTATAGTAGGTATTTCATTCCTAAAGAAGAATTCATGCACTTTCCTCCTAATCGCATGCTTATCAGCTTCATCCAATGATTTAACAATACTTTTGCGATGTTTACTGGTCATTGGCTCAGAAAAGGTGTGATTTTTTTGTATTGTCTTAACACATTAAACACTGATGCGCGACACACCCCAACTTTGTGAGAAACCTTCACAACAATTTCTTTGATGGTTGATGCCTCGTTCTCCTCGCGCTCGATCTTATGTATATATATTCAAAATGACCTCTTTCATTTCTGCACTCAGGTGTCTTTTTTTAGAGCGTTTCCTAGGTGGACTAGAGGAGTTTACAACTTCATCGGCAGTATCTGTACTACTGGGCATTTTGCGCAAGCAGTTGATAACAATAACAATCAATAACAAGGTATAACAATAACAACGACAAACTCAACAACTTAATAAGATAACAAACGAAAACGTCCAAAGAAATATCAAATTGCAATGATGCACACGACATACGTAACACGTCTGAACCTGAATTTGACTTTGCCTTGATACGACTGCTCTGCCGCTCGGCATAGGCATTTAATTGCGAATTGACCAATGAGGGCTCCTGTTTTACGTCGAGACGGCGGCGTTAGCGTGAAAATCACCCGAACCTTTTGTTTACATCCGGTCTATCTCTTATCTGAATATGCTGTAGAAACATTTTTTCTGATCTGGTTCGCTTAGAAATTCATTTAGATAAAATGAATAATCGTAAAACGTTTCAGAGGTTGAGATTATGCGTTAGTATAACCTGACAGTTCCATCTGGTAGGCTTAGAAATCGTTGACTGTTTTTTTTATTTTCAACTAACGAAATTATATTTTTTTCAGTTCATGGTATCTGAACTACCAACTTCTAAACCGCAAGAAAAAGAAGATCAGCACAAAGTAAGCACTGTAGTTGGCGGATACGAGAGCAGTGAAGACTACACTTACATCAGGGGTAGAGGTAAGATTTTTCCATCTTCCGTATTTTTTCATTCTTCTCCGCGTGAAGTAACTTGTGAAAATACACCATGAAAACAGAGAACAAGTGTTTCGCGTATGAACTATTAAAGTTAAATATTATTGTTTGTGATTTTCGTGTATTTATTTTTAGGAAGGGGACGCTATGTATGTCAACAGTGTGGTATAAGATGTAAAAAACCTTCGATGCTCAAAAAACACCTCAGAACGCACTCGAACGATAGACCTTACACATGCGAAAAATGTGATTTTAGGTACGTTTTCATTTCCAAAAGTAGTTAATTATCCTTTTAACACACATTACACATTCCGCTCTAAACGAAATGCCGGAAGAATCTCCTCACATTATGCTGAAGTAGATCCTATCATTTCTGGAAATTAATTTAAATAAATGTTGTTTCAGTTTCAAAACGAAAGGGAACTTAACCAAACACATGAAAAGTAAATTACATACGAAAAATCACTCGGCCAGTTTCACACCAACACAGAGAAATACCGAAAGCTCCGATTCTGACTGTGAAACGGGCGACGAAGATTTTAGCGGTAAATATTCCTCACCTATTGTAGCTTAGAAATGTGTCGTATTTTTACAAGTTACTCCATTTTGATGGGTTCGTAGATTTATGTTTGTAGCTCCATATTTTGTGGGGGGAAGGTACAAGGCTCAAATATTAACCGGATTTTATTTTAATATTTATTTGTAAAATAATACAAAAATGCTGTTGATTATTTTTCTATGTAATCTCCTCTATGCTCTACATATTTTTCCCTACGATTTGGAAGGAAGTATTTACAGAATTCGGTTTATATTTGATCCGTCCTCGTATGGTGTTTCTTAATGCTTTTCATCTAATTGTTTTTTTCAATCGTAATTTATTAACAAATAAAAGTACAGCTCTGATATTGTATGGGAATATTCCTTTTTTATAGTAGAATATAATATACAGGGTGTCCGCAAAGTTGAGGTTTTCCTTTTCAGAAACAATTACCCTTGAAATAACAAAGGTAATGTGTAGTGAAACGAGGGCGACCAAGTAAAAAAAAATAAAGGAAAAAGTACTCGCTCTCCAGTTGACGAGAAGGGCTAAGTACGTCTCTGGCCGAAATCATACCGCTCCAACAGAAAATGAAATCAGCTGATGTGCTACCGAGCAGACGCAGGCAAACAAGGAAGGCAAAATGTTGCGTAAAAAGTCTAGGTATTGCATCCCGTCCAATCGATTTGGAAGAATAAATGGTCCAAACATGAGTGTTGCGAAAGTTATTCACCCCATTACGCGTGAACGTAGATTCGTCTGTCACCAATATGCACTTCAAAAAGTCCGGATTATTGTCATGTTGATGCAACAACCACTCACAAAACCGCACTCTTGCTGGACAATCGTCAGGTTGAGGGGCTTGTACACTTTGGACGTGAAACGGATACAGCCCCTCTTTACGCAGCGTTTGACACACTTTAGTTTTTGATACTTGCACTTCTCTAGCCACGTCTCTAGTGATTGTTGAGGGATTCTCGTCTACGCGATTACCTCTACACGCGTGACCGTAACCGTCGGTTGAAGGTTGCGTACTGACCTGACACACTGACCCCGACCCAGTTCTGTCGTCGGGTTGAGCTAGTGTCTTAGTACCACTCGGGGATGTCGCGGCTACAGGGCGGCATTCAGATATTTTTGATGTTGCAGAGCCCTTTATCTCGGTTCCCTTAAGACATTGGTGTATATGGTACTAAGAAAAATTGCTTATGTTTTCAAGATCTACACGTCGTATAAAGGAAAACCCCAACTTTGCGGACACCCTGTAGAATACTTTCTTCAAAAGATTTTTGCTTTTTTTGGAAACGCAAAGATTTTTTGAAAAATAAATGATAATGTTTTTTAGTTATCTCTAGACGCATCACGAAATTATCAGATGAAAAGTATTAAAAATACTCCTCCAAATAGGCAGTTGAAATAAAAGTGATGTCCAACAAATTCTACCAGAAGTATTTTTGCATCTGATCGGAAAAATATTCTGATCCATTGTTTTGTATTATCTAAATATAAAAGGACCTCTTTTAAAGGATCTGCACGTTGCCAGGTGCAAAATTTTGACAAAAATTGTTTGAACCATTTTTTTTACAAATTAAAATACTTTTTTTCGCGGTGTTTTGTACAAAAATGGTTCGTGAACTTTTCTCTAGAGCTGATAGTTTTCGATATACAGGGCGTAAACGTTATGATAGTCATTATTTAAATGGGTGGTCGAGGGGGTTGAAAGAAGCAAAAAGGGGGTCAACACGGCATTTTTTTAGAGAAAGCGACTTTAAAGTAAAATAAAATCTGACAACGCCGCAATGACAGACGGAACGCAGTGTAAATAAAGATGGAGTTTGTTATTTTTGGCTCTTAGGTATTATTTGATAATGTACTCGTAAAATGCAAACAATTAAAAAAAACGGACTTACCACTAACTGTCTCACCGCTTCACCTGGTGTGTGAAAGTTTATTGAACGTCTTAAAAAATCCACTTATAAATAGGGAACACAATTTTGATACATTGTTTTTCTTTTTAAAACCCTCACTGCACTGTTTTTGTATTTAAAGGTGTTCAAAATGTCGTCCTCCACTTTCCATTACGACGATCCCAGTTTCTTCTTACTCTAGGTCCTCGAAGTTGTCCATTTATTATTTCAGCCGCATAAAAAATTCTTTCGATGTACGCGAACAAAAACAAAACAACATACTAACCACTGTTACCGTTTGCGATCGATTGCAGGTTCGATAAGAGTGATGATTGACCGACGCGCTGTTGTCATGTGTGTTTTAAATATTCAATTTGATGCTTACTCACTACAAATTTAGGCTTAACTTAGAAAAACTTAACGCCATTTATTTGTTAATTACCCAATTTAAAAACGTTTTACATTAGATTAGTAAGATTGTGGCCGATATAAAGCACATAAAGTTGTAAAACAAAGCCATTTAGACAAAAATCTATTGACTTTTGGACCATGGGTCATATGAACTTTTTGACTTGTTTTTGCCCCTATTACCCATTTCAATAATGACTACCATAACGTTTACACCCTGTATAAGCGATTTAATATTTGAAAAAGTGCAATATGTGCCATTTTCACTCCAAAGAATATGAAAAAACGGAAATATTAAATTTACGTTTTTAAATGCTTTTCAACCGTCCATTAACAAAATACCAAAGCGTTTTAGGGGATAAACGAAACCTTTGTTTTTTATTTGTTCAAGATGTATACTAAGTGACATATAAATCCGAACACCCAGTTTAAATGGTTTTATTGTAATAAAATTTTCTATAAGTACTTAATGAAGCATAATAAGTAAATGATAAACATTTCAAAATGATTGCACTGCTTTAAAGCCCTTTGACCTTTAATAATGTGTGGATGCACCCTGATGTGCTACGCATTCTCCAACGCGCCTAGGCATGCTTCTGATCAGGTGGTCAATATCCTCCTGTGGTATCTCATTCCAGGCAACCACCAACTCCTCTCGAAGTGCTTCTAGAGTCTGAGGAGGACGTTGCAAATTGAGCAATCTCCTATCCATCATATCCCACACGTGCTCAATTGGGGATAAGTCGGGAGATCTTGGTGGCCATGGTAACAATGTGACATCATTATGTTGGAAGAAGTCTATTGTGACTTGCAACATGTGGTCGGGCATTATCTTGTTGGAAAGTTGGATCTGCCAGGGTGTCAAGATAGGGTAAAAGATGGGGTTCTAGAACTTCGTGGATATAACGCTGCGCGTTCATGTTACCTCTGATGAAGATTAAAGGTGACCTGTAACTATAAGCTATAGCACCCCAAACCATAACTCCAACAGTGTGATGAACATGTCTTTCAACAAAAAACTGTGGATTCCTCCTTTCACCACGTCGCCTTCTAACCCTGGCACGACCATCGTGCATGCCTAAACAAAATCGAGACTCGTCACTAAAGACAATACTGTTCCATTCCTGATCCCAGAGTGACCGTTGTCTGCACCAATCAAGTGCGGTGTTCTCGAGTTAAAGGGAGGACCCAGTGTGGCCGGTATGAAAACAAGCCAAAACTTCTCATTCGTCGGTAAACACTTCGCATGCCAATAGGTCTTCCGTGTTCTGTAAACCATTCATTTGCAATGGACCTGGTAGTGGAGAAACGGTCCCTTAAGGCCAATAATCTTAGGCGGCGATCTTCACGGTCTGTTGTTCTACGGCGGCGTCCAGTGCCCCTTGCTCTTTGCGTACGGCCTTCTCGAAGCCATGCCTGACAACACCTAACCACAGTGTCTACACTTCTTTGCACTCTAACTGCAATTGCCCGAAAAGAAAGTCCAGCTTCCCGAAGTCCCACTATACGGCCCCTATCGAACTCACTAAGTTGACGAAATCGTACAGGTCTCCGTACTCTAGGCATCGTAACCGATCGTAAAGGATGTCAAGAACCAAAATCCGCCAACGTTGATTCTTTACTGCGGCTGAAATATTCATTTTTCGAGCGTTAGTGAATTAAAAAAAAGCAGTATAAAAACCGGAATGTCCAACTGATAAGGCTGAACATTTTTTCACCTGTTATTTACAGTACGATAAATACATTCACCAACTTTTAAAATAAAACCATTTAAACTGGGTGTTCGGATTTATATGTCACTTAGTATATTTAGCATTAATGCTACAGTGTCAATTTTGTATAACTATTCGTTTACACATTTTTTGAATCCATTTTCTGTAATTTTAAATTCTTGTCTATTAAAATTACATCACTATGCATTTTGAGTATACATAAATGAATGACACTGTTTGATATCATTATTCAATTTATCAAATTCAAATACTCCCTTTTGAAATACAGATTTCGTATATCCTAAAAGTTTTCGCACAAAATATTCATCGGATTTTTTTTTTTTAACGAAGAAATTTATTTAAACACTAATAGTTATCATAAAGAACAACTCTATAAGTAACTAAACTATACTATCGAATTATGTGGAGTGGCCTATACTGCTCTACCAGACGCAACTTTCTTGGAATGTTTCTCATGAGGTCCTGGACGGAATTCAGACCAATTTCTCTCAGTTTTTCTTAAATTCGCCGTCTTCATTGTTCTTCAACTTGGCCTTCCCAGCCTCCATGATCAATCTTCCTAGACAGTAAAAATCCTCTATTGGACGAGCCTGTGACAGTTATCAATATAGCTCTGACTATTCAAAGCTTCACCCCGCACTTTTTCCACAAAAGGTTGGGATACACCCCTGTTAAAAATTGCGGACCAGACAAGGATTTTATCTGCAAATTTCGCTTTATGTTTGCTTCCAACATTATCTACGATGTCCATATAAAATCCCTCGTTTTCCTTCATTTCAGAATTACTCAAAGTGAAATACTAAAATTATGATTTTTCTACTGGCAAAGGAATTTAGCTTGAGAGGATTTGGGGCACTTAAGTATCTTTCGATATTTAAGACCATTCCTCCTCAACTCCAACGATATCGTACTCTAAGAAGATCTGTACTGACGAGCCAGTCTCTCCGACCTCTGCGCAGTAAATGCACGTGGTCTTTCACTTTTTTATACCAAAACTTTTATCCATTGCATGAAAATTTTCTTTCTAGACGAATCGACGAGACAACAAGAGCACGAAGCAGCCTACGGCTTACTCTCCCTCTCTCAGAAACCGACATCCGGCAACACCGTCGCTGTCCAACCGAACAACTCTTCGGAAATCTTCATGAGCACCGAAGAGATCGCGTATGTGTCGAAGACCAGCTACGCAAAGAACAAGATCCTGGACGAAAGGAACGTCGGCGGATTTAAGAAGATGAACGAGGTTCCTGTTTCTGCAGTTTCCGAGCACGGGAAGCAGCAAGGAGTTACCGAGTATTTGGGGAAGTGTACAGTCAGGCCGTTGACGTATCCGTACACCACCGTTTTACAGGATAAAGAGGTAAGTTGTAAGTTTTTAGAATGTTTGTGATCTTGGTTTGCTACTTGCCGCTGTTTGCAAATTATGAAAGAAATCGTGGAACTGTTGCGTCTTGTAGAACTTCGAATTTCGCTGTATTTTCACTTGAAACTTAAAGAGATCATTTTTAATGAAAGCACGCTTGCCTAGAACATTTTTTCCCAAAACACTGTATTTGTAGCAGTTATTTTTACCATTATTTCCACCGCCATCGGCCATATGACGTTGACATCTGTGCATATGTCATGTATGAGAGGCGCTTGCCTGCGGTGTTGCCGGATTGGGCTCCGCATTTAGGAAAAAATATGAAAAGTGGAAAATTTATAATACATACAGGGTGACAGGTAAATAGGTGTAAAACATTTTAGGAGGTGATAGTACAGCTCCTTTGCTATCAAAATTAGTATATAATACCATACCCTATATTCAAAGGTTAAAAAGTTATGGAAGATTTAATTTTTTTTAAAAACAACCCAGATTAAAGAGTAAAATAGTTGAGATAAAAAAAAGTTGGTGATTAAACATTCTTTTTTTGGTGGTTTCAGGTTATTATTTAAATAAATAATTCTCATAAATTAAAAAACATATGAAAACACTACTGAAAACGTATTTATTTTCATTTAAATGTTAAATGAAAATTTTCATTTTCAACTTTCACATTAAGAAGTCTTTTTTTTTCAAAAAAATCATAATAAAGAAAATGTACAAATAACTGCAAAAACTTCCTCGTTTCATTAGGTTTCTAAAATGGTATAATAACATATCAGTAAGTAAACCATTTAACAAAACAATATTACTTTGCTAGAAAGCGCATTTCATTGTACTGAGCAGGTAAACCGAGCCTTTCATGGTTCGACCCTTTTTGTTATTTTTTGTGCCCTGTGCCGTTATTCGGGTTTAAGTATTCGGAATCTGTCGTCGCTCCTCGGAAGCAAACTCTGCGTGTGTTATGAATCGACACAGCTGACGGATCAAGGAAAGGGAACGAACGCTTAGGTTAGTTAGTAGAATATCAACCTTTAACGCGGTAGGACGTACTTTTACTTTTTTGATCAGTTTTAATAATGGCGAGTTACCGTAACGAAGAATACGCTGATATTCTGTTTTGTTATGGTTTAAGCGATGGAAATTCCGTTGAAGCCAGGCGAGAATACGAAAACCGTTTTCCGAATCGGCGAATACCGAGTCGTCGAGTATTTGCTTCTGTGTACGAACGCGTCAAGGAAAGTGGACAGGTTCATGAGAGACGTCATGATGCTGGTAGACCTCGGTTGTTTGACGACGAAGATCGAGAGGCAATACTGGAATGCTACGGCAGCGACCCGACGAGGTCTACACGAGTTATAGCAAAGCAGCTTGGTTTAACTCAGTGGAAAGTTTGGTTCGTTTTGCATTCGGCGAGACTTTACCCTTTCCATTACACACCGGTTCAAGTATTAGAAGAAGGAGATCCCGCAAGAAGAATTGATTTTTGTCGATACATGCTCCATCGGTATCAAGAAGAAAACGACTATTTAACTAAAATATTGTGGACCGACGAGTCTAAGTTTGACAGAGAGGGGACAACAAATTATCACAACTTACATTATTGGGCCCCACGAGAGGCAAATCCCCACACGGCAAAGCCAAGAGCCCATCAAAGAAGATTTTCGGCAAACGTGTGGATGGGAATCATTCATACGTATCTAATTGGACCAGTTTTTTTGCCTGACAACCTGAATGGCGAATACTATGAAAACTTTTTGAGATCCGAACTCTGGGAGTATCTCGAAGACCTGCATCTGAATATCAGGATGCAGATGATCTACCAACACGATGGCTGTCCCGCGCATTTCCGTCTGGGTGTTAGACAGTGGCTGGACGAGAAATATCCTTCGTCGCTGGATAGGCCGAGGTGGACCGACACCGTGGCCAGCGAGGAGCCCAGATTTAACACCGTGTGACTATTATTTATGGGGGCACATGAAGTCACTGGTGTACGCTGAGCCCATAGACACTCTTGCACAGTTGAAAGAAAGAATTATTGCTGCTGCTGACACTATCAGAGGACAACTAACTGGCCGCATCACGCGTACCAACATGAGAAAAATACTACGGGCTTGCATAAGAAACGGCGGGCGTCAGTTCGGACAACAATTGCAATGAATTTTACCTTCATTTCATTATTGTATTTTACTTACCAATTGTAGTAACTTTTAGTCAGTTTTTATTATTCTGTAGTACAATTACAACTGTGTAAATAATCTAATCGTGTAACTTAACCGTAGTTTAAAATAATAACTATCCCATAGCTTACAGTTACATTATTTTCACAAAAACACTTTCTTATCAGTCAGAGAGTTGTGAAAATAGGAGACAAGCCGTTGGTAAATTTACTCCCTATTGTTGTATTACAATACATTATGTTTAGTTTCACACAGTTTTTGTGCACTTATCATACCAATTTAGATTCCTTATGAAACAAGGATATTATTTAAATTGTTTGTACGTTTTTTGTATACTGATTTTTTTGTAAAACACCTTACTTACTGTAAAACGTTATTTGTTTTTCTTAGTTAAACATTTTTGAATGAAAATAAATACGTTGTTTGGTATTGTTTTCGAATCTTTTTTAATTTACAATAGTTAATTATTGAAATAATAACCCAAAACCACAAAAAACAAATGTTTAATCGCCAACTTTTTTCTCTCTCGACTTTTTTACTCTGAAATATGGATTGTTTTTAAAAAAAATCTTAAATCTTCAATAACTTTTCAACCTTTGAATATATGGTATGGTATTATATACTAATTTGGATAGCAAAGGGGCTGTACTATCACCTCCTAAAATGTTTTACACCTATTTACCTGTCACCCTGTATATTAATTAACACAAAAACGAAAAACTGAAACAAACAACAGTAGCAAGATAAAAAGATAATAAGTATAAAACAAAAAATAACGATAATAAGCTAAAAAACAATTGTTATAACTTATGAAAAATAAAAAGTAGTAAAACAAAAAACTATATTCCATGTAATTATAAAAAACAAATAACAAACAGTAAAATAAAAAGCATTTTTTTATCATTACATGGAATTGTTTTTCATTTTACTACTGTTTTTATTTTTTGTTATCACTTAGAATAACTTTGTATTTTACTGTTTATTTTTGTGTTTTATAATTACATGGTATTTTTTTGCTTTACCACTTTTTTTATTTTTTGTTTTTTATAATTATTTACAATTTATTGTGTGTAAGCTTGCTACTGTTATTTTTTGTTTTATACTTATTAAGAACCGCTTTTTATTTTGCTATTGTTGTGTGTTTCAGTTTTTCCTTTTTGTGTATCATTGATTAATGTAAATGTACATATATAGATTTTCATTTTCCCTAAATGTGGAGCCCAATCCGGCAACACCGTAGGCAAGCGCCTCTCATATATGACATATGCACAGAAGTCAACGTCGTCATATGGCAGATGGCGGTGTAAATAATGGCAGAAATGACTGCTAAAAATACGCCTTTTGGGGAAAAAATGAATGAAAAGCGTGCTTCATTATCACTTTTTTTATTTATTTAAGTTTCAAGTGAAACAAACAGTGAAATCCGGAGTTCTACAAGACGCAACAGTACCGAAATCGTCTAACTTCATCTAAATGATTTATTCTTTGTTTCTTTACATTGAATGCCTATAAATTTCATATCATCTATCTTTGGCATTTTTGTTAAAGAGATTCGCTTTTCTACCAATTAGAACCTAATTTTTAGGTAAAATGCCACCGGCCTGCTCTCAAGAGTAGAAGAAATTTACACTTGCACTTTTGAAAAATACGAATTTAATGACAGAACTGTCAAAAAATTGACTTATGTCTGAATATATTAAAGAAACAGAAACATTTTTTTTATATCGAATTTAAAATGTATATGTATATAAATGCCCAGTTTTATAGGATAAAATACCTTTTGAATACACTTCTTCCAACAATTGGAAAAAAAAACATTTTTTTTATTATATAAATATATTTATTAAGTATTTGATCTAAAATTACATGATCGTTAATAGGAGAAGTACGATTTCCATTTTCTCTACCATTGACTAGGGGAATATGGTTTTTTCGCACTTGGGCAAGGAAAACGTCACCCATCACTGCTAAGATTGATTGTATCAGCTGAAGAAAAATCAAGTCGTTCCACAATTCTCGCTTCATTTGTACAATCGAAAATCGCCAGCATGCCACAGTTATTAACCTAAAAAAAATAGCATTGAAGTAACGGTTTATCCGAGGGTCATTTTTTAAGTAAGAACCGTTTTGTAATCCAGTCAGAGAAATTTTATTTATGAATGTAAATTGTATCACAAACTAAAATGAACATTTTCCCATTTTTCAACATAGCCACCGTAAACATTCAAACACGAGTCAAGCCGTAGCTCCAGTTTTTGTGTTATTGTAGCATCTGAAGCTTATCCTGCGGTTTTCATGACGACTATTTCCCTCGTCTTAATTTCTACCAATCACAAACGCGGAATTTTGAATTACAAATGGTTTCTAGACGGAAAAATTGTATGTCAGCATTTTTACCCGCGGCAAAACTTGTCAGCTGTTGTCACCAAAAATTACAATACCTTTGATAACTAGTAATTATGGCCTCCCAGGACAGCAGAAAACGCCGCTAAGCTAAATTTTGTAATATCGTGCTAGTCAGCTTATGTAGTGAAAATGAGTAGCTTTGGAAGTGATTCTCTTTGACTAATATTGATCTGGCGATTATGATATACCTTAGTATATGACTAATCTCTCAGTGTATGCAATGTGCGCAATTTATTAAAAAAAAAACAAACATAGGATGTCAACCCTAACACACAACTAGATGAGTATGCAAGACTCACCTCGTTTGTTGCGCAGATATCCTGTTTCCCTCAGAAGAGGTTGAGGTAGACCCAATTTCCACTTTGGATACACTTGACATCCACGTCACAACACTAAAACACCAAAACAATACTGAGAGGCAATCGAGAACCCTATAGTGAACAGCACTACTGAAAAAAAGTAGCTAAACCGAATAGAGCTCTGTGAACGCGTGGACATTCCGCTGCGTCGACGGTTGCCGAGAGACTGATGCATGTGTGTGCTGCGGTCAACGTAAACATCGAGTCGCTTCGGGAGCAGACGCACGGAGTGGGAGCTGAAAAGAGGCGTAGCTGTACTAACCGGCCGTACCGTATCGCCGCAGCGAGTTCCGCTGCGCCGACAGTTGCCGAGAGACTGATGCGTGCGAGTGCTGTACCTCGCTGCGGCGATACGGTACGGCCGGGTAGTACAGCCACGCCCCTTTCCAGCTCCCACTCCGCGCGTCTGCTACCGGTCAACGTAAACATCGAGTCGCGTACAGCACTCGCATGATTCAGTCTCTCGGCAACCGTCAGCGCAGCGGAATGTCTAGACGTTCACAGCTCCTATTCGATTTAGCTAGTTTTTTTTCAGTAGTGGTGTTCACTATAATAATAATATTTTTTCACTCAATGTACAAAGATAACAAACAATATGAGTAAATAAATATAAAATCAAAACAAGCCCAATAGAAGGCATCACCTGTACATGGACCAATAGTTTAAGTTGAAACTGTAGAATGCAAATGACAAAAAAAGACAAAAATTAGCTACAGTAGGTTATGTATTTAGTTGATGTTCGTATTCATGAGTTTATGAATTTCAGTCCTAGATATAGAATGTAGCCACTTTTTTAAATTTCTTTTGAAACAATTTCCGAAACGTAAATCTGTTAAGTCTTTAGGTATAATTTCATAAAATTTAGGCGCTAAATAGAGATATGATCGCTGAATTATAGATTTATGCGGTTGAGGAACTATTGTGCCACGAATTTTGTACCTGGTATAATGATTATGTTTAATTTTTAGGTCGGTGTTTACAAATTTATGGTAGTGAGTGATACTGTGTAAGAAATAAAGCTGTCTTATATCATACATTCGAACATCTGCGTATAATTTTTCAGTGGGATAGTTTCGGTTTTTTAAATATCATTTTTAGAATACTTTTTTGAAAACATCTAAATTATAGATATGTGAGGAACATGCAGCTCCCCATGCTAATATACCATATGTGAGATGAGGCTCAATCAGTGCATGGTATAATGTTCGAAGATATTTTTCTGTCAATATATTCCCAAGGTATTTAATTTTGTAGGATACAAATCTAACTTTCTTTAAAATATAATTGACATGGGTGTCCCATCGTAAGTGAGGATCCAAGCCCACTCCAAGGTATTTTATGTTGGGCACTCTATTAATTTGCATTTTTTGATCATTAATATTAAAGGAGAAATTTGTGTAATTTGGCAGATGTCTAGCATAAGATCCTAATGGTAAAAAATGTGTTTTAGAGTAGTTAATGCTTAATTTTCTACTGTTAAACCACCGAATAATTTTGATAAAATCATTTTCAATTACATTTTTCAGATCAGACCAGTCAGTGCCTTCATATAATGTTGCAGTATCATCTGCAAAACTAGTTATTTTGCCAACACAATTAATTTGGAAAATATCATTTAAATATATATTGAATAACAGCGGACCTAAGACAGTTCCTTGTGGGACATCACACTTAATATACATTTCTTTACTAAATGATCCTGATATCTGCACAGATTGTGGGCGATTTGACAAATAACTTTCGATCAGTGAGTACGCGTTTCCTTTGAAACCAATTCTCTCCAATGCTTCTAATAATAATTTGTGATTAACTGTGTCGAAAGCTTTCTTTAAATCAACAAAAATGCAGATTGAAGGGATTCTGTTATCAATATTTTGATGTATTTGATTTACAATTTTAGTTATTGCGTCCGATGTAGCATTCCCTTCTGTAAATCCGTATTGATTTTCACTTAAAATTTTGAATTTTGTGAGGTATCGAATCATTCTAGTAGATAAAACTTTTTCAAAAACCTTTGCTACACTGGATATTATTGATAATGGTCTATAGTTGTTAACATCTGTTTTTGTTCCTGATTTATGTATCGGTATTATATTACCTTTTTTTAAAATTGAGGGATATATGCCAGATTCAAAGCATTTGTCGATTAGGTAAGTGAGTGGTTCTGTTATGTCCTCGGCTATAATTTTCAAATGCTCGCTTTTAATACCATCGAACCCAGGACTTTTCCGATTTTTTAAGGACATAACAGTGGTGTATACTTCACATTGCTCGACTTTATCCAAAATAAATGAGTTCAAAGTTCTTTTTGGAGGCTGAGTATTTTGTACATTTGCTTGTATATTACTTGCTAAATTTTCGCCTATGTCAGTAAAGAATTGTACAAATTCATCGCATATCTGTTGAGTATTTTTCAATACTGTTCCCGATGTTGTATTTAACTCAGTGACACACTCTTTAAATTTTGTTTTCCCAGTAATCTCATCAATAGTTGTCCAAAGCCGCTTAGGATCATATAAGTTATTATTCAATTTGTTTAGGTAATGTTTTCGTTTGGTTTGCCTTACAAGCTCTATAAATTTATTTTTATATTGGTTGTAGCAGTCGGTATTCTCTGTAGTTGGCGTTAGTTTCATTACATTATATAGTCTTTCTTTTTCTATTGCCGATGATATTAATCCTTTGGTAATCCAGGCATTTCTGCTTTTCTCTTTGTGACTAATTATTACTTTATTGGTACTAATATCTATTAGTTTTTTTATTTTCTCTATGAACAGTCCCGTTGCTTTGTCTATATTATTTATAGAGTATAATTGTTCCCAGGATTCTTGTTTGACATTTGATATTAGTTATGGGGTTCTCGATTGTATCTCAGTGGCGCCTTGGTGTTGTGACGTGGGGGCTGTTGTCATGTGTATTTTAAATATTTCATTTAATGAAACTTACTTAGTGACTTTTGGACCATGGGTCATATGAACTTTTTGACTTGTTTTGACCCATTTCAATAATGCCTACCATAACGTTCACACCCCGTATAACAAAAATGTCGTTCCTATTTCAAGCTTTCGCCGCGGACGCCTGATTGTGAACCGCCTCGGATAGAAACGTCAGTAACACCAGAACCTCCAAAATCTATCAAGCAGTTTCACGTCATCCAGAAGTACGTTCAACCTCAGTTATCACCGAAGTTGCAGGACACCAAGAAGATCGAGCTGTCACCTAGGAAAAAAGAGAACAATACGGCTGTACCGGAAAGCGTTATATTGAATAACAAGAAGAATCTGAACATCACTGTTAATAGGTAAGGAAACCAAATCGCAGTATAAACATCTAAAGATTTGAAACAAAAATGAATTCATGAGACATTTTTTTTACAGGGTACTGCCAACGCTGAAGATCAACGACGTCATCGTCGCGAACGATGGCGTAGTCGATCCAAGAAAAAGGAAATACCCGCCGGTTGAAAACAGCCATAAGAACAAGATACAGAGGAACGAAGAGGTCATGGATCTGTCAAAACCTGACAGATTGAACGGCGTCGCGGAACCTGTGTTGAATAACGTTCAGAGGGCGGTCGTCGAACCGCAGAAAAATGTTGCCAACGAAATTTACAACACTTTGCAGAAAGTTTCCGACAGTCCGAATAGGTGAGTCTCGGTAATTTGCACAATGTCTATTTTGTATAATTATTCGTTTACCCTTTTTTTTTAATCCATTTTCTGTAATCTGAACTGCTACACTCTCATTTCTTGACTCAGTATATTGTGGGGTTTGGGTAACAGTCGTATCTGAATTTACCCTCGCATTTTGTATTACGTATAAAATATAATGATTTTTTCCAGGTATGACTTGAACGAGGATACGGATGATTCTTCGTACGGTTACAGACCAAACGAATCGTTTATGAACAACAGGACGGTGGTGATTGTTAGGCCTCTGCAGTCCGAGAACCATCCGAACGTTAACTTTACCAACCCTAGAGGACATTCTGACGACGGTTATGACAACAGTGCCATGGAAACGTTGGCAGATGTCGCCACTAAACAGGTGAGAAACTTGTAGTTTGAACGGGGGAATTTTTCGTTTTGACGGAATATCAAAGTTTTGCTTTCTAAAAATGTATTCGGGATGTTTTAATTTTTTCTATGGACGAGATGAATCAACACTTACTGTCCAAAGTTCAAACGGAAATTCGTACAAGGTCTGTAAATTAAGTGATGAGACTGATTTTTTTAATTTTTGTATTCACATAAAATTGTAATTTTATATAATGGGTGATTTTTTTGCTAGTATCTTTTTTGGCAACACTGTTTTTGACAGATGACGCGTGAATCGTGTCTTGTGTCATTGTCAAACTTGTTCAGTTTGGTCTATAATTATTTAACCATGAATCGACTTACGAACGAACAACGCTTGCAAATTATTGAATTTTACTATCAAAATTCATGCTCGCTTAAGAGAGTGCATCGAGCACTGCTTCCAATTTATGGGCAATTTGGTCGGCCTACTGAGGGAGCTATTCGGAAGCTTGTGACTAAATTTCGAACCCAGTTTACATTATTGGACATTATACCACCAATACGCAGACGTAGAGTGAGGACTGAAGAAAATATTGCGGCTGTATCCGCCAGTGTTAGTGACGACCGTGAAATGTCGATTGGCCGCCGTTCGCAGCAATTGGGCCTCTGCTACTCCATTACGTCGAAAATTTTACGACAGGATTTGGGTGTAAAACCTTATAAGATAAGAATTGAAGCCACACGACCTCCCACAACGTTTCCCATTTGGAATGCGCGCTGGCAAAGTTGGAGGAAGATCCACATTTTTATCGAAAAATTGTGTTCAGCGACGAAGCTCATTTCTGGTTGAATGGGTACGTTAACAAGCAAAATTGCCACATCTGGAGTGAAGAACAGCCAGAAGCATTGCAAGAGCTACCAATGCATCCCGAAAAAATCACTGTTTGGTGTGGATTATGGGCCGGTGGCATCATCGGGCCGTACTTCTTCAAAGACGACAATGGCCGGAACGTAACTGTGAATGGCGAGCGCTACCGTGCGATGATAGCAAACTTTTTTTTGCCCAAAATGGAAGAGCTGGACTTGGCTGACATGTGGTTTCAACAAGACGGTGCCATATGCCACACCGCACACGAAACAATGGCCCTATTGAGAGGCGAGTTCGGTGAACAGTTTATCTCACGTTTGGGGCCCGTCAATTGGCCGCCTAGATCGTGTGATTTAACGCCGTTGGACTATTTCTTGTGGGGCCATGTTAAGGCTAATAACTACAGGGATAAACCAGCAACGATTGACGCACTGGAAGCCAATATTGAAGCATTTATTCGTGAGATACCGGCCGATATGTTGGAGAGAGTGTGCCAAAATTGGACCTTGCGTATGGGCCATCTAAAGCGGAGCCGCGGCCAACATTTACATGAAATAATCTTTAAACATTAAATTATATCGACCGTTCTATCGACTCAAATAAAGATTTAATCGTTTATTCAAATTTTTTGTGTTTTTTTTTTAAAATCAAATCCTATACCTCTTAAAAAATCACCCGTTAGTTATGTGGTATGTATTAGTTATTAGTTTATTTAAGTTTATTAGTATGAATTAGTAAAATAAACATGTATGTCGCATACAACACTATAACTTCATTTAAGTTGGCATACATTGCTTACGACTAGGTAGGCTCACTGTTTATTCTGAAATTATCAAAGTAGCTCAGCACACTGAAAAAAGTTGGCGACCACTGGTCTACACTATGCACAGGTCGAATCCAGGCCTTTGTTTCTGGGGTATATCAAGTGCAATGATAGATGTATTTATACGCCAGAAAAGAGCGATCAGAAGCATTGCTAAAGTAAATAGGAGGGAACTGTTTAAAATCTTCTTACTTATAGTTTAGGGAACACTTTGAATCGAAGACACTCATTAAATTCCTATCATTTTACTCACCACTATGAAAAATCTTCAGTAATCCCTTTGGTGACTTAGGAGACCTGACCGCCAACTCCCGAGGTTTCTCATTCTGCACCGCTCCAGACTCCATCGGTTTCGAGGCAAACAGAACATGACTTTTTTCGAGCACTAGCGGAGACTCAGGTTGGACCACCATGCTTTGCACGGGTCTTCTTATCGCTATTATATTACTAGGCGGATACGGCGTTTCCGCAGGCTCCTCCGGGGTTATGGGCCCAGGCATACCGGGCACGTGCCTTACGACTTTTCCGTTCACGAACAGGTTCAACGGGTTGCAAACGCTGCTCGTGGGGTTCGGAGAGATATGATTTGGCTCGTAAAAGTTCTTTTTGTGGATTACGGGCTCGGCGTCAACGCGAGTATCTATCGTGAGATTGTTGTATAAAGGTTTGTTTCTGAGTGTTACTATCGGTTGTTTGATGTTCGGCGTTAGTTTCTGGACCGCCTTTTGACTAAAATCCATTATATTAGTATACTTCGTAGGGCTTGACTTAGGAACGGTAGTTACGGATTGTATAATAGTATCATTGACACGATCGACTTGCCTGTCAAAGCTAAATCTCGACTTAGAAAAACTCGCTAGATCAATACTCGGCGATATCGACGTGTTTTCGTATATCCGAATAACCTCCTGAGACATCTTTAGATCTTGTTTATCATAGTTAGTTTTGTTGGTCAAAACGGTGCCTCCTGAATGCAGACTCGATTTCACAACCCTGTTTTCACTCAATTTTCCACCGTACTCTATGTATTTAGAATCTGGTTCGTAGCTATCCACTTCTTTTCCATCAATCTGGAAACTTTGCGCCTTACCGGAAGGCGGATGCACTCTCACCTCGCCCCCGTACAATTTTACCCCAGGTTTCTTTTCTTTATCGAACGGTAAAGGCGATAGAAGGTAGTTCGGTGACGGCGATGGCTCGCTTGGGCTAGCCAGAGCCATGTTTCCTCCATCGAACGAGAAAGATTTATTTTTATCGCTATCTACGAGTCTGGTTTTACCCAAAAACGGCCCGGGCGAGTTTAAAGGGAACACTGTATTCTGAAACTGCGGTATGTTATCGAAAGCATTCTTGTTCTGGGTTAAGATGGACGCTACGTTTACAGAGCTGCTCCTCGTGTACTTAGCTCCAGAGGGTTTGCCTTTACAGTTCCTATATTTATGAATATCCAGTTCCGTAACGGTCCGAAATATCATCTTGCAATACGGACATTGCATATCGGAGGACGAGAGATTCTTCAACAACAACTCTTTGATGAGGCTTTTATGAATGACCGGTTCCGTGACTTCGCTCATGGATCGTTTCCGACTCTTGCTGAGGTTCAAAGGTTCGTCCGGAGGACTTTTAGGTTCCGTGAAGCTGTTCTGGTAGGCGGTTTCGCTGTTACAATCGTCGTTGCATCGTTTCATCGTCCCACTGTTCACTATCGAGTTATTTTTGTTGATTATTTCGTTGATGTGTTGCGAGAGCATCTCAGAAGCGGGATGGCGACCCGACGCTACCGGAGGTTCGTCTTCGGTTTCTTTCTCGAAGAATTCCTTCGCGGCCGTGTGGAAACGAGGTTTGTACGGTTTCTGAGCCGAGGAAGAAACCTCGGCCGAAGGTTCGCTGGGTTCAGTCGACTCGCTGGACTCGTTGCCTATCAGCTTGTTGCCCATGACGCGATTGGCGTGCGTTCTCGACCTGCAGTGCTTGTAAAGGTTGGATCTCGTCTTGAAGCTGAATCCACAGCTTTTGCAAGGATATGGTCGCTCGTTGGTGTGGGCTCCGATGTGTTTTTGCAGCACGCTCGGTTTGGAACATACCAGGTTGCAATACGGACAGACATATTTGCCGTTTGAGACTTTGTCGACCGTAGCAGCGGGTTGTGTATCTTCGGATCGTTCAGGGTTTTCTTCCGGTGATTTTTGGGAGTAATGCGGGTTGTAAGTAGGGTAAGACTCTTCCGGCCTGCCGTATCGATCTTCTAAAATGGAAGACGGATAATTGGTCTGTTGATCGCTATATCTCGTATCAAAACTAGCCTGATCTTCACGACGTTATATTTTATACAATAGGAAACGGACAATCAAATGACTCGACTGAGTTCAAACTTGTACTGAAGGCGGATCACATGTTCCCGTGTCTCCGCTGCAAGCCCGGCGCCTCCAGTGTTGCCAGATCGAACGCTACGTTGCCATTCACTTCACTTACAGACCTCGTTGGAGGCGGCACGAAACGGAACTAAGGGTCGTCACCGTAGTGCTATTTCTTTTTTGTTACAGGTTAAGTTGGAGAAGAATATGCTGGCGAAAAGCGTAGCGTCGGAATTCTTGAAGCTGGCCACGAAGAACGACGGTTCCGACATGAACAGGGAAACGACGAATTTCACGCCTACTTCAAAAGACGTCAACGATATCATCGTGAAATCGGAGGGGAACAAGAACTGCACAATTTGCTCGAAAAGCTTCAACAAACCTTCACAGTTGAGGTGAGAATGTTCACTGTATCTCAACAAATCACAAGAATCGCCCGAGATATTTTGCATTCGTTTTGACGTATTTTTTCGTTTCAGGCTTCATATGAATATTCATTATCTGGAAAGGCCGTTTCGTTGTGATTCCTGTTCGGTCAGTTTTCGCACGAAAGGACACTTGCAAAAACATGAAAGGAGTGCGGGTCATCACAACAAGGTGAGCTGTGACTTAATGCATATTAAAAATTATAATTTGAAAAATAAGAAAATAGATTTAGGATAGAGACTATATTTTACTGATACGGTATTCAACATAAAGGACAAAATATCTTAACATAGCAAACTTATTTCAAATTTTTGCTACATATGTTAAATTCAAATTAACAGTCTTCAGTCCATGAAACCCGAATCCATGATTCTAAGTTTTCGATGACATTGGATTGGTTCGATTGCTGCTCAGTGTTGTGAGTTTGTTCGCTTTCATCGGATTTTGGAATGTCTACGTCGTTCTCATCGAGCCATTCAACATCATGGTGCTCTAAATTTTGAATAATGCATATCAGTTGATTAGCAGGACGAGCAGCGACTCTTACAGGTCTAACTTTGCTATCAGTGTGCGTGTTTACTTTTTTATGGATATTTTCGATGTGACGATTTAGTGACTTGACGGAAGCATGATAAAGACCACACGTTTTGCATGTTCGACTTGATAGCCTCAATTTTACCGTCGGACAAACATAATCGTAGGGCATTTGCAGGAAATCTTCGAGTGAAGCAGTTAAGCGTAGAGCTAAATTGACTGGAAGATTAAGAAATTGCCCTCCTTCATCCAAAACCAAGTCATCAACTGTTTGTTTTACTTCTACAGGTGGTGGAAGAAACCTATTGTCTAGTAATCTAAATAGGCCACTTCTTGGACGACAGCATTCTGTATTTCTACATTTTACAATTTGAAGCAAGTATTGGGTCTCACGCACATGTACTGAATACCATTTAATGTCTGGAAAATCAGAAAGATCTTGTTCACCTGCCTCAACATATTTTGCATTAACATTATAGCCATCAATTTCCATTGAACTCCATAACTTCAGCTAATAAATACATTTCCTGCAAATTCGAAATTGGATCTTTCTAAATGTTTATCAATGTAACGCCACGTTCATCCAAATGAGACCCAAAATGGTCATGAGGCAATATTAAACCAGCCAGTTCCCGACTAACAGGAGCCATTCTGCGCTCTACTCTGGTATACGCACTTCTTCCAGGAGCATTGGTAGCTAAAAACAATGCATCGAGATCATGTCGCTTGAAGTGTTGTATAGCCTTTTTGATAACGTGGATTTTCATCTGGCCCTCCATCAACCGTCATGATTACCACTGGTTTTACTAGTCCATGGTCAATTTTAGCTAATGGTCGAAACTCTTCAAGTTCGAGAAGCGTCTCGAAATCCTGCGCATGAGTATTAGCAGTAGATGAACTATGCTTTCCACTTCGAATAGCGATGTATGTTGGTCCAGAATATCCAACGGCTTGCGGTTGTCCTAGCATATTGGAAGTGATTTTGATACCAGCATAAATAGATGGTATTAATTTATGACGCTCAGCGATTACCCAATCGTGATCAGGCAATTTGATTCTATATTCCATGTGCATTAGAAGAGGTGCTTGCTTATTTGCCGCAGTTACGCCAATAGGGACTCGAGCTTTATCATCTTGAGATATGAAAAATACTTGATCTGGTCCAAGTATGGATGCTATGTTCTCTAAATAAAGGATTGATGTTGCAGCGAACTTGCTATCCAAGTGGCTCTTGTGGTGACCAGTTTGAGCCCGAATGAGCTTAACAGGGACTGTCGATATCAATCAATCAATCAATCAATAACCTTTATTTCCATACAGACAATATATAATTGTATTGGAATTGTCAATTTTTCGTTCGCTACGAACCTACAACTAATCTCAAATTGCTATGTTCAAAAATTCATCAACACGATAAAAGCACTTGTTTATCAAAAATTCCTTCAACAGGAACTTAAAGGCGTTAATATTTTTAACCGAGGTAATGTGGCATGGTAAATTATTAAAAAGAAGCGGACCAATTTTATTAGGTGATCGAAATGTCGCTTTTGATTTGCTAAAGTTTACATATAAATTATTACAAGTCCTTGTATCATAATTATGCATATCACAATTTCGCTTGAATTTTTCATTATTTTTAAAAACATGTAAGCACAATTCATATATATACAACGAAGGGACAGTTAAAATGTTGAAAGTTATAAAATATTTCTTGAAACTTTCTGTTGGTGAGATGCCTGCTAATGATCGGATGCATCTTTTTTGAGACACAAATACATCTTCAGAGCGCGTTGACCAACCCCAGAAACATACTCCATATCTTAATCTCGAATCCACATTAGCAAAATAAACTTGTATCAATTGTTCAGCTGTTAAGATGGTTTTTAATTGCCTCAACACATAGCTTTGAGAGTACATTTTTGATGTGAGAAATTCGCAGTGGGCCTTCCAATTTAAGTTCGAATCAAAATGAACTCCAAGAAATTTCACTTCTCCTCTAAAATCGAGTTGATCGTCACCCAATCTAACTTGAAACCCTTCTACAGTTTTTTGAGCGTGATGAAAACGAATAAGCGTTGTTTTGGAAGGATTCAAGTAAAGTGAGTACTGGTTAAACCATGTATTGATATTCCTAATTAAGTTGTTACATTTATCTTTCAAAATTATATTTGAATTACTTGATATTATCGCAGAAACGTCATCAGCATATGCTGTAAAATGGGTATCTGGATGAACACTATCAAACCGATTAATGTATAAGAGGAAAAAGATTGGTCCAAGAATAGAGCCCTGAGGGACTCCAATCGAAATGTCTAACGTACTTGACACAAAGTTTTTCATATTGTTCCCTGCATCAAGATATTCTAGTGAAACATGTCTTCGTCCCTCTGCAGAATTAGATTTTCTGGGAATCAAACGAAGATATGTCGCACTGCGACTAATGTCAAATCCTATTTTACGTAATTCTTGTGTGAGTTCATCAAGAGTTTTTACGCTGCGAAATGATTCCGTTCGTCCTCTATTATCTGCTGCACTCCCAAATAAAGCTATATCCGCGATTGTTTTCAATAGTGAATGTTGATTGCTTTCAAGATTAGGACGTCCCACTGAATCCCTCAAAGATAGTCTTTTTTTTATTTCTGGATTTTCATGACAAATATCCTCTTTTTTTTCATACCATCCCTGTGTTTCTTCTGGGCAACTGCGTTTCGAACCTTCCTGTTTAAAGACTGTTTTGCTGTTTTTATTTCCTCGCGCAAATTAATGATCTGTTTATCAACTTCAGCACGGCTTGGCATAGTACCTCTGGCAGAATACAAAGCATTTTTTTCGTGTAGAGCAATCTTATTTTTCATAGCTTCCTGAGAAGGTTTTGCTCTCTGTTTATCTGTATTTTCATTAATTTCGCATTGCTGTTGTGAATCATTACCGGGTTTTATTTTATCTTCTTCCTCTTTTTTAATATTTGAAGCTGACTGTATAATTTGTGTTTTTTCTGCAGGTTTACAAGTTGCCTAAAAATAAAAACTTTCTATGGCTTCTGCTAAAGATTCTCTTATTAAGCTACATAAATACAAAGTATGGCAATATATATGGTAAATACAAAACCCTATGGCTTTAAATCTAATATGTTTAAACGAACAATTCGTTCCGGTCACAAAATACAGGGTGTTAGTTTTCTGTATATATGTATAAAACTAACATCCTGTACTTTGTGACCAGTTGACGGAATCAATCATAAGAAATAAATCTATAATATAATGAATATTACCTCTATACTTTGAGATAGGCCATAATATTTTCTAATCAGTAAAGAGAAACTTTTTGGCGATTTCTAATATTTCTAGTACTCATAGGTACCTAAAATGATTTCGTCACTCACCTTAGAAAAAAAATTCAGTAGATTGGATTTATTCTTAGTCGCCGCTTGCAATTCTTCTTCGATTCTCTTAGATACAATAATATCTAGTTCCTTGTCGGATTCTGCTTGTAATTTGTAATTTCGCCACACTTCGTTAACTAACTTTTGTACTTTCGTACTTGTATGAGATTTTTTAAAACTTTCAAACAATTTTTGGTATAACTTGGATTTGTCTATGTGAAACGTCATCTTGTTTAAACATTAAACTTTGGCTAATGGAATCAATGGTAACACAAATGTTAACTTGCTTTACTATGCTTACAATACGTCTACTCGCTATAGTATCCAAACGAAACAATACACTGATAGAGAAAATTTACACCGCGCGGTAATCCCCCTACTCGGTTCTAAAGCTGTTCACTAAACGTATGCATTATTTGCGGGAATCCCCGAAAATGCGTTTAGTTTGTAAAGACAATGTGAGGGTTGACATTCGTGTAAAAAAGTAAATAAATACCGATGACGTAATAATCATCTAGACCTCCCTACCCCCCATGTCATCCAAAATAAGCAAAGCAAAGACCCCCCGCCTCCCCATAGTGCTCACGTAATACTTGAACGGCCCCTAACCGATTTTCTCAAAATCAGTCCGGATGGACTATTTTCGTTATTCCCCTTCAACTGTTTTAGCCTCTCCCATTCTTAATACAACTCAGCATGGTATTTTGGTTTCACTGTTCGAAATCTGGCGATGATAAAACTGATGTTTTCACGATCGTGTTCGTTTCAGCTGTCGTCAAGCCCAGCGCTGTCCACTTCCGAGCCGAGGCCGTTCAAATGCGCCGATTGCAACATAGCGTTCCGCATTCACGGCCATCTGGCGAAACATCTGCGCTCAAAAATGCACATCATGAAGTTGGAATGCTTGGCGAAGGTGCCGTTCGGCCTCTACGCCGAATTGGAGCGCTCGAACAGTTTGCTCACCGAGATCAACACGTGTGACGGGGAGCAGTGTCTGGAGAGTCTTAAGGTAAGGATACCTTATTTGTTTGTTCAAGATTGAGTAGCTGACGACACACTGGTGAACTAAATTAAAATATCACTGGTCAACACTGGTTTTGCCACACGAACTTTGACAGCCATTTTTGTTTTATCAGTCTACCCTCATTATTACATGACAGCTGTCATATGTCTATTAGCCTCATATTTGTTGTGATACGGTAATACTCATAACTAGTACTACGGCAGTAAATTAACAGAAACGCTTACAAGTAAATCCTTATAAAAATATTTGTTGTTGAATTTGAACACTTTTTTGTGATTTATTAACCCTGTGAATATGTCGAGGAAGTGTAATAATGATCCTAACTCTTTTTGTTATGTCTGCGGAGAACTAACATTCAAAAAAAAACGACGAAATTTTACGAATCTTGTGTTGGAGTGTTATCACCAATGTTTTGGTTTTTCTGTCGCCCATCAAGACAAATCCTGGGCCCCTCATGTCTGTTGCATAACGTGTGTGAAAAATTTAACTGACTGGAAGAAAGGTGCACGATCTATGCCGTTTGCTGTACCCATGATATGGACTGAACAGCGAGATCACGTTTCAGATTGCTATTTTTGTCTCACAGACATAAAAGGTATAAATTACAAGAAAAAAACCACAGTTATTTACCCTAACTTATCTTCGGCTATAAGACCAGTCTCTCATTGTAAAAAATTGCCAGAACTAATACCAGTTGCAACTACGTCTGTTGAGAACAATTAACAACCGTCCACTTCAGGTGAATGTGTTGACGAGGACGATGACTTTGAGTTAAAAGGAATCGTAAACGAGCCACATTTGATAACTCAAGGAGACCTAAATGATTTGGTTCGGGATTTAAATTTGTCAAAAAAGCAGTCAGAACTATTAGGATCACGTCTAAAAGAATGGAATTTGCTACATCATAATACAAAAGTTAGCTATTTTCGAAACCGTGATCAACACTTCAGAACGTATTTTTCTCAGGATGGAGATTTGGTGTTTTGCAATAACATAAATGAGATTATGAAAATGTTGGACATAGATTTTGATCTCTCTCAGTGGCGTTTATTCATTGATTCTTCGAAAGCAAGTCTAAAAGCAGTGTTATTGCATAATGGAAATAAGCTTCCGTCTGTACCTCTGGCCCATGCTGCAAATATGAAAGAAACCTATGAAAATATGAAACTTTTACTTGAAAAAATAAATTACAGTACATATTCCTTCAAAATCTGCGGTGATCTTAAAGTTGTTGCACTATTACTTGGACTTCAGCTGGGTTATACAAAGTTTTGCTGCTTTTATGTGAATGGGATAGCCGAGACAGAACTAATCACTATATAAAAAAAACATGGCCTACGAGTGCATCGTTAGTTCCTGGGCAAAAAACGTAAAGTATTTACCCCTTGTACAGCCAGATAATGTGCTTCTACCACCATTGCATATCAAATTAGGATTAATAAAAAAATTTGTGAAGGCAATGGATCGCAATGGGAGTGGATTTTTGTATCTAAAAGAAAAATTCCCTAAAATAAGTGATGCAAAGATAAAAGAGGGTATTTTGGTTGGCCCTCAAATTAGGGAGTTAATAAAAGATTCAAGATTTGAAGAAAAATTAAGCGATTTAGAAACATCTGCATGGAAGGCTTTTAAAAATGTTGTTTCAAATTTTTTGGGTAACCACAAGAGTGACAGTTACAGAGAGTTGGTTAGCGAGCTATTATTGTCATATCAAGCATTGGGTTGCAACATGTCACTTAAGATCCATTTTTTAGACTCGCACCTGGATTTTTTTCCTGACAATTTAGGGGCTGTCAGCGACGAGCATGGTGAGAGGTTCCATCAGGACATTTCTAATATGGAAAAGCGGTACCAGGGCAAATGGAGCCCAAATATGTTAGCAGATTACTGCTGGACAATTAAAAGGGACCAACCAGAAGCTAAATATTCAAGAAAATCTTAGATTATTAGTCATTTATAAAAAAAATAACTTTTGATTTACGAGATCTGTGTTTTTCTTAATATTTTAAATTACTCAATAGAATAAAATCCTTGTCTAGCAAATTTTTTTAACTGTTTATTTTTTCTTACAATCACCAATTAAAGTAAAAAATATCAAAAAAGTCCGTGTGGCACGACAAAGTTAAAATTTTGTTGACCAGTGTAATTTTTGGTCACATCGGCAAGGTGGCTATTATGTAAAATGTGCCCCCAAAAAGCCGGAAATAGCATTCTATTTTTTCTATCACCCACGGTTTTCTTCCGATAAGGTAATTTATTTGAAGCTTTTACTCGTAAAATATAAGGATATGTGTGTAAGAGCACTAATAAACACTCGAATAAACATCAATCTCAGAATGTTGTTGTCGATGTTTTACGGCGATATGTTGCTCCTGAAGTATCTCTTAACAATACACTGATCAACAGCCAAAAAATATCCTAAATAAAATCAACAAAATATTACTATTTTTAATGTGCTAAAACCGGAAAGAAACTTATTTTTTCAATATTAGTTCAAGTTTTAGAGATACGGTAATTATATGTGTTCCTGCTGTGACAGTGTTAATATACTGTAATTCACAAGAATGCACGTGCTACATTTTTATATTCGGCAAGGAAAGATGATGTAATCGGCATGATTGTGTTACGTTATACATACTTGTACATTATATTGTTTTATATTAGCCATTTTTGGTATGGTCCACGACCTTCATCTGAACCAGTTTCCTCAAAACGATTAACTATCCAACGAATTCCAGGCTCTGGAGAGCGTCCATGTCGGCCAAAAATAGTGCGAAGTTTGCGTAAAGTATTTTTTATATTTCGACCGTTTTCATAATAAGTTTGGATAACCAAAATGCGTTGTTGTGTTGTAAACGAATCCATGACTATAAATACCTTTGACAGTTCATTAGTATATAAGTAACATAAAAACAAATAATAGGTGGCGCACCCAGTACAAAACTGAAGATAAAATCGCAAAACTGAGCATAACTGATGGTTTCTTTGTTGCAGACTTTAGCCAAGAAGGTGTTTATGAACGACCCAAATAAACTAAGTCAACTAGAGACAGCAGAAACTGTTAGTGCTGATTGTTAGTCTTAATTTTATATACAGTTATTAAGTAATTTCTATTTACTGCCGAAGACTGAAAATTTAAAGAATTAATTAGAAAGTATACATTTTATAGATAATATTTTATTGTTGGAACATTCTACTTATAGAATCGTAGTCGATATCCTAGATGAGTAATTGTCTGGTTTTCAGATGTGTCAAATATGATAATTGTGATATACTTTTTAAGTTTTGTACATACGATTGAGGTTTTATTTTGCCAGAAATTGTAATACTTTATTTTTCTTTAACAAAGATGCAATTTATTTACTTTCTAACTAGAACGAACTTTTACCGATCTTATTTTTAAGATTTTTCTGTTTGTACAAGATACTATTTACCTGTTTTTAGGTACGGACTAGAATGTTTCACTTCGGATAAAGTCGCCAAACGTCCGTCATTTCGATTTTGTACTGTTCTTTGCAATTTTTATTGTGATTTTTTCTTCTAGGATTTCCAGATTTGCTGTCTAGTCCGAAACATACAAAGGGTAGCATAAAAGTTTTTATTAGTCGGAACTTCAAACTCCGTTTTTAAAAACTTTATTTGGTTCGAAAAATAGTGTGCATGGACCGAACCGGAATTACAGTGTGTGTGTTCGCTGTGACTGAGATTGAAAGACTGGCTCATAATTAAGATAAAATCGTGAGCTAGTAAAAAGGAATACAATGGAATTATTATATCAATTAATAAAGTGTAAAAAGACAGCAACTCCTCCACCCTTAAGATGAAGTTTTGGCGGGCACAAACACCGTAATCCGGTTCGGTCCTTGTATACTATTGTCGGAACCAAATACAGTTTTTTTTAAAACGGATGACTACATACAGGATTTGTCCGGAAAGGATAGGACTGAGTCGATTTAAAAAAATTTATTGAGCCAAGGCATTCTACGGAATAGCCTTGAGAGCCGCGGTGCATGCTGCTTGGATCCCCTCTGTCGTCTCAAAGTGCTTGCCTTTCATCGAGGAAACAACAAAAAGTCCGGGGGGAACATCTGGGCTGTAGGGCGGCTGCGGAAGCGTTGGGGTGCCGGCCTTGGTCAGGTAGCTGTTCACAAGAAAGGCGGTGTGAGCCTGGGCCTTGTCGTGGTGCCACTTCCAGTCGGCTGCGATGTCTTGTCGGACCCGACTGACCCTTCGTTTGAGTCTCCTGAGCACTTCCGCGTAAAACTTGGCGTTGACGGTTTGTCCAGGAAGAAAAAATTCGTGGTGGACGATGCCTTTGATGTCAAAAAAGACAATGAGCATCGTTTTCACTATGGATTTGCTCATTCTTCCCTTTTTTGGGCGAGGAGACGCCGTCGTGTGCCACTCGGAAGATTGCCTCTTTGTCTCGGGATCATACTCAAAGATCCACCACTCGTCACTTGTGATTACGTTTTCCATAGACTCTATGACTTTAGGCAGACACTGTTCCGTGTACCACTTCTCCTCTATCTGTTGGTATGTCACTCTCCGGTCTCCGTCAAGCATTTTGATATCCGACGTTCGCGGCTTTCCTTCCCTCCAGAGTGAGATTGCCACTTTGGAATTCTCCGTGCCACCTGAATATAGTCGTACGATAGGACAATCATTCTTTAATGACTGCGTCATTTCTTCTATGCTTAAACCACGCGTAAAGTTATACCGTAAAACTGCCCTTGTCTCACTACGTGACCACTTTACACTGTCAATACGAATGAACAACTAAATCCACAAACGCGCTGTTGGCGGCTACTACGCACTCATGGACATGCAGCCTCCTGCGTCCATTTGTTGTCACATTGCAAATTTTTTGTAGTACCCTTTGTACGTTTCCCATTTTATAATCGGTAATTTTTCGACGTGAATGGTGTACAAAATCGACAAAATGTCCGGACATTTCAAACTTTTATCGTAAGTTTTACGTTCTAAAGCATATGTTATGCTATATAAAGGTTTAAGTATGCTGAAAGTGTATTGAGTTGATGTATAAAAAAATTGTGTTGACCTTTATTGTATATATTTGTTTGTATCAAATCGATAGGATACATATTTTGTTAAATGTTGTTTCCACTGTTAAAAAAGTACAAAAATGTTGGAATGCTCATTGCGGTTTTATTTTCTTCCTATTCATGATAAGAAGTGGTACTAGAATTTGAAAAATTATAATTATAAATAGCTGCTTTACAACGGAATTACATCCTTGAGGATACACGCTCTCAGAGGAAGTCGCTGCTATTCACATGAAACACGGTTTTCAAAATATTATTCAAAAGACTAACTTTTGGCTGTTTTTCCCGACCCGAGATTTTTTGAAAGGAATGAAGACAGGATAATAAACTAGTTTTTATATTCCAAAAAATAATAATCAAATATATAACAATCAGTGGCGCCTTAAAAAAATATCTATCACAGCTTCAAAGTATCTGAGATTACATATCTAAAATTAGAAATTTAATAATGCATATAAAATAAATGCGATTTAATACGAATTATTTGACTGGTATCAATCATTCACTGTCACTTGAACTGATAACCCGCCTCCTTTTTATAGGTTTCGTTTCTGCCTTTGATTTCTTCCTGGCTTTTCTTTGCATCTCAAGTTGCCGTTCTAAAATCTCTAGCTGTGAAAGTTCCTCGATTTCTTCAACTTCATCTCCTTCCACAACAAAAGAGTCCTAAAAAAATATACCTAAAGGTAATAACCAACCATATCCGAAACACAATTGTGTCGTATGATAACCATTCGTATCAAGTATTCAAAAATGGGTACATTTTGGACAAAAATGACAACTTTCTAAGCTTGGGCTGTCGAAAAATAATCACGTAAAAATGACGAAGAAAATTTAAAATGCAGATACAAGTTTCATGGATGCAATAAATTTGAAATTTGAGTTACTTTCAGGACCAAAAACCCCGTTTAACAGAACGTGATCTTTTATAGTTATTTTTAGATGCTTTCATTATAAAATTCAGATTTATATTTTGGGATACAAGTACTTACATCAAGGTCTGCATATGTATCATCTTGTACCACCGTTTGGGAGAAAATATCTCCTCTAAATGGAGGTGGCTTGTTAGGCATTTTAAACCTGCCTCGGTTCACAGACCTGAAATGAAGCAGAACGTTTATTAAAGCTAGTAAAACTTTTAACACATTTGTTTTACGATGCTACACGTCTGCTGAAAATTATATACCTTACAGATTGCAGATATTTTGCATGCATTTGTGTATCATTATGAATTGTTTCATGCGCTACGAAACTTTCATCGTAACAATCTTGCGATAATCCGTCTCTTTCATCGTCGGAAATTGCATAGTTACTATCTTCTGATAACTGGGCTTCGTCTTCTATAAATTCGTTCCTTCTCTTCGTCTAAAAAAATATAATAATGTTGCTGGGAAAAATTAAGCGCAAATTCAGTTAGTAAAAATATCCGTCGTATCATTCCCGATATCGGAATGTTTTGTAGAATACACAGAAGACTATCTGAAACTGAGAGTTTTAGCATAGTGGACATCACGTGGTGAGATCACCAGAATTAGAGGAAGCTGTTTGAGGAACATCCAGAAAGAGGTACTAGGGAAATTGAGGTAATGTTTCCCATTTTCTTATTTGGAAAATACTTGATAATTTACTATACCCCAAAGGGTTCAAGCACTACTGCCACGTGATTTTCCATTGTGTTTAAATTTCTGCCGATGGTTTTTACAAAAACTTGCTGGAAATTCGTCATTTGATATCAAAATACTCTTTACTGACGAAGCTAGTTTTTCCCGCGATTTCATTCGAAATCAGGAGCAGTTTTCCGTGAATGTGTGGGCTGGAACAGTTGGAGATTTCCTCATCGTCATTTTCTTGAAAACAATTTGCCAATTTTGTTCGAGGATGTTGAAGAAATATGAAACATGCATGATTGTGGTCTTGCACATTTTAGCATTCAAGCTAGGGAATTTCTAGATGAAGCAATTACGAATCGTTGAACAGGACGTGGGGGAACTCAATCTTGACCTCCCAGGTCCCATGATTCAAACAGCTTAGACTATTTTTTGTGGTGGCACCCCAAGACTTTAGATTATACTACACCGTTTCAAACTGTAGAAGCAATATACTAAGTGACATATAAATCCGAACACCCAGTTCAAATGGTTTTATTTTAATAAAAGTTGGTGAATGTATTTATCTTACTGTAAATAACAAGTGAAAAAATTTTCAGCCTTATCAGTTGGACATTCCGGTTTATATACTGCTTTTTTTAATTCACTTATGCTCTAAAAATGAATATTTCAGCCGCAGTAAAGAATCAACGTTGGCGGATTTTGGTTCTTGACATCCTTTACGATCGGTTACGATGCCTAGAGTACGGAGACCTGTACGATTTCGTCAACTTAGTGAGTTTGATAGGGACCGTATAGTGGGACTTCGGGAAGCTGGACTTTCTTTTCGGGCAATTGCAGTTAGAGTGCAAAGAAGTGTAGACACTGTGGTTAGGTGTTGCCAGGCATGGCTTCGAGAAGGCCATACGCAAAGAGCAAGGGGCACTGGAAGCCGCCGTAGAACAACAGACCGTGAAGATCGCCACCTAAGATTATTGGCCTTAAGGGACCGTTTCTCCACTACCAGGTCCATTGCAAATGAATGGTTTGCAGAACACGGAAGACCTATTGGCATGCGAAGTGTTTACTGACGAATGAGAAGTTTTGGCTTGTTTTCATACCGGCCACACTGGGTCCTCCCTTTAACTCGAGAACACCGACGTAATCGCCTTGAGTGGTGCAGACAACGGTCACTCTGGGATCAGGAATGGAACAGTATTGTCTTGAGTGTGACGAGTCTCGATTTTGTTTAGGCATGCACGATGGTCGTGCCAGGGTTAGAAGGCGACGTGGTGAAAGGAGGAACCCACAGTTTTTTGTTGAAAGACATGTTCATCACACTGTTGGAGTTATGGTTTGAGGTGCTATAGCTTATGGTTCCAGGTCACCTTTAATCTTCATCAGAGGTAACATGAACGCGCAGCGTTATATCCACGAAGTTCTAGAACCCCATCTTTTACCCTATCTTGACACCCTGGCAGATCCAACTTTCCAACAAGATAATGCCCGACCACATGTTGCAAGAGTCACAATAGACTTCTTTCAACATAATGATGTCACATTGTTACCATGGCCACCAGGATCTCCCGACTTATCCCCAATTGAGCACGTGTGGGATATGATGGGTAGGAGATTGCTCAATTTGCAACGTCCTCCTCAGACTCTAGAAGCACTTCGAGAGGAGTTGGTGGTTGCCTGGAATGAGATACCACAGGAGGACATTGACCACCTGATCAGAAGCATGCCTAGGCGCGTTGGAGAATGCGTAGCACATCAGGGTGCATCCACACATTATTAAAGGTCAAAGGGCTTTAAAGCAGTGCAATCATTTTGAAATTTTTATCATTTACTTATTATGCTTCATTAAGTACTTATACAAAATTTTATTAAAATAAAACCATTTAAACTGGGTGTTCGGATTTATATGTCGCTTAGTATAATTCAGAAAATTTTACCGGGAGGGAGGAGGTCATTTTCAACAATTCTTGTGATAATTATATTAAATAGTCATCCATATAAATTGTCAAAACTTGTTTTTTCTTAATTCATGCATTGCAAAATCGCTAAAATCTCATGTGGTTTGTAGGTAAGCTGTGTTTTTATTTCTTATTCAAGTCACCTGATCAAAATGGTTTTTATTTTTTACGCGAAAACGGTGCATTGGACGAAAAAAAGTCAAAAGGTCAAATTTGTTGCAAAATGAATGAGAATTTACAAAGTGACTTTTATTTTCTAAAAAACAATGGCGTGCCATTTTTTTTTTAAATCTCTGATATACATCCCGTACGGACGCCACTGGTAAAAATATTAAAAAATATTCTACATCAAAACATACTTATTGCTGCTTAGTAGATGCACGTCAAATTTAATGAACATATCTAGAATAGTATTAAAGTTATGACAATTTTAACACCTTGTAGCTCAAAAGTTAAGGGATTTAGGATATATGTTCATATAAACTTTTCTTCCTAAAATGAGCTAAGCAATCATATCCTGTATGTTTATCCATCAATTAAATCCTTACCTTTTTCCGAACCGGCGGTTTTGACACATCTTTCCTCATTTTCTTGCCAACGTTCATCTTCGGTGACACTTCCTTTCTTTTCTCACTACGTCCTTTCGCCCTGATCCACCCTGTATCCGGAGGTTTAGTCTCGAACTCTTCATCGCTATCCACCAATTGTGCCAACATACTATGCGACAGATTCCTTATAGACTCGTCCAAATTCGGCTCTAACTGATCGCTATCGCTCAAGTGCAGATCCAACGAGGTTGTACAAGCGCTTTTAGGAGAGATTCTGCTATTATGAACCGATGACTCTCTTGAAACCTTTTTAAGATCGCTCCGCTTCAATTCAAACACTTCAAAATCATCTTGACTGTCAATCGCATACAAATTCGCTTTGGATTTGACATTTTTATTTGAAACGTATTTTTTGACTAGATCCGGTGATGTCGCAAATCGATCTCTATTAGGAGAATTGACATTTACTAAACTCAAAATATGTGACGTGTTTTTACCCTCTATATTTTCTTGTATCTTCTCTGTGTTTATATTTTCTTTTTGAGAAGACTCATCGACACTCTTTGCGCCTCCAGGTTTGTTTATCAAAGATAGCAATTGAGTAACGGTAGCTTGTGAAGTGTCATATTGAGTGACATTTTTCGATCTCCTATCGTTAGTTAAGATAAAGTCACTTGTATCAAAAATGTCGGATACATCCAAAACGTCTAAAGTATCATTGTTTGTATTGGTCGAAACAGTATCCTTTTCTACCGCTTTTGGTTTCACCCATTCAAAATCATCAAGTTCTTTACACGCATCAACTTTTATACTAGTTTCAACTCCTTTTTTATTGTCTTTTGATTTAGAGGTGATCATCTTCTCCTTGTTTTCGAACGATTTAATATTTGAGTCGTCTAATTTTTGAATATCGGTTGCCCTTTTCACTAAATCTGTAGTGGGTTCGATTTCTTCTTCATCGTCACTGATAGTTATTGGTTCCTCTTTGGCCGTCTCAAACTTTGAAGATATGAGATCTTCTTTTTCTTCAACTGGTGATTCAGAACTGGGATGGGTCACTTTCTTCTTCGGTCTATCGCCAGCCTTCGACCTAGAGCTGTTGTTCTTCATCACTTCTGTCATTGATTTTTCTTTACCATGTTTCAAGGCTTCATTATTTATATTATCATCTACTTGAGTTCTTGGTTGAACTTGTGGATTAATATTGCAAGTTTTTTCGTCATTATCGAACCTTTTACTAACTGAGTTCTTCTTGTCCTTCACAGAAGATTTCAACCATTCAAACTCCGAATCATCTAGAAGATCCGCAAACTTATCTAACGAATCCAACTTCGACTCGTCTCTTCCAACTTGCGTACTAGTAACTGCAGTCTTCTTCGGCGAAGCTTTGAAACCCAAGTACGATAGATCGCAAAAACTACTAAGTTCAATGTCATCTGCAATATTCGTTGCGGGGTCACAGTTTTTCTGAAACGGTGTGCTAGAAGTCGCCATGTTTTTGTCTTCAGAAAGGAATAGCTTCCTCTGGGTCTGTTCTTTCTTTCGGAGAGTTAAATTTCGATTAAAAGTGCACAGTATAGGAGAGCCTGAATCATTATTACTAACAGGAGGTTTCATAGGAGGAGGAGTACTAACATCAAAAATTTCAGGTGAATACAACAAAGTCTCTTGTGAATCACTGATGTTAGAATTTCCGAAAAGATCGGTCAATTTCTCGATTTTGAAGAAACTTAAAACAGATTCTCGAGTTTCTGGCACAGACAAGTTTGTTTTTTGAGATTGTTCAACTTCGACGATGGTGTTGCTGAATTTATTCAACAATGCGTCCAAAGTGTTCGGTGCTTGAAACCCAAAGGACTTATCCACCAATTCTCCTAAGATGCTGCTATCAATCCCATTAGCATCCAGGATTTCGTCTTCAGTCTTGAGTTGCGGTGTTTCGTCAAGGGCAAAGTTCATAGTTTCGTTAAATGTGAAATCGGGTTCAGCTTTATCCATGTTCTTTCCATAAGTTTTGAGATCCTCCAGAGTAAGCGAGGTAAATACTGAATCATCTAATTCAATCCAGTTTAAGGCTTCTGTGGTATCGGTTTTGGATGGATTTGTGTACAGCTCCACGCAGTTATTGGTAGGACATAGTTTGCATTGTTGGTCGTACTCTAAAGATTGAATTGTCAGGAAGTTTAGTAGTTCATTGAATAATTCTCTTGAGCCAAACGTGGTTTTTTCTTCAGGAGTAGGTGATGACGCTTTTTGTAATACTGAAAAATGAAAGAGAATAATAAAAAGCTGAAGACAAATGACTTTAAACTATGGGGTTGTCCGCAGGAAAGTAAACGCATATTAAAACAAGAAAGATTGATATTAAAATCAAGTTGGGTACTTTATTTTGAAGGTTCATTTATACCATTTATGTATGAAAAATAATATCGCTCAAATGTTCACCACGACTGGATTTACAGACGTCCACGCGATGGTCGAAATTTTCAATGACATTTTGCAACATGGTCGGTTCTAATGCAATGATGTTGTTTTCGAGTTCTCGGAGGGTGGCTGGTTTGTTGACGTAGACTTTGCTTTTCAAATATCCCCATAAAAAGAAGTCCAAGGGAGTCAAATCGCACGATCTTGGTGGCCATGGCACATTTCCTCTGCGCGAAATCACGCGATCACCGAAGAAGGACTGCAATCGATGGACATTGACGTTGGTTGTGTGGCATGTTGCACCGTCTTGTTGGAAATAAACATCATCCATATCCATTCCTTCAAGTTGCGGCAAAAAATAATCCTCTATTATCACGTGGTATCGCTCAGAATTGACGGTAACGGCGTCCCCGGCCGCATTTTCGAAAAAGTGAGGTCCGATGATGCCTTTTGACCACACAGTCACTTTTTGAGGATGCATCGGCTGCTCTTGATACTCACGGGGATTTTCGTTCGCCCAAATGCGGCAGTTTTGCTTGTTTACCGTCCCATTCAAACAGAAATGCGCTTCGTCGCTGAACATGATTTTTGATGAAAAATTGGCATCAATTTGGCGGTGTTCAAGGAAAACGTTCGGCGCGAAAAATGGTCGGCCCGACGCAGCTCTTGCGTCAATTGGACCTTGTAGGCGTGTACATTCAAATCCTTGTGGAGAATGCGGAGCAAACTGGTTCTCGAAATGCCCAATTCTTGGGATCGACGCGTTGTTGATTGTTTCGGATCGTCTCTCACACTCTCCTTCACAACAGCAATATTTTCCGGTGTGCGAACGCTCCTTGGCCGGCCAGAGCCTGGCAGATTTGCAACAGAACCTGTTGCCTCGAATTTACGCACCAGACGACCGATGGTCGTTTCGTTTGGGCGGTTGTTGCGACCGAAATGTTCACGAAGCGCGCGAAACGTGTTTTTTATTTTTGCACCATTTGAATAACTTTAATGCGGTCTTCAATCGAATACGACTCCATAGCGATCAATGGTAAACATTCAACTAACAAAGTGACATGTCGGTGACAGAAAACAAAGATGGCGTCTATGTCAAATTAACGTTTACTTTCCTGCGTCCCTATTGGACAACCCTTTATATTACCCTGTGTGGAAGGAAGAACAAAATCGTTACAGCTATCGCTTTTGAAAAACATGTTTCTGATATCAGTTTGCTTCAAATTTTTCTGCGACTGTGAGTTTCCTGCAATGATAAACCAATATTTATTTAAAATACATTCCAATTGTTTACAAACTATACCTATTTGAGACATAGGAATGTTAAACTTCTTTGAATCAGCCAACTGAAGTAAATTCACCAACAATTCAGTTTCTTTGGAATGCTTCACTATATGAGAATCTTGGAAACTCCTTTGTTTTTGGATTTGCTTACAAACTAAAGACATTTCGGGACCCTTTGAAATACCTGCAAACATTACAGTTTCAGAACAGAACTTTAAAAATTATTTAGGTTTTCACCGTTATCCAGTAAAAATTCTGACTTTGATATCCGTTCTTCTATCTCGATAATCTGTAGACTTGGAGAGTATGATGGCTCGGATCCACCAGAAGAGATTTTACGGAACATATCCTACAAAAAAATATTTGAATCCACTGCTTCAACTTGCGTTCTTCAACTTACCTTCAACGTGACATTCTTCTTTGGTAAAGGCTCTTTCGTCACAGTAATGAATATTTTTTCACATTTCGGCGTTAGATCTTCAGGTATAAGCCGGGGACTTGTCGAACTAAGCCCTCTGGCCAATTCTCTAGAGCCCATAACGTGAGATGTGACGTTGTTTTTGTGTATTAAGCAATCCTTTAAAGTTTGCTGCTCCTTGCCTTCTGTTACGAGTACAATAATGCTACCTAAGTTGAAAAATAACCCTATTTAAACAATGCACTTGGTTTTATATACTAAGTGACATATAAATCCGAACACCCAGTTTAAATGGTTTTATTTTAATAAAAGTTGATGAATGTATTTATCGGGTTTTTATACTGCTTTTTTTTAATTCACTAACGCTCTAAAAATGAATATTTCAGCCGCAGTAAAGAATCAACGTTGGCGGATTTTGGTTCTTGAAATCCTTTACGATCGGTTACGATGCCTAGAGTACGGAGACCTGTACGATTTCGTCAACTTAGTGAGTTTGATAGGGGCCGTATAGTGGGACTTCGGGAAGCTGGACTTTCTTTTCGGGCAATTGCAGTTAGAGTGCAAAGAAGTGTAGACACTGTGGTTTGGTGTTGTCAGGCATGGCTTCGAGAAGGCCGTACGCAAAGAACAAGGGGCACTGGACGCCGCCGTAGAACAACAGACCGTGAAGATCGCCGCCTAAGATTATTGGCCTTAAGGGACCGTTTCTCCACTACCAGGTCCATTGCAAATGAATGGTTTGCAGAACACGGAAGACCTATTGGCATGCGAAGTGTTTACCGACGAATGAGAAGTTTTGGCTTGTTTTCATACCGGCCACACTGGGTCCTCCCTTTAACTCGAGAACACCGACGTAATCGCCTTGAGTGGTGCAGACAACGGTCACTCTGGGATCAGAAATGGAACAGTATTAGTGACGAGTCGCGATTTTGTTTAGGCATGCACGATGGTCGTGCCAGGGTTAGAAGGCGACGTGGTGAAAGGAGGAATCCACAGTTTTTTGTTGAAAGACATGTTCATCACACTGTTGGAGTTATGGTTTGGGGTGCTATAGCTTATGGTTCCAGGTCACCTTTAATCTTCATCAGAGGTAACATGAACGCGCAGCGTTATATCCACGAAGTTCTAGAACCCCATCTTTTACCCTATCTTGACACCGTGGCAGATCCAACTTTCCAACAAGATAATGCCCGACCACATGTTGCAAGAGTCACAATAGACTTCTTTCAACATAATGATGTCACATTGTTACCATGGCCACCAAGATCTCCCGACTTATCCCCAATTGAGCACGTGTGGGATATGATGGGTAGGAGATTGCTCAATTTGCAACGTCCTCCTCAGACTCTAGAAGCACTTCGAGAGGAGTTGGTGGTTGCCTGGAATGAGATACCACAGGAGGACATTGACCACCTGATCAGAAGCATGCCTAGGCGCGTTGGAGAATGCGTAGCACATCAGGGTGCGTCCACACATTATTAAAGGTCAAAGGGCTTTAAAGCAGTGCAATCATTCAGAAATTTTTATCATTTACTTATTATGCTTCATTAAGTACTTATACAAAATTTCATTAAAATAAAACCATTTAAACTGGGTGTTCGGATTTATATGTCACTTAGTATATGAATGATATAGCCACACCTTCCTTTTTTCTTCCAGTTCTGCCCATTCTCTGTACCATACGAATTGGAGATTTGTTTGAAATATCAAAACATATAATAAGGTCGACCTCTCCAACATCTAAGCCTTCTTCACCGATACTGGTCGAAAGTAATGTATTGCAATGTCCTTCCCTAAACGCTTTCACAACCTTGAATAAGACCGTGTAACTAGTTCTTATAATAAAGGAAATCTCATGCAATTTGTCTATACTTACGCTAGTTTGTATTCTTTGCGTTATCCCAGACTTCTGACCTATGAAAATTCTAGGTCTGATGATCGGTCCAGACTGTCTCAGAAGTGCATATGCTTCCATAACAGATTCGCGATATTCGAAAAATACTATGACCCTACTGGAAGATGATTCTCCAAAATGAGTCAACAAGATATCTCGCAATTTGTAGAATTTCGGATGGCCGAATTTCACATCTTTAGATATCTGCAATAAAATGAACGCGTCAGTTCGAAAAGTCAAAATTTTAATTTTTAAACTGTACCTCGATGGATTCTCCATCGGGCAAGTCCTCAACAACAGGTGGCGGGCCTAAGTATTCTTTCACATGTTGCATCAGCTGTATGAGCCTCATGTTGTGCCTCAAGGTGGGTTTATCAATGTGTTCTATAAAATAATATCATTTATTTTTTTATAATGGAAACCGAAGAAAAGATTACCATCAAAGAATGAGGTGAAGCTTCTTAGTCCGTGTCTCACTAGCAGCTCCCAGGCATGGTATAATGTCATGCATATATTGAAACACTTCATTATTTCCCCATAGTTTGCATTTCTAGAAAAAAGTAATAAAAACCACGGAGATAAAACAACATTTTTATGATACATAAAACAATAAGCCATCATATGATTCTTAAAAAACCTGGACACCTCCTTTAAACGGATAGTTTCTCATGGTCCCGACTGACTCTAATATAAGTTGCATTGTATTAAGCCTCTCTTGGACTTTTTTCATTAAAAACACAATGTTTGCTGTCCATCCAAAGATTTCATTGTACTATATTTTGTATCTGTACTTACCCACTACTTCTATTTTGTTGATATTGTTTCATAGTCATGAAAATTTTTCCTTTGGTTAAGCTACCACAACTCCCTTGGAAAACCTTGTATTTCATTAAAGTTCTGGTATTTATCTCTAAGATCTACAAAAGCCACGATAAATAACTCACTGAACTTTGAATACTTCTAAGTTACATACCTTCAAATATTCATTTACAACTTCTTGTAATTTATCACCAAGTGGAACCACTACTGTTGTTAGATTCCTTTTGAACACATATTTATTGACGTCTAAGCTTTCTTCAGTTCTGAACTCTAAATGAGATATCATCAGGTTTTGAACAACCTAGGAAAATCATATTTACTTTCATTCAAATTCAGGTTCAGCACAAGTTAGACGCTATCAAAATAAGGCAGTGCCATAGACCTTATATCCTGAATACATGATAGTTGCTATGCTTTTGTTCTTTGTGACAGAGACCAAGCTGATTAGATGCCAAAAAAACATGACACAAAAAAAATCTTAAACAAACTGGACAGACAAAAGCAGCTAGTTTATGTTAGGTCCTCTGAGTAAAAAGTTGCAAACATGTATACTAAGTGACATATAAATCCGTACACCCAGTTTAAAGGGTTTTATTTTAATAAAATTTTGTATAAGTACTTAATGAAGCATAATAAGTAAATGATAAAAATTTCAAAATGATTGCACTGCTTTAAAGCCCTTTGACCTTTAATAATGTGTGGATGCACCCTGATGTGCTACGCATTCTCCAACGCGCCTAGGCATGCTTCTGATCAGGTGGTCAATGTCCTCCTGTGGTATCTCATTCCAGGCAACCACCAACTCCTCTCGAAGTGCTTCTAGAGTCTGAGGAGGACGTTGCAAATTGAGCAATCTCCTACCCATCATATCCCACACGTGCTCAATTGGGGATAAGTCGGAAGATCTTGGTGGCCCTGGTAACAATGTGACATCATTATGTTGAAAGAAGTCTATTGTGACTCTTGCAACATGTGGTCGAGCATTATCTTGTTGGATCTGCCAGGGTGTCAAGATAGGGTAAAAGATGCGGTTCTAGAACTTCGTGGATATAACGCTGCGCGTTCAGGTTACCTCTGATGAAGATTAAAGGTGACCTGGAACCATAAGCTATAGCACCTCAAACCATAACTCCAACAGTGTGATGAACATGTCTTTCAACAAAAAACTGTGGATTCCTCCTTTCACCACGTCGCCTTCTAACCCTGGCACGACCATCGTGCATGCCTAAACAAAATCGAGACTCGTCACTAAAGACAATACTGTTCCATTCCTGATCCCAGAGTGACTGTTGTCTGCACCACTCAAGGCGATTACGTCGGTGTTCTCGAGTTAAAGGGAGGACCCAGTGTGGCCGGTATGAAAACAAGCCAAAACTTCTCATTCGTCGGTAAACAATTCGCATACCAATAGGTCTTCCGTGTTCTGCAAACCATTCATTTGCAATGGAGCTGGTAATAGAGAAATGGTCCCTTAAGGCCAATAATCTTAGGCGGCGATCTTCACGGTCTGTTGTTCTACGGCGGCGTCGAGTGCCCCTTGCTCTTTGCGTACGGCCTTCTCGAAGCCATGCCTGACAACACCTAACCACAGTGTCTACACTTCTTTACACTCTAATTGCAATTGCCGGAAAAGAAAGTCCAGCTTCCCGAAGTCCCACTATACGGCCCCTATCAAACTCACTAAGTTGACGAAATCGTACAGGTCTCCGTACTCTAGGCATCGTAACCGATCGTAAAGGATGTCAAGTACCAAAATCCGCAAACGTTGATTCTTTACTGCGGCTGAAATATTCATTTTTAGAGCGTTAGTGAATTAAAAAAAAGCAGTATAAAAACTGGAATGTCCAACTGATAAGGCTGAAAATTTTTTCACTTGTTATTTACAGTAAGATAAATACATTTACCAACTTTTATTAAAATAAAACCATTTAAACTGGGTGTTCGGATTCATATGTCACTTAGTATATAATTTTCCACTCTGGAATTATTGACTTGATTCTTAATTACATTTCTAAATCTGAGTTACCTCTAGGACATCTTCTACATGACTTCCTGGAGTAGCACTCAAAGCCAGTACTCGAAAGTACTTGTTTGTCCCACACATTTTTCTGATAACTTCACAATACGCATGGTTTCCCCTAGCTTTGTGAGCCTCATCAAAAACAAGACATTTAATTGAAGAGCTAAGCGTTACAATTTTATCCAAATCATTCTGCAAGATTTGGGGTGTGATGAAAAATACTCTTTTCTCATTCCATAGGTTTTCTCTCGAAGCTGACATATTGGATCCTCGAAGAAAAATACAATTATACTTTATGTTTTAATAACACACTCGAGTTAAAAAAATCTGTTTTAAAACAATATAGGATGTTTTAGTTGCTTCCATGATAACTTTAAGACATAAGATATCTAAAAATAGAATAGAGATGCTAGTACAGAGGAACCTTTTCCAAATGAACGCAAAAAGGTAATATCCGATGAAAAGTTGACCAATATCGTTTTTACAAAAAATTAATTACCTTTCACCCTTTTTTTTTAATATTAAAAGATACTTTTGTGCACCAACGTATTTTCTGTAATGTTAGCCCAAATTTCAAAAAAACTGGTAAATAGTTTTCATCGAACCTTGACCACAGGTAGGGAGAGAATTTTCAGCAATATTATTCTTTGATACTAACTCACCTATTAGTTCTGCTGTATTTTCTTTTGGAATACCCATGATATCGTAGCAGGCATCCATCTGCTGCTTCACTAAAGGTCTTGTCGGCGCCATAAATACAATTTTTCCTGTTGGATACCACCTGTAGAAATTAAACATCACAACTGCTGCTATGAATGTTTTTCCTAGCCCTGTTGGCAGGCTTACCTAGAGCAACATGTTAATGTTAAATAGTACTTTATAAACATCTGGTCGAATACTTGCCAATGTGTTCTTGAACAGTGAATTTTGAACTATATTAAACTGATATTCTCTAACCGGGTAGTTCGTTGGGTAGATCCATGTTTGGCCTGCCAGCATATCAAACCCTTTTGTTTCAACATTTTGGCAAAGAGATCTATAAATTTATTGAAGTTATAACTTAAAACTCGTGAATAATTATAGTATAATGTCTTACGCTGTTTGATCAAGATCAACGTCCATTATTTCGACAAATTTATAAATAATAAGTCATGTTTTTTTCAGGGAATCATAATTTTTACTGGAAACATTTTCTTATTTATTCAAAACCACCTCCTTGTTTATATTAGATTTGACGACAAGGTTTGGTTAGTTTAAAATTCAAATTCGCATAACTGAAATTTTATGTCAAATTAGTTTGACAACTGTCATTTCTGTGTTTGTTAAGGGTATAGATAGAAGAACAAAATACGCCACTATTACTAGCTTATACTTCTCTCGTAGCTATTCTGGGAGTTTCTCTTCTTTAAGGTTTCTGCTCTATGATAAGCTGTCACGGTGACGTTTTCGGGTGATGTGGATGTTGCTTGCTGGCTCAAATCTTTCAAATGGATCTAAATTAAAAAGTACATAGTTCAGTGGACGTGGAAGCATTAACAATCGTGAGGAGAGCTTAAAAGCCCTTCTACACAAGATGTCGACGTACGAAGAATACATTCAGCAAAACGAAGATCGAGACGGTATCCGATTCACCTGGAACGTATGGCCTTCCAGCAGGATAGAAGCGACACGGCTGGTGGTACCCTTAGCGCACCTTTACCAACCGATTAAGGACCGTCCAGACTTGCCTCCTATTCAGTACGATCCGGTATTGTGCACTAGGAACAATTGTAGAGCTATCCTCAACCCTTACTGTCAAGTGGACTATAGAGCCAAATTATGGGTCTGCAACTTCTGCTTTCAACGAAACCCTTTCCCTCCGCAATATGCTGCAATCTCGGAGCAACACCAACCCGCAGAACTGATGCCCATGTATTCAACGATCGAATACACAATAATGAGAGCTCAATGTTTGCCCCCCATTTTCTTGTACGTAGTGGATACTTGTATGGACGAGGAGGAATTAGGGGCCCTGAAAGACTCGCTGCAGATGTCTTTGAGTTTACTGCCTCAGAACGCTTTGATTGGTTTGATAACTTTTGGCAAAATGGTTCAGGTTCATGAGTTGGGCACCGAAGGATGTAGCAAGTCGTACGTATTTAGGGGTACAAAGGATCTAACAGCAAAGCAAATTCAAGAAATGCTGGGTATCGGAAAGGTTCCGGTGGCACAGCCTCAGCAACAGCAGATGGGCAGACCAGGGCAACCACAGGTAAGAGATGAAAATTAATGTCCTTTAGCATTTTATATTTATTCACTGCTTTAACTTTAAATATTAATGTATACTTGGTTTAATATTTTCATTAAGAATTGATAATGCTAGAATTTGGTATGCTTTGTTTTTCAGACTTTGAATGTACTGTATTTGGGTTTTCAGCTTCAGCTAAGAAAAATAGCTTATTTTGTTTCTATATTCATTATGTTACAAGACATAGATAGTAGTAGTAGAAAGATTTATGTAGCATGATTGGCTATATAAATGGAATAATTAGAAACAACTTAGAATTAGTAAATTGAAGCCATATAATAATAATAATAATAATATTTATTTACTCAATGTACAAAGATAACAAACAATATGAGTAAATAAATATAAAATCAAAACAGGCCCAATAGAAGGCATCGCCTGTACATGGACCAATAATTTAAGTTGAAACTGTAGAATGCAAATGACAAAAAAGGACAAAAATTAGCTACAGTAGATTATGTTTTTAGTTGATGTTCGTATTTATGAGTTTATGAATTTCAGTCCTAGATATAGAATGTAGCCACTTTTTTAAATTTCTTTTGAAACAATTTCCGAAACGTAAATCTTTTAAGTCTTTAGGTATAATTTCATAAAATTTAGGCGCTAAATAGAGATATGATCGCTGCATTATAGATTTATGCGGTTGAGGAACTACTGTGCCACGAATTTTGTACCTGGTATAATGATTATGTTTAATTTTTTGGTCGGTGTTTACAAATTTATGGTAGTGAGTGATACTGTGTAAGAAATAAAGCTGTCTTATATCATACATTCGAACATCTGTGTATAATTTTTCAGTGGGATAAAGTTTCGGTTTTTTAAATATCATTTTTAGAATACTTTTTTGAAAAACATCTAAATTATAGATATGTGAGGAACATGCAGCTCCCCATGCTAATATACCATATGTGAGATGAGGCTCAATCAGTGCATGGTATAATGTTCGAAGATATTTTTCTGTCAATATATTCCCAAGGTATTTAATTTTGTAGGATACAAATCTAACTTTCTTTAAAATATAATTGACATGGATGTCCCATCGTAAGTGAGGATCCAAGACCACTCCAAGGTATTTTATGTTGGGCACTCTATTAATTTGCATTTTTTGATCATTAATGTTGAAGGAGAAATTTGTGTAATTTGGCAGATGTCTAGCATAAGATCCAAATGGTAAAAAATGTGTTTTAGAGTAGTTAATGCTTAATTTTCTACTGTTAAACCACCGAATAATTTTGATAAAATCATTTTCAATTACATTTTTCAGATCAGACCAGTCAGTGCCTTCATATAATATTGCAGTATCATCTGCAAAACTAGTTATTTTGCCAACACAATTAATTTGGAAAATATCATTTAAATATATATTGAATAACAGCGGACCTAAGACAGTTTCTGTGGGACACCACACTTAATATACATTTCTTTACTAAATGATCCTGATATCTGCACAGATTGTGGGCGATTTGACAAATAATTTTCGATCAGTGAGTACGCGTTTCCTCTGAAACCAATTCTCTCCAATGCTTCTAATAATAATTTGTGATTAACTGTATCGAAAGCTTTCTTTAAATCAATAAAAATGCAGATTTATAATAATAATATATGATTTAACTAGTGATTCTTTAATTTTACTTTGAGTTTTGTCAAATTATTCTGATTTTTTATAGAATACACATTTGTAGCAAATATACTTTTTGGGCATTAAAATGGATGTCATTTTTAAAAATGTTGGGCTTCATAAAAAGAAATACATCTGAATTTACTAACATTGGAGCTATAGTAACTCTCTATACTTCACTGGTGCGATCTCATCTAGAAAATTGCAGCAGCGTGTGGTCTCCATATTATGTAACTTATCAGGACATGCTTGACGGGGTTCAGAGAAAATTTCTACGATATATAGCTTACAAAAACACATTTCTATTGAGAATTTAGACTATAATGCTCTTGAAAAGGAGTTAAGGATTGGATCCCTAAGAGCCAGGAGAGATTCAGCAGATATTGTTTTTGCTTATAAATTAATTCATGGTGTTTACCACTGCCCAGACCTGCTTCTAAAGCTAAATTTTTATGTTTCTCCTAGGCATTTAAGAGAACGCAGATCCTTTGAACCTTGTCGGCATAGAACTTTGTATGGCTCGAATAGTAGCATGGATAGGATAATGAGAAATTGTAATGACTGTGATATAGACCTTTTTAATACTTCACTATGCTCTCTCAAAAAGTTCCTTAAAGATAGAAATCTTAGCTAAAGTTTTAAAATGTCTCAATTGCTGGTGATGTTTGCTGTGTTGTTTAGTTGTTCAGTTTTTTTTTAGTTTTTTTTTTTTTTTTTTAGTATTTGTTTGTAACTATTTTTATGCACGTTTTAATATTTTAATATTTTAATTTAGTAAATAGTCAAACTTTATGTTCATATGTTAGATTCTTTATTTATGATGTGTGTGAATTTTATTAGGTTAAGATTGTACTTTTACAACCTGTAACCGAATGGGTTTATCCCGTAAATTTGTAAATAAATAAATAAATAAATAAATTTCTGGTATTATGTAAATTTTGGTCACATTTGATGATGTTTTTAGTTAGATATGGTGGAAATACGAGCCCCTTCCCACTTCAGTTGACCCACTTCAAGATTTTTACCAAAATATGCCTTTATAAACTAAACATGACGAAAATATTTACTTCTATAACAATTTATTTTCTCAAAAACATTTTATATACACTCTAGTCTTAAAAATACATATTTGAAATCACTTAGACCTATAACTAATAGAACATCTAAACAAATAAATAATGTGCAAATAAATGCGAAGTTAACAAAGCAACAATTGAAAGATTTTTTATTACGGCTGAAATTCTTTGGGGCATAGTGTTAACCAAGTTTTGGCAAAAATTTGATGTAAAACAATCCCATATTTCTTGAAGCTTTTGTCTCAGTTCAGTGATTGTACAAGCAGAATGTTCTTGTACAACCTTTTTCATCTCGTGCCACAAAGTTTCAATAGGTGATAGATCTGGACTGCTAGAAACCCATTTCAAAAGTGGTACATTACTTTCTTCCATCCATTTTATAGCCTTTTTTGAGATATGGCATGCTGCACCATCTTGCTGAAAGACAAAATATTGGCAGCATGTCCAACATTCTTCCATCACTGGTAAAAGCGATTCTTCTAAAATTGACAAATATTTGTTTGTATCCACATTTCCATCAATAAAATGTAGTTTTCCTACTCCTTTTGATGACATACTGTCCCAGACCATAATGGATGCTGGAAATGTCACTTTTCTCTTCAGACAGTCAACGTGGAATGCTTAATTTTTTTTGCGAATAACTCTACTGCTACTGTCACCAACACAAACTTTGAATCGGGCCTCATCACTCCATTATATTGCACACCATTGTTGAGATGTCCATTGTCTATGTTCTTTAGCCCATCTAAGCCAATTCTTCTTTTGCAGTGGACTTAATAGTGGCTTTTGTTTGGCCTATAAACAAGTTGTGCAACTTTAGGGTTTTTACTTCACTTTTTTTTTATAAGAAAACTTACCTTGCAAGTGCTAAATCTCTCTCTATGAGTTGTGAACCTCGAAATTCTCCTTCCAGCAGCATCACTACACAGAGCACTTAATTGTAAATAATTGGCACGCTTGTTTTTCACGATTATTCTTCTTAATGCTCTTTGGTCGGCATTTGTGATATTACTTTTTTTCACATATCATGACTTAATATTAACTGAACCAGTTACGTTATATCTTCTAACAATATTTCTTACACTGTACCGCGATAAGTCTAACAAAGTTGCAGTTTCTGAGTTTGATTTCCCAGAATTAAAAAATTTAATTATCAGTAACCGAATTTTCTCACTAATAACCTTTCCTCTACCCATTTTGAAAACCTTAACTACCTAAAACTATTTTAAGCGTATTCTGACAGCTGTGATTAACAAAAACAATTGTTATGGCTTTTATTTTTCACAGCCACCTATGCGTTATAGACTTATTTTACATTGAAATGAAAATAGGTTGATATGTTGTAATTGCAACATGTGTTATTTTTATGCTGCAAATTTGATTAGGGAGTGATAAAGTTGGTGTTTTCTACTATATATTATATAAATATTCATTGACAATATTTTAAACCTATAACACCCTGCTACATTTTTATTATTTGTGTTTGATAAGAAAAAAACTAAGATTTCAATAGTTGGGCCAACTGAAGTGGGAAGGGGCTCGTACATTATTTTTTACTTTGTAAATTGATATCATTGCAAGATATTTGTTAAAAATTTTCACATTAAGCCTTTCTAATTGGAGTATTGAACAACCTCTTCATAAATATACCACTTTACTACTAATCTTGTTTATAATTTTATCATATAGAATACTTGACAGGGCCAAATGGAGGATTATACATTTTGTTAATTTTCAAACATATTGTACCTAAGTCTGAATGGTTATATTAATTTCCTCATATGTTCCAGTCAAAGCAAGATATTTTACACCACTTGGCTGCTTTGCTTCCACAATTCGTCGATTTGCTTAAGATTGAAATACCAAATATTCACCCTTATCCACATCCTTGCTGCCATAACAAACATTTTATGATTCCAGGCCGCGCCTCTACCTCCAGCCCACAGATTTCTGCAGCCAGTCTCAAAATGCGACACGAACCTAACCGATCTCATAGGCGAATTGCAACGCGACCCTTGGCCTGTACCTCAAGGCAAACGTCCCTTAAGATCGACCGGCGCAGCCCTAGCGGTTGCTGTAGGCCTGCTAGAATGCACTTACGCGAACACTGGCGCTAGGGTCATGCTCTTCGTCGGTGGTCCTTGCTCCCAAGGTCCTGGTCAAGTCGTCAACGATGACCTGAAGCAGCCCATAAGGTCGCATCATGATATTCAGAAGGATAACGCCAAGTATATGAAGAAAGCGATAAAGCATTACGATAACTTGGCTATGAGGACCGCTACAAACGGGCATTGTATCGACATATATTCCTGCGCTTTGGATCAAACCGGTCTGATGGAGATGAAGCAATGTTGCAATTCCACCGGCGGGCATATGGTTATGGGAGACTCGTTCAACTCGTCACTGTTCAAACAGACATTCCAAAGAGTATTCGCCAAAGATCAGAAGGGCGAACTGCGAATGGCATTCAACGCCACGCTGGAAGTAAAATGCTCGAGAGAACTTAAGGTGCAAGGCGGCATAGGCCCGTGCGTCTCGCTTAACGTCAAGAGTCCCTTAGTATCAGACACGGAGATCGGAATGGGCAATACAATACAGTGGAAGATGTGCACCTTGATGCCGAGCACCACTATGGCGCTGTTCTTTGAAGTGGTCAATCAGCATTCAGCGCCGATACCTCAAGGAGGAAGGGGGTACATACAGTTTATAACGCAGTATCAGCATACTGGTGGACAGAAGAGGATTCGCGTGACAACGGTCGCTAGGAATTGGGCCGATGCTACTACAAACATGCATCATATCAGTGCCGGTAAGTTGGAAAATGGATTTGTCATAAAATTACAAGAAAATAACATTTCAGATATTTTAATCTCCTCAAATGATTGTGTCCTTGATCATCACCTTCGCCACTACGATCAAGGACAAGCTAATACAGCAGACGCTCGATAATGTAAACTAATTTAATCCAAGTGTGGTTCACATTATCGAAATGTTTACATTAGCGAACGTGATTTATATAATATTTGATTTATTAAAAGAAACGTTTAATACATACTATTTATAACAAAATATTCTAACAGCGATAAGTATTTTTTTAATTAGAAGAAAAATAATTAACAATTTTTGTCTGCGTAAATTTGCGCTTAGCATCGTCTTCCAGTGCCTGCGCCCGTAATTTACGAAGAACTAAAATATCCGTGTATGAAACTTCTTTTCTTTCAGCCCAATCTAAAGCTTGGTTAAAAACTTGTATAGCTTGCGCGTCAGTCACTACACTTCTGACTTCAATGGGATCGTTCTCATCATCCTCACTGTCCATATCCTCCTCCTTATCAGCATCGTTCGTCTGCTTATCTTCGTTCCATAAATTAATATCAGCAGGAGTACAAACAATGTTGGGATTCACTGTTTTCAATAAATCAACACCATCCAATGACACACTAATAACATTATCATTATTGGATCGCAAACGTTCTCTAATTACGCTTAAGGGGACATCGTCTTCTTCATCATCTTCATTATTGGTACAAAAGAGATAGTTCCAACATTTTTGAATAGTTTGCTGGTTAAGTTCTTTCCAGGCCATATGTACATCTAAAACAGCTTCTCGTAATGTTACTTTTTTTAAAGCCTCAGATATGTTTTCAGGATTCTTTGATAAGACAGACGAAAGTAGAAACTTCCTATAGTATAGTTTGGTGAGTCTTATTATATTCTGGTCCATCGGTTGAATTAACGGTGTTACGTTGGGCGGCATGTACATGACGAAAATTGACCCATCCCTGCTCCTCAGTTGTTGCTCAGGAGGATGACTTGGTGCATTATCCAATAGTAACAACGCTTTTATTGGAAGCTTCTGTTGTTTTAGGAAACCATTTACCTACAAATTGAAAACACATCTTCAAATTATGAATAGAGCATTTGTGATAATTGATTGTCATACCTGAGGGACAAAGCACCTGTGGAACCATTTCAGGAATATACTGCTAGTCATCCAAGCGGTTTTTGAACAGTCATAATCAACAGGGATATTAACATTTTTAAATGAGCGCGGATTTTTTGCTTTCCCAATTACCAGTGGCTTTATTTTGTGTGAACCATTAGCATTAGTGCAGGCTAGAAACGTTATTCGTTGTTTCTCCGGCTTTCTTCCCGGGGCAGATTTTTCAAATGATGCAGCATAGGTTTTCTCTGGTAACATTTTCCAATAAAGGCCACTTTCATCTGCGTTGTAAATTTGTTCCATTCTTAAATCTAGCTCGGTAATTGTTTTCATCAATTTCTCTTTGAATGGTTGCACTAATTGTGGTTGTGCTGATAATTTTTCACCAGATATAGACAACAGTCGGATTCCATATCTTGTTTTGAATCGTGTAGCCAGCCATCACTAGCTACGAAATTTACAGTTTCTTTCAGTTTTTCATTTAACAGTCTCGCTCTCTGTTTAAGTACTTCGCTGGGACATGATTTTCCCGTTGTTTTAAAAACCACTTATACAGGGAATTTTCCATTTTAGGTGCCTTCGCATTTTTTAAAGTTTTTCTTTTTCCCGGACCTCAAAATTGTAAAATTTGAGTTTTCATACGCTTAATTTTACAGATTGTTGCTTTCGATACTCCATATTTTTTTGCTAACTGTGTCACTCCCGCACCTAGTGCAACTTCGTCTATGATTTTCACTTTCTCACTCAACTTTAAACACTTTCTTTTATAGGATGTGGATGCCATAGTCGTAAAATATATTAACGCGTGCAATGTATTCACTTAAGTTCAAAAATGAAATACATACGTACGTATAAACGTATCCTAAACGATCATACGACTGATCGAGTTTGTCGTATTTTATCGCAGAGGTGAATCCCCTACAGTCTACATCATAAATCGGGGACTCCCCGACGCCCGACATAAATCATCGAGTCTTCAGCATTTTACCGTCGCCGCTGTTTCCGTGCGCCGAGAGTTGTTTACGTTATCGAGCGTACACATTGTTTACGATATCGCGCGTTCCGTTTGATCCTATAGAACGAAGTTTGTGTTTACATTAGCGCAAGTTTTCATTATCCCGTGTTTACGTTATCGAGCGTCTGCTGTATGTTCAAACTGAACTCCCCCTTTTTTACACTGGAATTGGAAAGAGGAAAAAATGTACGTCATGTGCTTCAAGGTCAAGACAAAAATTTTCAACAGCACAGTTGTGATGGTCGCCCTAAGGTGACCTTGGCCATGACCTTCAAGGTCAAGCCAAAATTTTTAAATCCCTCATTTTTATCATGGAGTTGGAAATGAAAGTCAAGGTCATGTCCGTAATTGTTATGTTTTTGTAAGGTAACCTCTTGATTTTTATGTCAAAATTGCAGAGAGCTAGAACACGTTTATGTATAAATTCACAATTTCTCACAACTTTTTTGAAAATCCTACTTTTCTCACTCTGCTTTGGCCCCTGAGGCATTCAAACATGCAAAACTGTCGCGAACCCCCAGCGCATCGTAAAAATTCCTGACATAGATTTCGAGTTGGGGATTTCAAATTGTCTCTTTTCAGGATTCGACCAAGAAGCAGCCGCGGTGATCATGGCTCGAATGGCAGTGTACAGAGCTGAAAGCGACGACAGTCCAGACGTTCTCAGATGGGTGGACCGAATGCTGATTCGTCTCTGTCAAAAGTTCGGCGAATACAACAAGGACGATCCAAACTCATTTAGACTTAACGAAAACTTCAGTTTGTATCCTCAGTTCATGTATCATCTAAGACGTTCGCAATTTTTGCAAGTGTTCAACAATTCTCCAGATGAAACATCGTTCTATAGGCATATGTTGATGAGAGAGGATTTGACTCAGAGTTTGATCATGATCCAACCGATTCTTTATAGTTATAGTTTCAATGGACCTCCGGAGCCGGTACTGCTCGATACTAGTTCTATCCAGCCAGATAGGATCTTACTGATGGATACTTTCTTCCAAATTTTGATTTTCCATGGAGAAACGATAGCGCAATGGAGGAAAATGCGATATCAAGAGATGCCGGAGTACGAAAATTTCAGGCAACTGTTGCAGGCACCCGTAGACGATGCCCAAGAAATCTTGCAAACGCGATTCCCAATGCCTAGGTACATAGATACTGAACAAGGCGGGTCCCAAGCTAGGTTTTTGCTTTCAAAAGTCAACCCGAGTCAGACTTACAACAACATTTATTCTCATGCTGGTGATTCAGGTGCACCTGTACTCACTGACGATGTTTCACTGCAAGTGTTTATGGATCATTTGAAAAAATTGGCAGTATCCTCCACAGCTTAGTTTTAATTATTTAATGTAAGATTATATTCTGATTTTAGTTACAATTGTAAAATTAATTATGTATGTTATTTTTTTAATATATATCTATTTATCTGAAGGTGTTTTGTTTTTGAGAGATGACAGACCTAAAAGATTGTTGTTTATCACCAAGACTGTTTAGAGTTAAATTGTTATGGTTAAATTCACAATATATGAAAGCATGTGGATATGTTGAATGATTCAAATGCCATTTCAAAGGCATATAAATGACGTTTTGAAAATATTGTGGATGTATATACAGGGTGTCCCAGAAGTCGACGTCAAGCCGAAACCGGGTGATAGGCAAAGTCATAACAGCTATCAGAAAAATATTTAAAAAAATTTTATGTATATGTTTTGAAAATTATAGGTCTTTGAAAAAAATATAGAAATTTCACACCCTACGGCAGTCTGTCAACTCCTGTTACTACAAATATTAACTTTTTTTGGATTTTATTTTTACAATGTAATGATGAATAATGCATCTTCAAACTGGTGTCTCAACATTACCGCCAACTTTTCTCGTTCAGGAAAAATTGCCACTTATTTCCCAACCAAATATTCCAACGTAAAACTTTGCTCAACTTTAACTGGCTGTACTGGAAAAAAATGTACTACGAGAGTTTGGCAAGTAACCTTAAAAGTTGGCGCATTTAATAAGGATTCCAAAATGGTATAACACTTAGAAGATTACTCGTTAACTTATGCACAATTTTTATTTGAAGAAAAACTGGTGAAAATTTTTCAAAATTTCCCAATTAAACAGCGATTATGAAAACGCACAAGTACCCTTAAGGATAACTGTTTACACAACAGTGGGCGTCAAAATGCTGCTGATGATGATTTTACCTTACAGCAAATGCTCAAAATGTTTTCTTTCAGCCGCAATACACGCTCGACATCTTAAAAAAGATCGGGTTATTAAACGACCGAATCCACGGTTATTAACAAACTCAGCTGCTTCCAATAGTCTTTGCCGTAGCTCAGCTACGTTTTGAATCGGCTTGAAATACACTTTTTCTTTTACAGTTACCCAGTAAAAAAATCTAACGGATTCAAATCTGGTGACCGGGCTGGCCACGGTATTGCACCAGACCGCCTTATCCATCTGCCTGGAAAGTTTTGATCGAGATACTCTCTCACTGAGAGTGCATAGTGCGCTGGGCAGCCATCATGCTGAAACCACATGTCCCTATAAATACTCAGTGGCACGTCCTCCAATAAATTTTCTAAATGATTTTGCAAAAAACCTAAATAAACCTCAGCAGTCAAAGTCTCTGGGAACTCAAACGGACCGATTATTTTACCATTTAAAATTCCTGTCCAATGGTTTATCTAGAAGCGATATTGAGATTTATCTTCTCTCATCAAATGTGGGTTTGCTACGTGCCACTCGTGTAAGTTATGCAGGCTCATGTACCCATCTTTCTTAAATGTGGTCTCATCTGACCATAAAATTTTTTCAAAGAACCGTGGATCTTTCCTGTGTCTTTCTAACATTGTGTAACAAAAAGCAACTCGGGGCTCATAATACCGGGGCAGAAGAGCTTGAACACGCTGTACGTGATATGGATGCATTATTCATCATTATATTGTAAAAATAAAAACCAAAAAAAGTTAATATTTGTAGTAACAGGAGTTGACAGACTGCAGTAGGGTATGAAATTTCTATATCTTTTTCAAAGACCTATAATTTTCAAAACACATACATAAAATTTTTTTAAATATTTTTCTGATAGCTGTTATGACTTTGCCTATCACCCGGTTTCGGCTTGACGTCGACTTCTGGGACACCCTGTATACTAAGTGACATATAAATCCGAACACCCAGTTTAAATGGTTTTATTTTAATAAAAGTTGGTGAATGTATTTATCTTACTGTAAATAACAAGTGAAAAAATTTTCAGCCTTATCAGTTGGACATTCCGGTTTTTATACTGCTTTTTTTTTAATTCACTAACGCTCTAAAAATGAATATTTCAGCCGCAGTAAAGAATCAACGTTGGCGGATTTTGGTTCTTGACATCCTTTACGATCGGTTACGATGCCTAGAGTACGGAGACCTGTACGATTTCGTCAACTTAGTGAGTTTGATAGGGGCCGTATAGTGGGACTTCGGGAAGCTGGACTTTCTTTTCGGGCAATTGCAGTTAGAGTGCAAAGAAGTGTAGACACTGTGGTTAGGTGTTGTCAGGCATGGCTTCGAGAAGGCCGTACGCAAAGAGCAAGGGGCACTGGACGCCGCCGTAGAACAACAGACCGTGAAGATCGCCGCCTAAGATTATTGGCCTTAAGGGACCGTTTCTCCACTACCAGGTCCATTGCAAATGAATGGTTTGCAGAACACGGAAAACCTATTGGCATGCGAAGTGTTTACCGACGAATGAGAAGTTTTGGCTTGTTTTCATACCGGCCACACTGGGTCCTCCCTTTAACTCGAGAACACCGACGTAATCGCCTTGAGTGGTGCAGACAACGGTCACTCTGGGATCAGGAATGGAACAGTATTGTCTTTAGTGACGAGTCTCGATTTTGTTTAGGCATGCACGATGGTCGTGCCAGGGTTAGAAGGCGACGTGGTGAAAGGAGGAATCCACAGTTTTTTGTTGAAAGACATGTTCATCACACTGTTGGAGTTATGGTTTGGGGTGCTATAGCTTATGGTTCCAGGTCACCTTTAATCTTCATCAGAGGTAACATGAACGCGCAGCGTTATATCCACGAAGTTCTAGAACCCCATCTTGACACCCTGGCAGATCCAACTTTCCAACAAGATAATGCCCGACCACATGTTGCAAGAGTCACAATAGACTTCTTTCAACATAGTGATGTCACATTGTTACCATGGCCACCAAGATCTCCCGACTTATCCCCAATTGAGCACGTGTGGGATATGATGGGTAGGAGATTGCTCAATTTGCAACGTCCTCCTCAGACTCTAGAAGCACTTCGAGAGGAGTTGGTGGTTGCCTGGAATGAGATATCATAGGAGGACATTGACCACCTGATCAGAAGCATGCCTAGGCGCGTTGGAGAATGCGTAGCACATCAGGGTGCATCGACACATTATTAAAGGTCAAAGGGCTTTAAAGCAGTGCAATCATTTTGGAATTTTTATCATTTACTTATTATGCTTCATTAAGTACTTATACAAAATTTTATTAAAATAAAACCATTTAAACTGGGTGTTCGGATTTGTATGTCACTTCGTATATTTGGCCGATAAATTCAAAATATGAGCTAAACAACCAAATTGAACTATGATGAATTGTTTTTCTAATGCGGAACAAAACTTACTATAATGTGAAACTGGCTTTCGGTGATTTTATTACAAGTGCTGTATTTTTAGGGTACTTTGCAGTATATGATTCTGCTCTTACTAGGGTAGTGTCTACCAAGAATGACAATATTTATTTACCAGACGCTCATTATGAATAATTTTGATGGTCAACGTTGTAGATATGGGTGATATAATTCATGAGGTCCAATAATGAAATACGGTTTATATACTAGAGCTATATTTTCCATAGACTTCTCCGCAATTTAATACTTAAATACATAGTTACAAAATGTGGTAGTCTTAAAGGTACAAATTATAATAAGTTATAAATACAGTGCTCTTTACTTAAGTAATCACAAGTCTTAAAAATAAAGATGAATCCTCAACCCCACAGGTCCTCGGATCTGCCAAACTTGTAGATTATGGACGACACAAAAATCAAGGTATTTTGTAGGAAAAGTGAAACCCCTGCTCTGTGGTGACCTAAAAAAAAAAAAGATTCATTTAAAAACTTTTTTGCAGTAAAATCACATTTTAGATTATCCAAATGTAAAGATGTTTTTGAATCAATTTGATTTTGTCTTTCCTTATGCTTTATTGTTAAGTTACAACGTGAGGCGTAGGCAAAATTAAATGACGGTATATGTGATGTTCGTAAGTACAAACCTTCCTCCATAAAATTCGCAAACAGAATCCAGCATGAAGCAATGACTGAGGCAAATCCCATGACAAATCCTAAAAAGAGCCAAATCCTTGTTCCTCTTGATCCCATACAACCTCCTTCATAAATATCACCCCTCATCTGCAACACAATTTAATGCTATAAAAATTGAAATGCAATAAGTAGAGTGCTGAATAGTTTAGAAGGCAAGATACAACTGGAGCTTTTAAGGTGACCTTATAGAAAGGTATTGTGCTGACACATGTACAGGACTTAGGCCCATATCGTCAGTCGTCCCTACAATTGTAGGGCGCGTTTATGGCCTCCTTGATTGTCATACCCCTTTCTCTCCTTCAAAAATTTCTAGATTACACTTGTCCCGTGTCAGCGTCAGCGCTCTCCTATTGTGAAGATGTTTTCTTTTTAAATTGTAGGAAATTTCAGGCTGATAAAACATGAACTCAAGCACAATTTGATGCAAATAGATGTTTGTGACATAACCTCAAGATAGAGCGCTGACATGGAGAAGTAGGAAACTATGACAATCAAGGAGGCCATGAAGGCGCCCTATAACTGTAGGGACGACTGACGATACGGGCCTTAGTATCAAAATATGTTATTTAAATTTTTGTACTCTGGTGTTGCTTAATACAGAAGCTGAGTGCAGTCTATGGTTAGATTTCATTGCTATTGGGCATGTTATGATTGTCACCTCATACAAGTATATTTTGTTAATAGACACCAGTCTTTGTATAAAACCTACCTGAGCATTCGATACAGAGTTGACCATTATCAAAGACAATGTTCCTACAACTCCACACATGTGGTATCCTGCCTTTATGTAAGGAGTCGTGCTTCCTGCATCGATGATCGCCCACCAGCCAGAGAAAAACTGAAAAAGTCTCGTGAAAAGATGGAAAAACGCTTAGGATGTTAGCGCCTTACCAAAAGTCCAGCTAGCATCGAAACGTATGCATTTTTCTTGTTACCTGTTTCGAACCAGATGCACGGTGGAAGACTCATGTTTTCGAAACAACTACTCAAACCCATCCTAAATTGCGGAAAAAGGAAAATATGTGGAAATTTGTTTATTTTTTGTGTGATTACTCAGATGTTAGCACGGAACATCACTGTCATATGATATCATCATAGACCACATATGCTCTAGAAGTACATCCCTCATGTATACCAGAAAGTGTGCCTACCCGTCATTTTCATCCCTGTAGATGAGTTCTATTGAAGATTTGTTATAGATTAGTTTGTTCCGCTCTGATAAGTATCAAACTCGTGTTTTTTCTACAATAATGACCTTTTTACAAGTATATTGTCGTGATAAAAATGACGGATTTGATTGTCTTCTATGGTGTGGCATGAGTTCATCTAGCTGCACCCTTAGCTTACTCTAGAACATGGCCGCCTTTATAGTTCTTGATGTTCAGCTTTGTTCAATCTGTTTTGTAGATTGGTCTATGTCTTTCGCTGCTGAAATATATTTTCTGTAAATTTGGAAGTTTCGCGACTTGGCTTAGCAGATTTTCAGATGCGAGAAAATATCAACCTCATAAAAGCATTAGCATTCATCTTGCCGTAGTTTTATAATAAAAACAAAAATTATACTGATAAAGGATATATTTGAGATTTCTTTGTATTATATATAAGAATCATTTAAAATATAATAAGGAATCTGTTTTTCTGGTGATGCAACCAAGTACTGATATGACAGGATAGGATTGATTGTTAGAAAGAACATCACTGTCATATGACATGATCATAGAACACGTAAGCTGTAGAAGTACATCCCTAAGGTTTACCAGAAAGTGTACCTACCCGCCATGTTCACTAAGGTAGATGAGTTCCATTGAAGCTTTTTTATAGATTAGTTTGTGCTTCTCTGATAAGTATCAAACCCGTAATTTTTGTACAATAGTGACCTTTTTACAAGTACATTGTCATGAAATTACGGATTTGGATATTGCTTTCTATGGTGTGGTACGAGTACATCTAGCTGTACCCTTAATTTACCCTAGAACATGGCCGTCTTATTTTGTTCTTGACGTACAACGTTGTTCAATCTGTTTTGTAGTTTCGTCTATGTCTTTCGCTGCTGAAATATATTTTCTGTGAATTTGAATGTTTCGCGGCTTTGCTTAGCAGATTTTCAGATGCGAGAACATATCAACCTCATAAAAGCATTAGCATTCATCTTGCCGTAGTTTTATAATAAAAACAAAAATTATACTGATAAAGAATATATTTGAGATTTCTTTGTATAATATATAAGAATCATTTAAAATATAAAAAGGAATCTGTTTTTCTGGTGATGCAACCAAGTACTGATATGACAGGATAGGACTGTTAGAAAGAACATCACTGTCATATGAGATGAGTTCCATTGAAGCATTTTTATAGATTAGTTTGTGCTTCTCTGATAAGTATCAAACCCGTGGTTTTTGTACAATAGTGACCTTTTTACAAGTACATTGTCATGATGAAAATGACGGATTTGGATATTGCCTTCTATGGTGTGGTACGAGTACATCTAGCTGAACCCTTAATTTACCCTAGAACATGGCCGTCTCATTTTGTTCTTGACGTATAACATTGTTCAATGTGTTTTGTAGTTTCGTCTATGTCTTTCGCTGCTGAAATACATTTTCTGTAAATTTGAATGTTTCGCGGCCTTGCTTAGCAGATTTTCAGATGCGAGAAAATATCAACCTCATAAAAGCATTAGCATTCATCTTGCCGTAGTTTTATAATAAAAACAAAAATTATACTGATAAAGGATATATTTGGGATTTCTTTGTATAATATATAAGAATCATTTAAAATATAATAAGGAATCTGTTTTTCTGGTGATGCAACCAAGTACTGATATAACAGGATAGGATTGTTAGAAAGAACATCACTGTCATATGACATGATCATAGAACACGTAAGCTGTAGAAGTACATCTTTAAGTTTTACCAGAAAGTGTACCTACCCGCCATGTTCACTAATGTAGATGAGTTCCATTGAAACTTTTTTATAGATTAGTTTGTGCTTCTCTGATAAGTATCAAGTACAATAGTGACCTTTTTACAAGTACATTGTCATGATGAAAATTACGGATATGGATATTGCCTTCTATGGTGTGGTACGAGTACATCTAGCTGTACCCTTATTTTACCCTAGAACATGGCCGTCTTATTTTGTTTTTGACGTACAACGTTGTTCAATCTGTTTTGTAGTTTCGTCTATGCCTTTCGCTGCTGAAATATATTTTCTGTAAATTTGAATGTTCGCGGCTTTGCTTAGCAGGTTTTCAGATGCGAGAAAATATCAACTTCAAAAAAGCAGTCGTCTTGCCATAGTTTATAGTAAAACAAAAATTATACTGAATAAAGGATATATTTGAGATTTCTTTGTATAAAATATAAGAATCATTTAAAATATAATAAAAAATCTGTATTTCTGGTGATGCAATCAAGTACTGACATAACAGGGTTAGGAACAAATAACATGTCAACATGCAACCAGTTAAAATTTTTTATGTGTAAAAATTCGATAATAAAAAGTTTATCACACAACAGATTGGGTCATGTTGGAATGTCAAAATTTCCTAACTTAACAGGAATGATATTTTACGAAAAATAGCAAGTTATATAATTGAATATATAAAATTACGAGTTTCTTACAAATACACGCATGAGCAAAAATTAATGCCAAGCAGGTAGTTAAATTACATACCGAGCTTTTACAACAATTAACAATGAGCCCAATTGCAGATTTCCATTTCACTCCAACATCACAGTTCATTTTGAAAGTAATAAATAATTATACAGTTTAAAAAATGTTTATATTCGTAGTCCCAAAAGCTACAAAGAATTTAAAAATGCGATTCTGCAAGATGTGAACATAGTATTTTGATATTAAGATTTTTGGTCGGTACACTCCTAGGCCCATAACCTACATCATAGATATTTTGAGTGTTTCTTGCCTTTTGGAAAATCACTTTTTTCGAAGGAACAGTATCCAAAAATTGATTCTCAATAATGATAATTGATAAGGATAACCCGAAGTAAAGTTGGTCGTTTTTATGCATATATTTTTTTATATAAAAAACTACCTCTAAAGGGATCACCTGTTAATATGCAGCTTACCGAACGTCTACTAATCGAAATCACCATAAAATATTGCAAGTCAGCAATGTATGTAAAACACTGTCTTTGCCAAAGTGAAAGAGAAACCTTGCACTAACTATATTTTGGCCTACACTGGAGCTAAAATTACATATCGGCATGATTTCATAAGTCAATATAAAATATGAATTATCACTCATCCTCGGTTCTCCTCTGAAGTTTCTCGGGATGAGAACATGCTAACCTAGAGAAGTCCCTAACTACGTCGTTGAATGTGTCGTCACCTGTGACTCCCATCTCGGAATCTTTCATTTCTTCGTTTAACCTGCCTAACCTCAACCTGAAACGCGTTAAAAGTAGTTTCAAAGGTGCGTGAAGGTATTTGTGATTCATATCGAGCGGCTAGGGGATATGGCACCTGCAACGCGGACACAAAAAATGTTCTCCTAACCGGACAAAAAAAAACACCTTGTCTTATTTAGAGTATCGCTATTGCAGTTTTCAATATGTTAGAAATGATAAACTCACAATGTGACAATATCGGCATGTTCCTTCTGCTCAGCCATCGATAGAGGCACCTTTCCTTCGTCGTCTTCGAGATGTTGGTCAGCGCGATGCTTCAAGAAGAGACACACCTGCGCCGTATGACCCTCCTGCGTGGCGAGATGCAAAGGCGTTTTGCCGTTCTGATCCTGGGCGTTGATTTTGGCACCGTTCAAGATTAAGTATGCGCACGGCATGACAGATCCCTGTAAAAAATAATGTCGTCAATACTTCTCACACAATTCCGGACGGATCGACTTTGTATACGCGTCTGAGTCAACTCTTGTACGCTCTGGTGTCTTGGTTGTCCCTGGCGTGTACTCTGTAATGACTGCTCTTTAAAAAACTCATTAAAGTATCCTGTCTGATACAATAAAAAAAAAAAATAGATACAAGAATAAAATAAAAGCAGCATACAAATTTAGTAATTCTGAAATGAAGGGAAAAGACGGATTTAATACGGACAAGGGACAGGAATGTCCTGACAATCTTAAATATACTAAGTGACATATAAATCCGAACACCCAGTTTACATGGTTTTATTTTAATAAAAGTTGGTGAATGTATTTATCTTACTGTAAATAACAAGTGAAAACTTTTTCAGCCTTATCAGTTGGACATTCCGGTTTTTATACTGCCTTTTTTTAATTCACTAACGCTCTAAAAATGAATATTTCAGCCGCAGTAAAGAATCAACGTTGGCGGATTTTGGTTCTTGACATCCTTTACGATTGGTTACGATGCCTAGAAAACGGAGACCTGTACGATTTCGTCAACTTAGTGAGTTTGATAGGGGCCGTATAGCGGGACTTCGGGAAGCTGGACTTTCTTTTCGGGCAATTGCAGTTAGAGTGCAAAGAAGTGCAGACACTGTGGTTAGGTGTTGTCAGGCATGGCTTCGAGAAGGCCGTACGCAAAGAGCAAGTGGCACTGGACGCCGCCGTAGAACAACAGACCGTGAAGATCGCCGCCTAAGATTATTGGCCTTAAGGGACCGTTTCTCCACGACCAGGTCCATTGCAAATGAATGGTTTGCAGAACACGAACGACCTATTGGCATGCGAAGTGTTTACCGACGAATGAGAAGTTTTGGCTTGTTTTCATACCGGCCACACTGGGTCCTCCCTTTAACTCGAGAACACCGACGTAATCGCCTTGAGTGGTGCAGACAACGGTCATCATCAGGAATGGAACAGTATTGTCTTTAGTGACGATTTTGTTTAGGCATGCACGATGGTCGTGCCAGGGTTAGAAGGCGACGTGGTGAAAGGAGGAATCCACAGTTTTTTGTTGAAAGACATGTTCATCACACTGTTGGAATTATGGTTTGGGGTGCTATAGCTTATGGTTCCAGGTCACCTTTAATCTTCATCAGAGGTAACATGAACGCGCAGCGTTATATCCACGAAGTTCTAGAACCCCATCTTTTACCCTATCTTGACACCCTGGCAGATCCAACTTTCCAACAAGATAATGCCCGACCACATGTTGCAAGAGTCACAATAGACTTCTTTCAACATAATGATGTCACATTGTTACCATGGCCACCAAGATCTCCCGACTTATCCCCAATTGAGCACGTGTGGGATATGATGGGTAGGAGATTGCTCAATTTGCAACGTCCTCCTCAGACTCTAGAAGCACTTCGAGAGGAGTTGGTGGTTGCCTGGAATGAGATACCACAGGAGGACATTGACCACCATGCCTAGGCGCGTTGGAGAATGCGTAGCACATCAGGGTACATCCACACATTATTAAAGGTCAAAGGGCTTTAAAGCAGTGCAATCATTTTGAAATTTTTATCATTTACTTATTATGCTTCATTAAGTACTTATACAAAATTTTATTAAAATAAAACCATTTAAAGTGGGTGTTCGGATTTATATGTCACTTAGTATATGTTGAAGATCCAGATTCAGGCCAAGAAATTGAAAATCCAGATGAAATACAAGAACTTTCCGAAAATTTTGATGTCAATGAGGTTCCAGTACAAACAGAAGCTATTCCAAATTGGGGTAAAAAGTAGCAAAGTAGCTCAAAAATGTTGTCGAAAATCAGGGAGATACAGAAACTTTGGAGCTTCTTTCTAAATTAGAAATATGATTTCAAGGCGGCATTTTAAAGAAAAAGAGGAGACAAACGACAATATATGAATTTTTGAATCCTTAAAATGACTTTTTATTTCATTGTTTTGTGTTACTACATTCTTTGTATGTGGGTATTTACCTCAGTAAATTTCGAAATTCATGTGCATGGATTTATCATCAATTTAACATTTTTATTATATCAATAAGTACCTAAACTAATATTTTAGAAGCCAAAATGTAGATAATATATTGACAATAAAAATACGATTAATTTTTTAGTGTAAAAGTCGTTCCCTTATCTCGTCCCTGGGTCCGAAATTAAAAATAGAAAAATATATACAATCAAATCTGTTCATATTCTTATAAATTGAATATTACTACAATATTTGGTAATAAGTGTGGATTGTATAGTCAAGCTTTCATTGCTAAAAAATAAATATGTATATAAAAAAATCTATTTAAACATCGTGTCCTTGAAATGAAATTATTCCCTTTTATCATTTACTTATTATGCTTCATTAAGTACTTATAGAAAATTTTATTAAAATAAAACCATTCAAACTGGGTGTTCGGATTTATATGTCACTTAGTATATGTTGAAGATCCAGATTCAGTCCAAGAAATTGAAAATCCAGATGAAATACAAGAACTTTCCGAAAATTTTGATGTCAATGAGGTTCCAGTACAAACAGAAGCTATTCCAAATTGGGGTAAAAAGTAGCAAAGTAGCTCAAAAATGTTGTCGAAAATCAGGGAGATACAGAAACTTTGGAGCTTCTTTCTAAATTAGAAATATGATTTCAAGGCGGCATTTTAAAGAAAAAGAGGACAATATATGAATTTTTGAATCCTTAAAGTGACTTTTTATTTCATTGTTTTGTGTTACTACATTCTTTGTATTTACCTCAGTAAATTTCGAAATTCATGTGCATGGATTTATCATCAATTTAACATTTTTATTATATCAATAAGTACCTAAACTAATATTTTAGAAGCCAAAATGTAGATAATATATTGACAAAAAAAAAATACGATTAATTTTTTAGTGTAAAAGTCGTTCCCTTATCTCGTCCCTGGGTCCGAAATTAAAAATAGAAAAATATATACAATCAAATCTGTTCATATTCTTATAAATTGAATTTACTACAATATTTGGTAATAAGTGTGGATTGTATAGTCAAGCTTTCATTGCTAAAAAATAAATATGTATATAAAAAAATCTATTCAAACATCATGTCCTTGAAATGAAATTATTCCCTTTTATCATTTACTTATTATGCTTCATTAAGTACTTATACAAAATTTTATTAAAATAAAACCATTCGGATTTATATGTCACTTAGTATAGTTTAGTTAAGTATTGGATTGTAATCTGGATAACTAGTTAGTGTATAAATAAATTTCTTCATTAAACAAAAACCCGATGAATATTGTGTGCCAAAACTTTAGGGCATATGTTATTCTTGAGTGAGTAAATATGACATACACAGGTAAGTAAAAATAAAACAAGATAAAAGATCGCGTATATAAGCTCAATATACTCACACTTAATACTGCTGCATGTATAGGACTCCTACCTCTATCCTCAGGATTTACCCAGTTTTTATCTGCTCCCAAGGCTAAAGCTTCACACATGACTGGCAAATTATGAGCTGCTGAGGCTTTATAAAGCAATAGGTCAGGTTGGAGCTTAGAGATATCCTCTTCTCCTAGAAAGGCAGCCAATGAAAATAGATTTTACCTTTCATATCAATTTGTTTTTTCTTTCTAGCACGAAAAAGTTACATCTCAATTTCGCTTGCTAACGCATAAATATATGCATAGCCTTCAATGTTCTGGTTGAACAAGTTAATCAATGTTTACACTCAAATCCAAACATTATCTTTGTTAGCAAAATCACAGCGTTTTTGTACTTTTATTAGTTTTTCTTACCGACTATTTCGTTTTCATCTTCGCCGCCCGTAGATTCTTGATCGCTGCTCAAATCGATAGAGCCGTCAATTGGCTGTTTCTCCAAATCGTTACCAAACAACAAAACGCCGTTTCTTTGCCTGAGACTGTTTCTTTTGGAGGACTCGCTGTTAGTATCGTCATCTTTGCCGCTGCTGCTACAACTTTCCGTACTTTCGGGAATATTTTCGATTTTGGGCAGATCTAGAACGAACGAAAAACAAATGCGTTTTTTGGTAAAACAGCGCAGGGTCTGTGTTGGAAAGGCTCTGCCCCAGTTCGTCCTAAAGAAGTTTATTTGGCAAAACCATTTGGAATCACGTAATCAAAGAAACAGTGCAAAACTGCTTCCGCAAAGCAGGATTCAAGCATGAAAATATGCAAAGTGAAGACCAGTTAAATGAGGTTGATACACCTGACCCAGAAGATGACTTACCAGTTAATGTATTCTTTATCTGAAGTCACTTGAAATAGCATAAAAACCTTTGGTCGGCGCGTCCTTTGTAATTTCATGACGTATCATAGGCGCGCGGTCATTTATTTAGAACTATAATAATAATGTTTTTATATCACAATAAATGGATTTTACTATCTTCTTATTTTTTTGATTTGGGATAAAAAATACTTATATTGGGAGTTTAATTTATGTTGACTGAAAGTTAAGAAATGGAAAAATTACAGAATTCCAACGTTTGACATAGGCAAATATTTACATAGCAGGTAGGTATATAAAAAGGTATATAAAGACTTACATTATAGGTATTTATATATCATCCTCGCCTTCGGAGCTGTCGCTAGAGTCATCTTGTAGAGGAATTACAACGGGATTTACAGGAGGCAAAACACAATATTCATTTTCTTTTTCAATAATATGCCTAGAATACTGCTTCCATAGGTCTGTGGCAGCAATATGAGATACTGCATTTCTTATTGTGGCCAATAGCGATTCACTTAATTGAGGGGTCTGATTATGTTTTCTTACTTTTTTTTTAAAGCAGCCCAGACCAACTCAATCGGGTTAAAAATGCAGTAATAGGGAGGTAGACGTAATACTTCATGGCCATTTTGCTGAAGCAGATTGTCAACAACATACTCTTTTTCAAATTTTTATCTTTTAATAAGATCCAATAATATGGCTTTGGTTGATTTTTGTGGTATTTCCATTCCCTTATCCTTCATAAAATCAATAATGTCTTGTTTTTTTGTGCCTGTATTCGGAATTTTGTTTTTCTGTCGGGAATGGTATGGCGCATTGTCCATAATAATCACTGAACTTGGGGAAATGTTTGGTATTAACTGCTGCTCTATCCACTTTTCAAATAAGTCGGAGGTCATGTCCTCATGATAGTCGGCACATGATACTTTGATATTTTTGGCAGATAACAGCAAGGCATTAGGTATAAATCCATTTTCACTGCCAGCATGGAGAATAATGATTCGTTTTCCACGGTTGCATGGTGCATTTAAAATGCACTTGTTGCTGACGTCAACCCAGCCGTACTGCACAACATCATGGGTATCATACCACGTTTCATCCAGGTAAATCAGATTTCTTTTCTGCTCTCTATAGATTTTAACTTTGTGCAAAAATTCTTGGCGCAATTCAACGATTCGAGACGACTCCATAATCACCATTCTTTTATCTAATTTTTTGTATTGAAAACCACACAGTTTTACAATACAGTGCAGTGAGTCTAAGCATTTGTAATTATAAAAATCTTCAGGATAATCTTTTAATTTATCCCGTATCATTTCCAACGTGGGCACCAAATTTTCTTTATAAAATCCGTATATTATACGACGAATATCTTCCTGAAAACTCACGTCTATTCTTTTTAATTTTTGCCCTATGCGCTTTCTGTGGAAGGAATGGTTGACTACATCTCCCCTTTTTATAACCCGATAAATGGTAGACCGACTGATTTTTGTCAGGATACAAATTCTGTTTAAAATTTGATTTTGCGAGGAATCTGGATTTTCGTTTTTCAGACAATCATACATATTTAGGATTACTCTTTGGGTCTGTTCCTCTAAATCTTTATGAAAGAATTCTGCCTGCACAGGTTCATCAACCATCTCCTCGTGGCTTGGAGCATTTTCCCAAGGTCTCCAAAGAGCCATATTTAGGACACACAAGAACAATCAACACAACAATTAAATCAACAAATAAACTGAGTATTCAAAAGTCAAAAACACACAAACTAATAAAATCTATGTAAAAACATGGACAGACTAAAGAAAACACGTTTATTCACCGCTACACGGCACTGGCTAAACTGTTTCAATTTTCATTAGCCACCTGCACTTGTTCGGAGCTCTGAAATACACGCTTTCTCATTGGCTATGTCCACGCATAGGCGTGCTTTACTCCACGTGGACCGGTGAAACTGCCTTTGATCTTATACGGGGGATATTTGCTGCGAAATTTGGCGATTTTTGCAGCAACAGAGCGTGTTAAATATATATGTATAAAACGCACCCGGTATTTCACAGTGTTTCAAGTGACTTCAGATAAAGTATACTTTCAGATATCCTCAAAAATAAGGATTTATTGAAATTGACTGATAATGAAAACCTTTATGATTTTTTGGACCTAGATGAAAGTTTGTATGTTGAAGATCCAGATTCAGGCCAAGAAATTGAAAATCCAGATAAAATACAAGAACCTTCCGAAAATTTTGATGTCAATGAGGTTCCAGTACAAACAGAAGCTATTCCAAATTGCGGTAAAAAGTAGCCAAGTAGCTCAAAAATGTTGTCGAAAATCAGGGAGATTCAGAAACTTTGGAGCTTCTTTCTAAATTAGAAATATGATTTTAAGGCGCCATTTTAAATAAAAAGAGGAGACAAACGACAATATATGAATTTTTGAATCCTTAAAGTGACTTTTTATTTCATTGTTTTGCGTTACTACATTCTTTGTATGTGGTTATTTACCTCAGTAAATTTCGAAATTCATGTGCATGGATTTATCATAAATTTAACATTTTTATTATATCAATAAGTATCTAAACTAATATTTTAGAAGCCAAAATGTAGATAAGATATTGACAAAAAAATACGATTAATTTTTTACCGTTCCCTTATCTCGTCCCTGGTTCCGAAATTAAAAATAGAAAAATATATACAATCAAATCTGTTCATATTCTTATAATTTGAATATTACTAAAATATTTGGTAATAAGTGTGGATTGCTAAAAAATAAATATGTATATAAAAATTCTATTTAAACATCATGTCCCTTGAAATGAAATTATTCCCTCGCCCATTATAAATATTCGATTTGTAGTCACATCATTTGATATTTTTGATCGGAGCTGTTATGTTTTTAAAAGTTGGCAATGCTGCTAATAATGTCTACATGGCGGAATTACGTAATAGTGAAAAGAGTTGCTGTAAAAAAGCATTGGAATTCAATAATTAGAACATTACATTTCTCTGTGTCATTATCTCACTGTTTATATTAAAAGGTAAGTCATCACACTGTTCGAATGTTTTGAAGATTTTTTCTTGTTTTGGGGAGTACAATGCATTCCCAAAATGCTAAATCAATTTGGGGTGATGTACTGTTGTCTTGTCTTTAGAAGCTTTGCGCGAAAAGGGAAGATTAAAGTATTTAAATAAGAAGAGTAAAGGTCAGCTGCAGTAAAGAATCAACGTTGGCGGATTTTGGTTCTTGACATCCTTTACGATCGGTTACGATGCCTAGAGTACTTAGACCTGTACGATTTCGTCAACTTAGTGAGTTTGATAGGGGCCGTATAGTGGGACTTCGGGAAGCTGGACTTTCTTTTCGGGCAATTGCAGTTAGAGTGCAAAGAAGTGTAGACACTGTGGTTAGGTGTTGTCAGGCATGGCTTCGAGAAGGCCGTACGCAAAGAGCAAGGAGCACTGGACGCCGCCGTAGAACAACAGACCGTGAAGATCGCCGCCTAAGATTATTGGCCTTAAGGGACCGTTTCTCCACTACCAGGTCCATTGCAAATGAATGGTTTGCAGAACACGGAAGACCTATTGGCATGCGAAGTGTTTACCGACGAATGAGAAGTTTTGGCTTGTTTTCATACCGGCCACACTGGGTCCTCCCTTTAACTCGAGAACACCGACGTAATCGCCTTGAGTGGTGCAGACAACGGTCACTCTGGGATCAGGAATGGAACAGTATTGTCTTTAGTGAGGAGTCTTGATTTTGTTTAGGCATGGTGAAAGGAGGAATCCACAGTTTTTTATTGAAAGACATGTTCATCACACTGTTGGAGTTATGGTTTGGGGTGCTATAGCTTATGGTTCCAGGTCACCTTTAATCTTCATCCGAGGTAACATGAACGCGCAGCGTTATATCCACGAAGTTCTAGAACCCCATCTTTTACCCTATCTTGACACCCTGGCAGATCCAACTTTCCAACAAGATAATGCCCGACCACATGTTGCAAGAGTCACAAAAGACTTCTTTCAACATAATGATGTCACATTGTTACCATGGCCACCAAGATCTCCCGACTTATCCCCAATTGAGCACGTGTGGGATATGATGGGTAGGAGATTGCTCAATTTGCAGCGTCCTCCTCAGACTCTAGAAGCACTTCGAGAAGAGTTGGTGGTTGCCTGGAATGAGATACCACAGGAGGACGTTGACCACCTGATCAGAAGCATGCCTAGGCGCGTTGGAGAATGCGTAGCACATCAGGGTGCATCCACACATTATTAAAGGTCAAAGGGCTTTAAAGCAGTGCAATCATTTTGAAATTTTTATCATTTACTTATTATGCTTCATTAAGTACTTATACAAAATTTTATTAAAATAAGACAATTTAAACTGGGTTTTCGGATTTATATGTCACTTAGTATACATGTTCCTGACGTTGCAAGAAACAGACTTATTTTCGGAGGACTGTCAACGGACCTCAAGAAGAACTATGAAGATCTTGGAAGTAAGCATGGAGAAAATAAAAATATTAAAAAATGTTGCAAATAGTGCGAAAATACAAATTGCTATATAGATCGAACATTTTGTCAAAAACGACAGGTACAAAAAGAACTCTACCGAAGTTAGCACCAACATGCTGAAAGTTAAGGGTGATGTTGTTAATTTCATAGAGAAGGATGAAAATACGAAGATATGCCCAGGGAAGAAGGGCTATCTAAGCTCTCTAAAGTATAAAACAAATCTCAATACATCTATTAATAAATTAACTTATGTTCCTCATTGAAATTCAGCATCAAATTGTAAAAATCATTCCCCCATCCTGTCAGTCATTCCCTCATTTCAAAGTTTTTTAAAATCATTTTTCTACATGTTATACACAAAAATATGGAGGACCTTCGTTTCCAATGAACATCATTAAAGTAAATAAATAAAATATTCATATTCCACTGAAATAAAATCATACAATATCAAATAATTTTACCTAATTTTGCAGTTTTCCGTTTATCACAGCTTCTGGGTCTCCGCCTCATTTTCCTCACACTCCATTTCCTAACCTCCATCAGGCTTGACCGTGAACACCTGTTTGGCGAGTCCGCCTTGTCTTTGAAATCGGGCAGACACTTGACGAAAAGACGGTCGACATACTTCGCTTTGATGAACGTCTCCCTTACGGCCCTAAAACGAGGTTTTCGACGTCATTTTTCACCGTTTAAATGCCTCTTTTAACAAACAACGTCGAACACTTGTCGCTGAATCACCAACAAAGAAACGTCGCTGATAACAAACTATAACGTATTGAATTCTCACCCTAAGCACTGTTCATGGGGTCTAGCAAAATCCGGCGGAATATTTGCTTCGTATATTTTATTGACGAGAGAGTTTCCTAGTTCGGCCATAACTTTGATTATTTCCGGCTCCCAGTCATCTAAAGTCAACGAGCGGACTTTGCTGTAATGCACTCCTAAACTTCTGTGGACTCCGGAACATTCTGAAATCATACTGAGTTACCGAGATAATAAGAAATCGGAAGTGGCTTTGTACAAGGTGTCCCATAAGTCGACCTCAATAGTTATCAGAAAAATATAAAAAAATCCGGAAAAATCGACACCCTGCAATGATAGGTATTTCATTACTACAAATTTAATTTTTTTCTTAAACGGAGTGATAGTCAGCAAAACAGACTTTTATTAATTCATGAATGTATTCATTAAATGCACAATAAATGTTCAAACCACTTTCATTCAGCAGCAATGCACGCTTCTTAAGATGTGTTGTGTTAACACATTTCTACTTTCGAGCACGGTTTCGATCTATTTCAATTAGGAATATAAATAGTCTTACGTACCAATACACAAGGTGATTCCCAAATTAATACTAGCCCACCTAGGATTGGGACTGCCGCAGTCGCAACAGAAATTATTGCCAGGAATTTTCAACAGCTGTTCCCACATTCTGCAAAATTAACAATTAAAACAAATGATTCGATACCTCACAAAATTCAAAATTTTAAGTGAAAATCAATATGGATTTACAGAAGGGAAGGCTACATCGGACGCAATAACTAAAATTGTAAATCAAATACATCAAAATATTGATAACAGAATCCCTTCTGCATTTTTGTTGATTTAAAGAAAGCTTTCGACACAGTTAATCACAAATTATTATTAGAAGCATTGGAGAGAATTGGTTTCAGAGGAAACGCGTACTCACTGATCGAAAGTTATTTGTCAAATCGCCCACAATCTGTGCAGATATCAGGATCATTTAGTAAAGAAATGTATATTAAGTGTGGTGTCCCACAAGGAACTGTCTTAGGTCCGCTGTTATTCAATATATATTTAAATGATATTTTCCAAATTAATTGTGTTGGCAAAATAACTAGTTTTGCAGATGATACTGCAATATTATATGAAGGCACTGACTGGTCTGATCTGAAAAATGTAATTAAAAATGATTTTATCAAAATTATTCGGTGGTTTAACAGTAGAAAATTAAGCATTAACTACTCTAAAACACATTTTTTACCATTTGGATCTTATGCTAGACATCTGCCAAATTACACAAATTTCTCCTTCAATATTAATGATCAAAAAATTCAAATTAATAGAGTGCCCAACATAAAATACCTTGGAGTGGTCTTGGATCCTCACTTACGATGGGACATCCATGTCAATTATATTTTAAAGAAAGTTAGATTTGTATCCTACAAAATTAAATACCTTGGGAATATATTGACAGAAAAATATCTTCGAACATTATACCATGCACTGATTGAGCCTCATCTCACATATGGTATATTAGCATGGGGAGCTGCATGTTCCTCACATATCTATAATTTAGATGTTTTTCAAAAAAGTATTCTAAAAATGATATTTAAAAAACCGAAACTTTATCCCACTGAAAAATTATACGCAGATGTTCGAATGTATGATATAAGACAGCTTTATTTCATACACAGTATCACTCACTACCATAAATTTGTAAACACCGACCAAAAAATTAAACATAATCATTATACCAGGTACAAAATTCGTGGCACAGTAGTTCCTCAACCGCATAAATCTATAATGCAGCGATCATATCTAAAGACTTACGTTTCGGAAATTGTTTCAAAAGAAATTTAAAAAAGTGGCTACATTCTATATCTAGGACTGAAATTCATAAACTCATAAATACGAACATCAACTAAATACATAATCTACTGTAACTAATTTTTGTCCTTTTTTGTCATTTGCATTCTACAGTTTCAACTTAAATTTATTGGTCCATGTACAGGCGATGCCTTCTATTGGGCCTGTTTTGATTTTATATTTATTTACTCATATTGTTTGTTATCTTTGTACATTGAGTGAATAAGTATTATTATTATTATTATTTTATCACTATTTACGTCAACGTCAAGTTTCTCGTATAGACGAAAATTCTTTGCTTTGTTCGTTGTCAGAGGATCTGTCTCGTACTGATGATTTCCAATAAGGATGAAACGCCACACGATTGTCTCAAAAATAAGGTACACACATTTTTTTCAGGCACAGGGAATTTTTTATTTGAAAAACGAATCCACCATTTGAAACGTATTTTTTTTCTTACACATTTTTTGGGAACCACATTTTTAAGACAGCCCTTGACAGACTAACTGCGAACTTACTTTATTTTTTTCATTTTACTTGTATCTTTAGACAGCGGCCCGTTTTGACTCCTCCGCGTTTCCTTATTCGAATGCCTGTGCAAATTGCCGACATTGTTTTTGTGATTATCCAAATCGCAACTTTGCACTCTCTGAATCGCGGCTCCGATACCTTTCTGTAGCGCTGTGATCCAGGCATCGTACATTTCTTTCGAGTCAGCCTGAAGCATGTGACTTCTGAAACATTAAAATTGCATTAAACGGATGGGAAGAATAACGTGTAAAAAATAATGCCGGAGAATCCCGTAAGAAAATGTCCCCCATGGAGCATCTAAAGGATTATAATAAAGCTATAATTTAGCGCGTCTTCGAACTCTAGACACGATAATGCAATGAAACAAATGGAACGAACACAGAAAAATCACCGAATATCAAGCAAGCATGTTCATATTGTTCAGATCCTGATATGAACACAAAAGCCTCAACAAAAAAAGTACGGCTAGAAATGCCTTCAACATTTCATCTGCGTATACTATACGAGTACTAGCAAATAAGTTTTTATCAAAATTCAATCAAGAATTTTGGATGTTGCTTTTATATGTGACTTAGTATATAATCATAATTTTGGAGAAAACAAATACAATAGCGTTTTTTATAGCATCTATCAACACATTAGAATAAACTGTTAACTCACTTCGCAGGCGACAGCACCTCGAAACAAAACCGTCTCTCTCCATCTGACACCGGCTTAACTGTACATAACCTCAAATCATCCTCCATAACAGTCTCTTGCTCTTCACCAGATCTTTTTCTGAAACAATTCCAAAGTTACGAAAAATTAGGTAGGACCGCCGCTCATCCTGTGAAACGTTTGCCACATGAAATATAATGCCTACCTATATACTAGCTTATTGTCATATAAGTAGAACCATCTTCTGTTCCACGTCTTGAAAGCATTCGAGGTTCTTTTGAACAAATATCCCTCCATAGTAGGAGAGTTCTTTTCGTTTTTCCTGGTGACTAGTTCTATATTCGATACGGACGCGTGAGTATTCTCGAGGTCCTTTTGCAGTTTGTACGTTTCATCTCTCATTGTAGCTATCTGAAAAAACCCGCCACATTTAAAAAACTAACCTGACCTAACGCTAAGCTATTTGGTAGTGTTAAATCGGTGCCTGTTCCCTTAAAATAATAATATTTAAATAGATTGTTATCTAGCAGACATCAACCCCACAGGGAAAATCGTCCCAGTTCTCATTAAAGACATAAAACCGACACCATTTAAATATCTTATCTGTGGTATTTATTTCTGTAAATAACAAGTGAAAAAATTTTCAGCCTTATCAGTTTACATTCCGGTTTTTATACTGCTTTTTTTTTAATTCACTAACGCTCTAAAAATGAATATTTCAGCCGCAGTAAAGAATCAACGTTGGCGGATTTTTGTTCTTGACATCCTTTACGATCGGTTACGATGCTAGAGTACGAGACCTGGTACGATTTCGTCAACTTAGTGAGTTTGATAGGGGCCGTATAGTGGGACTTCGGGAAGCTGGACTTTCTTTTCGGGCAATTGCAGTTAGAGTGCAAAGAAGTGTAGACACTGTGGTTAGGTGTTGTCAGGCATGGCTTCGAGAAGGCCGTACGCAAAGAGCAAGGGGCACTGGACGCCACCGTAGAACAACAGACCGTGAAGATAGCCGCCTAAGATTATTGGCCTTAAGGGACCGTTTCTCCACTACCAGGCCCATTGCAAATGAATGGTTTGCAGAACACGGAAGACCTATTGGCATGCGAAGTGTTTACCGACGAATGAGAAGTTTTGGCTTGTTTTCATACCGGCCACACTGGGTCCTCCCTTTAACTCGAGAACACCGACGTAATCGCCTTGAGTGGTGCAGACAACGGTCACTCTGGGATCAGGAATGGAACAGTATTGTCTTTAGTGACGAGTCTCGATTTTGTTTAGGCATGCACGATGGTCGTGCCAGGGTTAGAAGGCGACGTGGTGAAAGGAGGAATCCACAGTTTTTTGTTGAAAGACATGTTCATCACACTGTTGGAGTTATGGTTTGGGGTGCTATAGCTTATGGTTCCAGGTCACCTTTAATCTTAACATGAACGCGCAACGTTATATCCACGAAGTTCTAGAACCCCATCTTTTACCCTATCTTGACACCCTGGCAGATCCAACTTTCCAACAAGATAATGCCCGACCACATGTTGCAAGCGTCACAATAGACTTCTTTCAACATAATGATGTCACATTGTTACCATGGCCACCAAGATCTCCCGACTTATCCCCAATTGAGCACGTGTGGGATATGATGGGTAGGAGATTGCTCAATTTGCAACGTCCTCCTCAGACTCTAGAAGCACTTCGAGAGGAGTTGGTGGTTGCCTGGAATGAGATACCACAGGAGGACATTGACCACCTGATCAGAAGCATGCCTAGGCGCGTTGGAGAATGCGTAGCACATCAGGGTGCATCCACACATTATTAAAGGTCAAAGGGCTTTAAAGCAGTGCAATCATTTTGAAATTTTTATCATTTACTTATTATGCTTCATTAAGTACTTATACAAAATTTTATTAAAATAAAACCATTTAAACTGGGTGTTTGGATTTATATGTCACTTAGTATAATTGTTTCTAGGGATTAGGCTAGAGTCACCTAAAGACTGGAAATTTTCTCATGTCCATCCAGTCCCAAAAAAGGTCTAACACCGATCCTTATAACTACAGATCTATAGCTATGCTTCCTATTATAAGCAAGGTGCATAAATCGGGAGCTTTCTGTGTACCTCGGCTTGATTAGCGACAGGCGGATAGCGCTTTAATTGATTCCGGTATTTTCTTGTGAAAAATGCAAATCAATACTGTATATGTATAGTTATACATACCTCATCAGCTAAGGTTTTGAAGAACGGTTCCAAATCGGCGCACAAATCAGATCCCTGATGGTAATACGTCGTGCAAGCATGCATGTATGACAGAAGCTGAAAATAATGTTTATTACTCAGAAAACAATATTGAGATAAAGTTAAGCAATCCTAAAATCGAAGTTGCCGAATTATCTCGTATCTACGGATATCTTGATTCAAATTATACATGATAACAACACGCTCAGTTTGTTTATTCTAGTGTTTAGAACGAGTGTATTGTGTGTATTGCAGGTAGTGAAGTATTACATCCAGAAAAAATAATGTCTTCAATGAGGTAGTCTTACGTCAAGAATGAAATGATAACATTTGGTGTTGGGCACCCCGCAGCTGAATACTCTCCTGTATATGTCTAGGGATCAACGAAATGAGATGATCGATGTCTAGTTGTGGCAGCTCATTCCTAGCATCTGAAACTTGGTGAAATAGCTGTGCCAGAGTCTGTGGCGGATTTTGTAAAGTGGTTATATATCACACACATGTTCGATGGGATTTAAATCCTGGCTCAACGCCTGCTTCTTGAAGAAAGTCCGTAGTGTGAGGAGCAATATGGGGTCGTGTAACGTCTAAATTTAGTTGTCAAACTGACATGATGAAATTCCAGGATCAAATTTTTTAAAGAGACATTATTATTGACTACGGCGTTTTTTATCATTGTTCACTTGGGAGAGAAAAGCTATTATTCAGTGAGGAATTGAGGTCAATAATGTCGATTTTAATAATTAGTACTTAAAAAAATTCCGTATATATACATTGCGAGCATAATTTGAACCTTCATTGTGAAATTAATGTATCGTTTAAATTAGTCAAAATTCCTTAAAACCAGTACCGCTGTATATCATTCTGTAAACACTATCGACACTTCTTTCCGATTTCATTATAGTTTTGTTGCAAATCACACTCCACTTGGAATACACATAGTAACACGTTTAATTAGAACAGCACGGCACAGCTAAGCATTTTAACTTGTTCACAAACAAAATCATTTTCTGAGACATACAATTATAATCTTTTGATGAATGATTTCGCATTTCTAACCAATAAAAATTTCATAATCACACGTTAACGTTTTCTGGTTTGAATATTACGTTCGACTATTGGATAGAGGAAACACAATAGCTAAATTACTTTTTGAAGCCGTATGAGTCACACATGTGCTTACGAATATCTAATATTTGTTAATCATCACGAACATCGAAGGTTCGTTAACAAAATTCCAAGAAGATACCAGTTGAAACGAATCTAGTTTTTAAAACCCTATACAATGATGTGTTAATGAAAAATTAATTTTGTTTATATAGTCTAGATTCACCTTTCTTACATAGTGAGGCATAACTGGAATATATCTATATTTCTTAATAAGCTGGTTTTGTCAAATATTTATCTCAAGAACAAAACATATATTTTTTAATAATATTCAATTCAGGTAGTTAGAAGAGTCAAGGCGGACTTTTGAAACGATTGTTCAAAATGAGGATGTTCTGTTAAACAACGATGTAATCCTATTGAAAAGCGTGTGTTCTCTTAACATACATATTTAATTTTCAATGCTACGCGCATCTCATGGCTTGATTAACGATTCTATTGTTAACGCTTTTTTTTTACAGACCCAAGTGGTATTCACCTCCTATAGGCATGAAAGGCAGCATAATTGCGAAAATATGTAAATAATACCTTTTGAAGTATATTGATACTGGTTTTAACAGAAAACGATAAGGAACAACGTACTTCGATATACATACGAACACTGTATGAGTTGCATGTGTTTGTCAAGGCCATTTGAAGATCAAATGAACTTTCAACAGAAAATATATTTTCAGCTACTGAAATTAAAATTGCGCACAATTTTATGTTGAAATATATAAATGCCAATGAACCTGAAGGTTATTTGAAACCCAGATAAATTTGCACGCAAGCTCGTTACTTTTTGTCGGGAATATAAAAAGCTACAAATTTCGCGGTCAAGGTCATTATCGCGTATTTGACATGACCTTGACTACGATCTTCAAGGTCACTTGGAGGTCGAGTGATTTTTAACGGGATAATCCTATTCAAGGTCAAATTTTGCAACTAGTTCCTACATTTTTCTCCAGGATGCATATTTTTCTGGTTATTTTGATATTTCCATACCCTTTGGAAGCCGTAAAATGACCTTGAAGGTCACAGTCAAGGTCATGAACAAGTACTTAATTGAATGTAAAATTTCCTGCATCTTACATTTCCTGTGTCATTAAGGAAAAGTGTCTTGACCTTCAAATGACCTTGAAAGTCATTGTCAAGGTCACCATCAGATCGCGCTCTTCAAATTTTGCAGACTTGTTCTATATTTTTCTCTAGGAACTATTTTTTTATATTTTATGTCGATACCTTCTGAACGCCGCAAAATGACCTTGAAGGTCATAGTCGACGTTATGGACGAGGACTCACTTAAATGTAGAATTTCCGATCTTTACATTTCCGGTGTAAAAACTATGAATTCCCATTTACAAAAATTGTTTTGACTATCAAATGACCTTGAAGGTCACAGCCAAGGTCACCATTAGATGACCATTTTCAAATGTTGCAACTTTGTTCTAAATTTTTCTCTACAAACCATATTTTTCGAGATATTTTGTTATCCCTATATTTTTTGGACTTCGTAAAATGACCTTGAAGGTCATAGTCCAGGTCATGTACAAGGAACGTAAAATTTTCCGCTCTTTAGATTTGCGGTGTCAAAATCAAAGGGTTTACAATCAGGAAAATTGTTTTGACCTTCAAATGACCTTGAATGCCATAGTCAAGAAGTCAAGGTCACCATCAGATGACGCTTCAAATTTTGCAACTTTGATCTACACTTTTCTCTAGGAATATTTTAGGAGATATTTTGTTATCTCTATATCTTCTGGACGCCATAAAATGATCTTGAAGGTCATAGTCAAGGTCATGAACAAGGACTTAATTGAATGTAATATTTCCTGCATTTTACATTTCCTGTGTCATTAAGGAAAAGTGCCTTGACCTTAAAATGACCTTGAAAGTCATTGTCAAGGTCACCATCAGATGCCGCTCTTCAAATTTTGCAGCTTTGTTCTACACTTTTCTCTAGGAACAATTTTTTATTTTATACCGATACCTTCTGAACGCCGCAAAATGACCTTGAAGGTCATTGTCGACGTTATGGACGAGGACTCACTTAAATGTAGAATTTCCGATCTTTACATTTCCGGTGTAAAAAATATGAATTCCCATTTACGAAAATTGTTTTGACTATCAAATGACCTTGAAGGTCACGATCAAGGTCACCATTAGATGACCATTTTCAAATGTTGCGACTTTGTTCTAAATTTTTCTGTAAAAACCATATTTTTCGAGATATTTTATCCCTATATTTTTTGGACTTCGTAAAATGACCTTGAAAGTCATAGTCCAGGTCATGTACAACGGACGTAAAATTTTCCACTCTTTAGATTTGCGGTGTCAAAATCAAAGGGTTTACAATCAGGAAAATTGTTTTGACCTTCAAATGACCTTGAATGCCATAGTCAAGAAGTCAAGGTCACCATCAGATGACTCTTTTCAAATTTTGTAACTTTGATCTACATTTTTCTCTAGGAATACTTTAGGAGATATTTTGTTATCTCTATATTTTTTAGACTCCGTAAAATGACCTTGAAGCTCATAGTCAAGGTCATGGACAAGGCATTTCTTGAACGTTTTGACCTTCAAATGACCCTGAAGGTCATAATCAAGTTCCCGTTCAAGGTCACCATTAGAAAACCCTTTTCAAATTTTGCAACTTTGTGCTACGTTTTTCTACGGGAATCGAAGTTTTAAATCTCATGAAAAAAAATTACAAATATCACTTACCGTACTCAAAATTTCATAGCGTTTCTTCATCTGCAAAACACTTATACTGTTGACATAGTCTAGCGTTTGGTGACCGAAACAGGATCTGACAGCGACCAATATATTTTGAACCTCTTCAACTTCTTGAGGTTTACTTTTAGGTGTATGCGAGTTTCTGATAAGAATTGTATCGTATTCGTTGGAGATTTTCTCGAAATGTTGCTTATAGTCACGCACTTGCTTGATATCACTGCAAAATTATATCTGTCAAACATCCCGAACACTCGGCAAGCACGAATTTTTTGAAAAAAGGAATTGCATTTTTATACTGTTTCCCAAATTATTACTTGGTGATCCATCTTTCAATACCTTACTGTAAACAGAAAATTTCAAAGCATGCATGTAAAATAAGAGCTTATTTCAAATTCATCAGACGACACCTGACACTTACTTTTTTATAAAAGACGTGATGTTTTTGAGAATCGTACGCGAGGCTTGATCCAACAAAATCGTGTGGAATTTGTTCATTTCCTGCAAACTGTGAATTAGCTTATTCAAAGAAGATAAGACCATCGGGTCTTCCCTGAAATGCGTGCTCAGATCCCATAGACTGTTCGCAAAAAGGCTGAAAATAAAATACGCGGATCTGAAAAATCGCAAAATATTATCAAGCTCAAGAAACTTGATAACAGACTAGTGCAAAAAGATTCTAAAAATGAGTAATGTTAAAAAAAATATTCATTTTCGAAATTTTTCGCTGATTCAATATTTGCTCGGCGATTGGCACCTTCAGTAACTGTCTTAACTACATCCATATACAGAAACAATGTGTACAACTTTTAAATATTGTGAAATATTATCTTTGTATTATGTAAGGAGTACCATCAGTTATGCATTGTTTATTGAAACACGAGGTCGTGCTGAATTCATAATTAGTTTTTTGAAATGATTACATTTATTAACAAACCTATATTTGCCGTCAATAGGCTATACCATCGCGGGAAATTTATTGGCGAGATTAGTCTCAAAAGTTCGTTGAACGCTTCCGATAAATACTGTTTTCAAAGCGATAATGAATATACTTGTATATTTAACAAAAAAAAAAATCCAAAATTCTAACCATAATATTCGTCGTATCAAAGGCTTTCCAAAGAATCATCTGCGCTTATTCCCATACTAAGTAAAACGATTAGAGAAAGATAATCCTACTTTCTAGGTTCAACATTTTATGAGGTTATTCATGCAAAATTTCAAACAAAAACGTTATGGACTTTAAACCAACCAAGGCGATAAATAAGTTAGTACATTGTTACAATTTTATACATTTGACTAGTATACTTATAGGAAATTTGTTGTCATTTTTTTATAATATAATGGGTGATTTTTTTGCTAGTATCTTTTTGGCAACACTGCTTTTGACAGATGACGCGTGAATCGTGTCTTGTGTCATTGTCAAACTTGTTCAGTTTGGTCTATAATTTAACCATGAATCGACTTACGAACGAACACCGCTTGCAAATTATTGAATTTTACTATCAAAATTCATGCTCGGTTAAGAGAGCGCATCGAGCACTGCTTCCAATTTATGGGCAATTTGGTCGGCCTACTGAGGGAGCTATTCGGAAGCTTGTGACTAAATTTCGAACCCAGTTTACATTATTGGACATTAAACCACCAACACGGAGACGTAGAGTGGGGACTGAAGAAAATATTGCGGCTGTATCCGCCAGTGTTTATGAACCGGTGGCATCATCGGGCCGTACTTCTTCAAAGACGACAATGGCCGGATCGTAACTGTGAATGGCGAGCGCTACCGTGCGATGATAACAACTTTTTTTTGCCCAAAATGGAAGAGCTGGACTTGGCTGACATGCGGTTTCAACAAGACGGTGCCACATGCCACACCGCACACGAAACAATTGCCCTATTGAGAGGCGAGTTCGGTGAACAGTTTATCTCACGTTTGGGGCCCGGCAATTGGCCGCCTAGATAGTGTGATTTAACGCCGTTGGACTATTTCTTGTCGGGCCATGTTCAGGCTAATGTCTACAGGGACAAACCAGCAACGATTGACGCACTGGAAGCCAATATTGAAGCATTTATTCGTGAGATATCGGCCGATATGTTGGAGAGAGTGTGCCAAAATTGGACCTTGCGCATGGGCCATCTAAAGCGGAGCCGCGCCCAACATTTACATGAAATCATCTTTAAACATTAAATTATATCGACCGTCCTATCGACTCAAATAAAGATTTAATCGTTTTTTCAAATTTTTTGTGTTTTTTTTTTGAAAATCAAATCCTATACCTCTTAAAAAATCACCCGTTATATAACTTCTGTTTGAACCCAAACACAAGTGTATACTTTTTTGGATATCTGTTTATTATTATTATTTATACGAAAACTCTGTAGTTAGACCAATAAACATTGTTATTATTATCCTTTCGGCAATATTCCGCCATAAAATAATGATGTATTTTATGTATTTCTGCATACTTTTCGTATTTCTGTCAATATCCAATGCGATTGTATTACTCGACTATTTCTATTCCTAATCATATTAGACGAGATGAAGATGTTGCATACGGCTTCAATTATCAAAAGTAAACAGAAAGCAGACCTGCCTTCTGTTATTATGTATTTATAAAAGACGGGTATACATCCTCTCGAATGAATCGCCGAGAATGCCATGATAAAGATCTAAAGTAGACTGGTTAATGTCGATGAGTCATCTTTACCTGATGGAATACGGAGTCGATATAGCAGAGGGAAAAGATAGAATTTGCAAGAAAGGACGTCCCTTTTTTATTACACATACCTTCAGCCAGGATAAAGAGGCATTTTGAACCATATTTGTTGTTATCAACACCTCCGCCTATAAAAATTTTTTATTTGACGAAATTTATCATTGGCAACGTTGATCTTTAAGCTATTTTTTTGTTTATTTATTATCCCCATTTCCAAATACTTGAATCAATCGCATATTTTCCGATCTATGCTGCCAACTTTGAACTTATTTAGTACCCAAAATAACTGTATCTTTAACTATTGTCTGGACTATAAGATTAATTTCATGCCATGAGGAATGTAAAATATTTCAGAATGCATTAGGGGAATATAAGGAACTCATTGTTAAATCTATTTTAAAACAGACTCAGCTTATTTAGGCTATGTAATGCAACTGAGAATCTCTGCAGAAAGTTAATATAAATATGTGTTAATATCTGTTTTCTCACAGATTATGAATGAGTCATCCAAAAATGTGTGGGTAGCACTGTTATATGAACCATTATTCCTAATGTGGCAGCAGTAAAGTTATCAGGAAAGAATAATCTATGCTATATTGTTAGATAATAAACACAACAACAACATTGTTTTAATATCCTCAATCCAGTGAATTATTCCAGATCAAAGACAGACTAGCAAAAATAAGGTTCTTATGAGGTATTAAAAAACAAACAATCGGAAACTGTGTGGCACATACAGTAATGGACAAAAGTATATAGACAAATATTAATATTTACCTAAATACTTTTAGAAAACGAATTCATACTTCATTGCTCCATAAACAAATGCGTTATTAGTAGAAAAACTAAATTTTTTACATTATCTGAACACGTCTGAATATAAGCATTTTTTTATGAGGGACAAAAATATGTAGACAAATTCTTTTCAACATTAGTTTAGTACAGTTTCGTGTCAGAAGAGGATTAGTTTGTATTGATCAAGTATTGTGGAATAAGTTGAGTGTTTTTAAGACCATGATGCCTGGTCCAGTAATTTCTTTCGATGTGAAAACTAAGATCATTGAGTTATACAAAGATGGTCAACGTCAAGTCGACATTGCCAAAAATTTGAAGCTGAAGCGTAAAGCAGTTTGGGCAATATTGAACAAATATAAACAAAAAGGTATCTTGGAAGCCACTAAGAGAAGTGGTTCATTACTGTATATAACAATTTCCCACTTTTAAAATATAAAATTGCTATAAGAGATAGCCATGCTTATAAGACATAAAAATGTATAGAACATTTTTTTATCAATGTGCACTTTTAACATGAATTTTTTATTACTGCTTACTCTGAATCATCAAACAGAGATCTTATCAAACAAAACTGTGCATCAGGATCAATAGGAAGTAGTGTTATTGTGTTGAAATTCTCAAATACATAGCACAATGTGTACTGGTTTACAAGCATAATTGCTAATTTAAGATTGAAGAAACATACAATCTGTCATGTGTGGGAACAATTTTGTTGAAAGATTCCTCTGTTAAATTAGCTGTTCACTGCTGTGTTTATATTAGTAATTAGGGCAATTTAAGTTTATTGAGGCAAACCTTTGTTGTCCAACATATGTTTTTCCAGCATCTATCATAGATCCGCAGACTTTCAATATCTTTTCTAGTTTGCCCTCAAGTTGATCTATGCTAGTTTCTTCTTCCTCTAAGACACTCCTACAATTTTATTTCACTTACTACGTTTACTAAGCGATGCGTAAATCAAATTATAAATGTTTACGTATATTTTTATAGTAATTACTTGCCTGAACTTAGGAGAATCTCTCAAGCATTCTTGTGGTTCGATTTTGTTAATAACCATATTGATGCTTTTAATAATCGACGTACTTAAAACACTACACTTGATTCACTTAAGCACTAACTATACATTTGAATTAACAGCTTGAATCATACTTTCAAGGGAATAGATAAGTACATAATAAAACAACTTTCTTCACGTTCGAATACAACACAAAACTAACGTCAATGTGACAGTTGATGACAAATTAATCAGTTGGGGAGGGGCGCTACTGTTAAAAAAATGATGTAGATACCTTTTTGCATTCGTATAATCATAGAATCTTCACCAAGTGATGGCGCTATCATCGTAGAATATCGTCAGGCAACCAGTATTGCAGTGTTGTGCTTAGAGGGTTGCTGAGGCTTACTGTTTTTGTATATTATTTCTACAGAAGCGAAGAAATCGGAGAAAACTGATTCAAAAATTACTCTGGGATTCTCTCGGTTGCTGAGTTGTACAACATTGGTCATGTATTTGAATTGTATAATGCGCTAGTAGAGTGTGCCATCTCTGGAGGAAGGATGTAACCTCGCAGTTGGTGTTTGTTCGAAGAACGACGGGATGGCACTAGCAGCGCAAGATCGAGGTAGGCAACTCATATTACTCAGGTTACATACGAGGGGTGGTCGATATATTTATAGACCATCGTTATTAAGATAAGTTCCAAGAAGATATTTAATTGTCACGATTGTGGTTTAAAATCAAAGGTGTCTACGTCTCATAACCCGAAAGTCATCATGCAACTGCAGATCCGAGATTTTCTCGTCTCTTGATCTCGTACCAACGACGATGTAAACACCGCTTGAACCATAATACATACCTAATTATAGTATAACATGGTAATTTGATTCTGGAGCTCCAAGATCGAAGTTGGCCATTGATCACCGTCATGGCTAGCTTTGATTTTGGTTTCCTAGCACATGACCAAGTTCGATTTTGGATGTCAGTAGGTTGATTTTTGTTTGTTCTTGATATTGATCCCTTTTCTCAGTGGTTGAGCTTTTTGATAGGTGAAAGGATAATGTGACTTTCACAATTTAATTGACGGCTACCCAAGAAACGAGTGCACATTTTGAATTCACATACTTTTTACTACTAGTTCAAGCATCATCCGGCAGGATTTCTGAGTATCTTGAAAGCTGACATTTTGTCGTTTTTTTTTGACATTATATAGGTCTCTACTTAATCAGTTCTTATTCAAAATCCCTTACTCCCTCGCGATATGATCTCGTTTCTAAGCAACCGGAATACAATCACAACAGAGGCATTACTACTGTTTTATAGCTGCCCTACCCGTATAACGAAAACCACGAAAAAATGATGAACGGTAAACAGTTTTTCCCAAAAAGCGCTGGTAACTAACTAACAGAATAAATTGCTTATCGATTTTGCTAACATCATTCTTTTAAGATAAAAATCACTCATCAAGCGAGATGGTAAACAATTTCCAATCTTTGGAAAGATACAACTGGCTCATGCATATGTTTCATGTAAATGGCGAAATGGACAGATGCAAAGAACTGATAAAGAAGGAAATAGCGCGTAGCAATGGAAAAAATGAAGTCGCGTTTTACAAACAGGTTTGTTGTCCAAATTCCGATCCAATAGGTATACATAATAAGGAATATGCACGTTTTTTCCATTTTCTGACAATTACTTAGATTAATATAGTACCGTCAACATACAATTAATTCTTAGAGATGTCTGCACTTTGAATTAAATATTGACCTATATTTAAACGCCCCATTTTTGGGGCACCTCACAGTGACGTCATAACACCCGACATGTTATTTGATTGTTTTTTTTTGTAACTTTTCTGTCGAGTTTCCAAAGGTTCTATTTTATATCCTACAGTTTTAATAAAAAATTATATTTTCACTTCCTGTGCCAAAAGTGGCGAAAAATTTCTAAATTGAAATATTATGATTTTTGGATGTTATACTGCCCATCGTAGAGGCTTCCGGCAAAAAAAGTTCTTACTAAAATGGTCAAGAGAAACACCTGGAAAATATTTTCAAGTTTCTGAAATTGTCGCTAGGGGGCGTAACTGCAATCTTGAATGTAATGGTATCTGATCTTTAAAGAGGAGAATAATGTGAACTTTTTTGTTTGACAATGTTTGCTGTATCTATAAAGTGGTGGGGTGTATTCAATATCTTGTTCCTAATCCAAAATTCAGACCAAAGATAGTTTTATACTGAAATCCCCAAAATTTTTATTTTCTTAAACTAATTTTATTCATCAGAATGAAATCAACATTCTTGAAAATATTACAAAATATCAGTTACCGTTGTTGTTGGAAAATGTGCCACTGGAAACACGGCAAAACTTGTTTTTGTAGTTGGATACTAGTCTTCTTTTTCCCAGCTCACCGGCTTGTTTGTCTTACACGTTATTTATACAACATCCAAAATACATAATCTTATTTACGAAGTTTTTGACGATTACGATACTTCCTCGCCGATTGCGTGGAAAGTAAAAATCGTAGATAAGCCACAATCAAGTTGTTTTAATTTCAACACTGAATCAAGCTCTTCATTTCGATGTTCAAAATTACGAAAAGGTAGTTCTCATTGCTGTCTTTTTTTACCTTTTCAAGGGCGAGATCTTGAAGGAAGAAGGTAAACTCCAAGAAGCGCTCGAATCATTTCAAACTTGTTTGAAACTGAATCCTGAAAGTGTGGATAACATGAAAGAAGTAGCTAAATGTTTGTAAGTATTTTTAGCGCAGAAAGTCTTTTTCTGTTTTTTGCATACAACATCAGCTTGTGCATGTCCGTGCCACATGAATTCAGTGTGCCACGGTTTTCTATCAATGACAGAAACAAAGGATTTTTAGATTGGATATTCAACTTCATTTCATACTGTGATCGAGCTACCCCCTTCAATTCCGGTCTGTATGTTCCAAATAACAATACCATGCCAGAAACTCAATTTCAGTATCTATTCTATTGACAAAATGCAATTTGCGGTTATATCCTATACGTATAGAGAGTGATCCAAAAAACTCCAAACTGATGAGACATCTAGTGCATGAGAGTCGATTGTCGAATTCTGACTAGGAGGACGATTCCCGAATCAAGCTCACGGTGAAGGAGGAATTTCCAAATAGAAGCAAGCACGGGAGTGTCCTAAAGTATAGCCCACCGAACATTGCGCAATAACGAGCTACACCCGTACCACGAACAGCGAGTACAATCTCTACAATCCCGGGATTATTGTCAAACAATGTTACGGAGATATCGGGAAGATCCGAGATTTTTTCGTGACTAGCCCGTTCACCTGACTTAAAAGAAGTGAATTCTATTCAACTCAGTCTAAATGTAGCGCTTTCTAAACATTTTATGGCAGTTTGGCAACACCGCCTCTATACATACAGAGCCACCTATGAGCGAATCGCGCACTGATGTGATACGAGGACGGTCCGATAAGTACTTGGCCTACAAAAGAAAACGAAAATATTGGAAAAGTGGCGATTTATTTCTCAACACAGTCCCCTATTTAACCCGTCTGAAAAATATGTTTTCTGGAGGTCTGCAAAATACGTAAGATGTGATTAACTTTTAAAGTAACCATACCAGTTCGCAATAATGTCAGATATATTTGCGATAATGCTGAGGAATCCCAAGGTCAATAGGGCCGACCAGCGGATCATAAAGACATAAACGAAGTGACTTCGTTTGGTGTAACTACGAGGGTTGTCTCAAAAATAATGTTCCTAACGCTGCGATCCCAACAAAAAACGTTACCACTCATAGCAATTCAATGCCACTTGAGTGAAGTATATGAAGAAAAAGCTAAGACGGAAAATTCAAAATCGTGCTAGGGGAAAACTCAAAAGGGAAAGACTGGACTGGACCACAACAATACGCATCCTCATGTCTCACAATAAAAGAAACGACTTAATCGAGCGATTCAGATGGAAAGTCATGGCCCATCCTTTGGTTATACTATGTTTGAATAAGCAATCGTTGAAGGCTCACCCTGTAGGCTAGAAATATTCTGATACAGATGCAAAACTGCGCTTGTTTTTGTGTTTCAGGTTAGAAATGAAACGGTACAAATTAGCAGCGGACGTGTATCTGCAGGCTGAAAGGAATTCCAAAAGCTCAGACTGGCAAATTTATTTCTATTCAGGTAAAAGCTGAAGTTCGAAGCTGGAATTGGTAATAAAAGTGGAGGTTGTTTAATGTTTTTGTGCACGTACGCTGCGGTCGACCTCATGTAACCAGTGCGGTAGCAAATACTTTTTGCTTTCCACGCTTCCTCTCGACAATTTTTGAAAATGATATGTATGTATATCACGAAATACAGCCATCATTTTTTTCTTAACAGATCGGGATTTTTAGACAGCTACGGGCATGTCCTCATCATCAAAGACCCAAACTTTGTTGTGAGCCTTAGTCGGCAGTAATACTCGTAATAGTCAAGTCTTGTCTACCTATGTGTCATTTGTCAATTTTATACTCGTGAAAAAGACAATACGTCGTGTGACAGTCTGTACCACTATCTTTTCTATAAATAGGCAAAGCTTCAAAATTTTCTTTGATGTACCTTAGGCTATTACGTTATCCCTATTGAGTGTAGACTTTTAACTAGAAAAAACTTCAAAAGTTTCTGAATATTCGAGCAACTACGCCTCTGCGTCTGACATCAAGGAAAACCGCTAGAACTTTGCGAATATGAGTATCATCAGAAAAATTACCGCTACGTGGTAGATTGCATATGAATATGATGATACAGTTTGTTGGAATTTACATACTGATGGTTATGCTTATACCTTATGGTTATGTAAACGTGTGATATGAATGAAAAGTAGAAGAGTTCAAGCGGCATGCAATTACCTTGTTGAGGTTTCTTTTTAAATGTAAAGCCTCCAGAAACGCAATTCGAATACGGCATTACAAGAGTTTAACATGTTTGAGATAATGCAATGCTACATTTCGTCGCTTTTGTGTAATAGTAACTTATGTACAAAAATGCGTCAAGTAGATTCACTCCAGTTGTGGCATACAAAGTGAAATGATATTTTACAAAATGTTTTTTGTCTTACATGCGTAAACAAAGTTCATAAAAGATCATGTTCTGTTCGCTTAAAAAATAGCGTCAAGTAGGTTGACTCCGAATTTTTTACGCAACGCTGTCATCAATTCAAAAATGATTATATTCGGTACTAGTACAGGGTGTTACTTAATGATTGGCTGTAGTTACAAGAGTGCATTCCTGATCCAAATTCAAGTAGAAAGGTTCATACTATCATGTGTTTCGGAAGCTTTCATTACCAGGATACAGGGTGTGTCAAGATTAAGAGAAAATTGTTTTGTTACAGAGTAAAAATGATAGCAAACTATCACATTCCAATCAAAACTTGTATTTCAATCCCAAGCGTTTGAAAAGTTTGTTTGTATTGTTGCGGAAAACTTGAGACCTGGGCTAATGCGAGGTTTTATTAAAAATATGTGACAAAGTTTTTCAAGTCCCATCTACTGTCACTTTTGTTTTAGCTCAGTGCCACTTGAAACTTGGAGATATCCCGAAAGCGAAGGCGTATGCTCAAAAAGCGGTCCAAATGGAGAAAGATGAAATGTGTTATGCTCTACTGTTGAAAGTTTTAACTCAGGAGGGTGATTTGAAGGCTGCTATTGACGTTTCGGATAGTGCAGTTATGTACGTATTTGATAGAAAAATATTCTCTAAGGACAACGTCTCCGCTGAAGTGGATCTCTGGTCTCACTGACTTTACATTCTACATTTTCCGGAAATCTGTTTTTTTAATAATCATTTTTAACTAATACAGGGTTTGTCCGGAAAGTAATAGGACTGAGTCGATTTAAAAAAATGTATTGAGCCAATCGTTACAATTCTTTAAAAACTTTCAAAATAGGCTCCTTCTGCGTCGATGCAGCGCTGCCAGCGCGATTTACAAGCATTGAAGGCGTCACGGAAGGCGAGGAAACAAAAAAGTCCGGGGGGGCCACATCTGGGCTGTAGGGCGGCTGCGGAAGCGTTGGGATGCCGGCCTTGGTTAGGTAGCTGTTCACAAGAAAGGCTGTGTGAGTCGAGGCGTTGTCGTGGTGCAACCTCCAGTCGGCTGCGATGTCTTGTCGAACCCGACTGACCCTTCGCTTGGGTCTCCTGAGTACTTCCACGTAAAACTTGGCGTTGACGGTTTGTCCAGGAGGAACAAATTCATGGTGGACGATGCCTTTGATGCCAAAAAAGACAATGAGCATCGTTTTCACTTTGGATTGGCTCATTCTTCCCTTTTTGGGCGAGGAGACGCCGTCGTGTGCCACTCGGAAGATTGCCTCTTTGTCTCGGGATCATACTCAAAGATCCACGACTCGTCACCTGTGATTACGTTATTCAAAAATTGCGCACGCTCCGAAGTACAGTCATGGCGGAAGAACATGAGTCCTATTACTTTCCGGACAATCCCTGTATAATTGTGATGTAAAGTAAATGATACTTAACATGTCAAAATAAATGGCATACGTTTTATAACTTACCTTTAGCTACTTTTCGATTCTTTAAATCACTATTAAAATGGAGGTATGATTCCCAAACTCTCCCTATCATAAGAAATAAATGATCCTAAAGTAATAACAATCTTGACGACTTATCTTGAAAAAATCTAGCACGATACCACTTAACAAATTTTTGTTTCAAGCATCATTAAAAGAAGGTTATTACTTGTTTATAATGGTGCTGTTTTAATTTTTAATTGTCTACTGCCTTTGGCCTGGTAAAACCTTTTATCAAATCATGACCATAGGGTGTATACGTTTATGAATATAAAAAAACTTCTGACGACGTCGGAAACATTTTCGAAGTCGTCCTTAAAGTTTAATGAAGCGCTATTCTGAAATATTAATCACTTCGGAGAATCAGCAATGTCTCTCTCAACGTACCTAGCAGTGGATGCTAAGCTCTGCAAATATCGCAGGTATTCAAACCTTTAACAAAAAAACAAAAGAAGATTCATGTCGTTGCTTATTCTTTTTTGTTTACAGTGATACCGACTCACTTATATAGAACGTGGTCATTACTTTTTTCTACTGAACCTTTTTTTTTTTTGTTAATTTAATTGCCTACTTTCTTTGGTTTGGGAGAACCTTTTTTCCAATCATAATTTGTCCATAAAATTTAATGGAACGCCATTCTGAAATATTTAAATATTTCCGAGATCCGGCAATGTTTCATCAAAGTATACTTTATCTGAAGTCACTTGAAATAGCATAAAAACCTTTGGTCGGCGCGTCCTTTGTAATTTCATGACGTATCATAGGCGTGCGGTCGTTTATTTAGAACGATAATAATAATGTTTTTATATCACAATAAATGGATTTTACTATCTTCTTATTTTTTTGATTTGGGATAAAAAATACTTATATTGGGAGTTTAATTTATGTTGACTGAAATTTAAGAAATGAAAAAATTACAGAATTCCAACGTTTGACATGCAAATATTTACGTAGCAGGTAGGTATATAAAAAGGTATATAAAGACTTACATTATAGGTATTTATATATCATCCTCGCCTTCGGAGCTGTCGCTAGAGTCATCTTGTAGAGGAATTACAACGGAATTTACAGGAGGCAAAACACAATATTCATTTTCTTTTTCAATAATATGCCTAGAACACTGCTTCCATAGGTCTGTGGCAGCAATATGAGATACTGCATCTCTTATTGTGGCCAATAGCGATTCACTTAATTGAGGGGTCTGATTATGTTTTCTTACTTTTTTTTTAAAGCAGCCCAGACCAACTCAATCAGATTAAAAATGCAGTAATAGGGAGGTAGACGTAATACTTCATGGCCATTTTGCTGAAGCAGATTGTCAACAACATACTCTTTTTCAAAATTTTGGTCTTTTAATAAGATCCAATAATATGGCTTTGGTTGATTTTTGTGGTATTTCCATTCCCTTATCCTTCATAAAATCAATAATGTCTTGTTTTTTTGTGCCTGTATTCGGAATTTTGTTTTTCTGTCGGAAATGGTATGGCGCATTGTCCATAATAATCACTGAATTTGGGGAAATGTTTGGTATTAACTGCTGCTCTATCCACTTTTCAAATAAGTCGGAGGTCATGTCCTCATGAAAGACGGCACATGATTCTTTGATATTTTTGGCAGATAACAGCAAGGCATTAGGTATAAATCCATTTTCACTGCCAGCATGGAGAATAATGATTCGTTTTCCACGGTTGCATGGTGCATTTAAAATGCACTTGTTGCTGTCGTCAACCCAGCCGTACTGCACAACATCATGGGTATCATACCACGTTTCATCCAGGTAAATCAGATTTCTTTTCTGCTCTCTATAGATTTTAACTTTGTGCAAAAATTCTTGGCGCAATTCAACGATTCGACACGACTCCATAATCACCATTCTTTTATCTAATTTTTTGTTTTGAAAACCACACAGTTTTACAATACAGTGCAGTGAGTCTAAGCATTTGCAATTATAAAAATCTTCAGGATAATCTTTTAATTTATCCCGTATCATTTCCAACGTGGGCACCAAATTTTCTTTATAAAATCCGTATATTATACGACGAATATCTTCCTGAAAACCCACGTCTATTCTTTTTAATTTTTGCCCTATGCGCTTTCTGTGGAAGGAATGGTTGACTACATCTCCCCTTTTTATAACCCGATAAATGGTAGACCGACTGATTTTTGTCAGGATACAAATTCTGTTTAAAATTTGATTTTGCGAGGAATCTGGATTTTAGTTTTTCAGACAATCATACATATTTGGGATTACTCTTTGGGTCTGTTCCTCTAAATCTCTATGAAAGAATTCTGCCTGCACAGGTTCATCAACCATCTCCTCGTGGCTTGGAGCATTTTCCCAAGGTCTCCAAAGAGCCATATTTATGACACACAAAAACAATCAACACAACAATTAAATCAACAAGTAAACCGAGTATTCAAAAGTCAAAAACACACAAACTAATAAAATCTATGAAAAAACACGGACAGACTAAAGAAAACACGTTTATTCACCGCTACACGCACTGGCTAAACTGTTTCAATTTTCAGTAGCCACCTGCACTTGTTCGGAGCTCTGAAATACACGCTTTCTCATTGGCTATGTCCACGCATAGGCGTGCTTTACTCCACGTGGACCGGTGAAACTGCCTTTGATCTTATACGGGGGATATTTGCTGCGAAATTTGGCGATTTTTGCAGCAACAGAGCGTGTTAAATATAGATATATAAAACGCACCCGGTATTTCACAGTGTTTCAAGTGACTTCAGATAAAGTATACCTAACAGCGGATGCTAAGCCCTACAAATACCGGAGGTATTCTAACCCTCAAGCGACCTTAAAGGTGACCGACATCTAGTGATTTAGTGGATGATAATAAAGATACAAGCAACATTTTAGAAACAATAGGAAATTCACGTCACATAATTTGCATTTTTATTATCAAAATTTGGATACTGGCTGCTCATTCTTTTTTATTTACAGCGATACCGACTCCTTGATATTGAAGGAGATACAATTTTTATATCAATATTTTCTCTATGATACCGGTTTCACAATTTCCCTCAAGGCCATCTTGACAATGTCAGTACTCAGTGCTGCCAACCACCCAACAAATTCTTGCTAGAAATCTCGATACCCTAGCGACAAAGGAGCGGTCGTATCGGCCAGTTCTGGGTGAACGGTTAGTACGTCATGATTAAGTAGATTGTTCTTTTTTAAGGTATTTCTAAGCAGATCACCTGTTACCTTGCCTCCGAGGCTGCTTCAGTATAAAAACTTGTAAATCAGTTCGAAAATTTGGGAATTTGCATAATCGAAATGAACCCCGTCCTGCATAAATTAATAGAGAGCGCCACGTAATCGTTAGAGCGATAGCTACCGGGTATTTGCCTACATTTGCATCGTAATGTTATGATAACAAGTTCGAACGCACTACTGCTCCAACAATGCGCTTTACAAGCGGAAGCGCCCTAGGCCGGAGCTTATTTATACGTCATGATTTCGTAAATGCCTTGAAAGAAATATAATTTCTATAAGTCTATTTATGTCTAGCAAAGAGTGACATATATTTTAATAACTGTGCGCTTTATTCGCTGCAATTTCATTCCTTCTTATACATTTTTTATCGAGATCTCTCAAGTGGGGAAAAATTTCATCAGTACAAAATATTAAAAAAGTTATATTCCTGTGCGGAAGAGCATTTTTCCCATTTCGAGAGCTTTACATAAGAGTAAAAGAGGTCTCTAGGTCTGAAAAATAAACGGCAGGTGACTCTTGAGATATTAAATCTGAAGTCTGCCGGAAAGGTTAAACATTGTATGACCTCAGTTCATGTTAGATACTTCAGTAATGCAGTATTAAGTCACTATTATTTATATGAAGCTCGGTAATGTCGGAAATTTTATAAATTCCACTGTTTACAACCTCCTGATCTGATAGTGTTGAGGTTTTAAAAACCTACATAGCAAGACGAATATACTTTTTTAGGTTCGGCATTTTTTATTCAAAATAACTTACGGGTTCGTTATTTGGGTACTGTTGCGTCTTGTAGAACTTCGGATTTCACTGTATTTTCACTTGAAACTTATAGAGGGTAGTCTGATAAATTATTTTTTCCCAAAACATTGTATTTTTTTAGAAGTTATTTCCCCCATTATTTCCACCGCCACCTACCATATGACGCTGACGTCTGTGGATATGTCATATATGAGAGGCGCTTGCCTGCGGTGTTGCCGGATTGGGCTCCGCATTTAGGAAAAAATATGAAAAGTGGAAAATGTATAATACATATATTAATTAATTAAACACAAAACCGAAAAACTGAAACAAACAACAGTAGCAAGATAAAAAGATAAGTATAAAACAAAAAATAACGATAGTAAGCTAAAAAACAATTGTTATAACTTATGAAAAATAAAAAGTAGTAAAACAAAAAAAAATATTCCATGTAATTATAAAAAACAAATAACAAACAGTAAAATAAAAAGCATTTTTTTATCATTACATGGAATTGTTTTTAATTTTACTACTGTTTTTATTTTTTGTTTTTTATAATAAAAGTGGAAAATTTATATACATTTGTATTAATGAAACACAAAAACAAAAAACTGAAACAAACAACAGTAGTAAAATTAAAAGTGATTCTTCCTAAGTATAAAACAAAAAATAACAAACAGCAGTAAAATTAAAAGCAATTCTAAGTGATTATAAAAAACAAAAAATTAAAACAGTGGTAAAACAAAAAACAATTCCATTTAATTATAAAAAACAGAAAATAACAAACAGTAAAATGAAAAGCAATTTGGATGGAATGAAATTGTTCTTCGTTTTACTACTGTTATTACTTTTTGTTTTGTGTTGTCATTTAGAATTGCTTTTTATTCAACATGGAATTGTTTTTTTTTGTTTTACTACTTTTTATTTTACTGCTCTTTGTTATTTTTCAATTTTTATAATTACATGGAATTAGTTTTTGTTTTACTACTGTTTTTATTTTTTTTTGTATTTATTTATAATTTATCATTTTTTAGCTTACTACTGTTATTTTTTGATATATACTCATTTGGAATCGCTTTTTATTTTGCTACTGTTGTTTGTTTCAGTTTTTAGTTTTTGTGATTCATTAATTAATATATACAGGGTGACTTCGAAGTTGACTCATTTATTTTAACAGTGAGTAGATCTGATCAAAAGAAATGTTTTTTTCCTTTACCATTTTTCTGGTAAAATTAAAGTAACAAAGTTATAGCCCTTTGGAAGTTTGAGTACCGCCCTGTCTCAATAATAATATTATGTGCTCGTGTTTGGCGACAACGGATATAATCCGCCGTATCGGTTCATCGCATCGGAAACAAAAAAGCGAAAGAATTTGGAACGATGTTTTTACAATTATTTTATTCATTTGTATACAGTCAGTGTCAGTGAATAGTGGTATCTGTTGTGTGGCTCAAACGAAATAAAAAATGGCACATGTTTATGCGGATCGGTTTCCCAATCGACTGCAACCAACCCCTCGTGCCTTTGTTAATGTAGTACAACGGGCTCGTGAATCAGGTGACTTAAGACCTCACAGGGGACCTCACGATCAAATACAGGTCCGCACTGAAATACTTGTCGGGAGGATACTTTATAAAACAAGGTAAAATTTTTTTTATATATTTTTTTATTTTACACACATATTTTGGTTTATCTTCCTTCTACAATCATTATCTGAAAATTAATGACTCAACTTCAAAGTATATTAATATATATAAATTTTCAACTATTCATATTTTTCCCTAAATGCTGAGCCCCAACCGGCAACACCGCAGGCAAGCGCCTCGCATATATGACATATGTACAGACGTCTACGTCATATGGCAGATAGATGGCGGTGGAAATGATGCTAAAAATACAATGTTTTGGGAAAATTTTTTCACGAAAACCGTACTTCATCCACACTTTTTGTTTCTAAATAATCTATCAGACTACCCTTTAAAAGTTTTAAGAGAAAAAACAATGAAATCGGAGGTTCTACAACACGCAACAGCACCGTTATTTGTTTTACAGGTCTTGTCCTGACAGTATCAATTTGCTAACAGAATCAGGACTATTGAACCTAAAAGCGGGACAAACTCAACAAGCGTTTGAAAGACTGAGTGCGACGTTAGCGTTAGAACCTACTTGTGTCAAGGCATTGCTCGCCCTTGGATACGTCACCCAAGTAAGTCTGCCTGATAAAATGAAATAAGTACAGTATATTCACTGAATCAAAGCAGTTACGTTACAACGTCAAATAATGACAGTGACGCACATGGTTGCCACATCACTCAAAACTACTAGATCCTAGGGAATAAACCACAACTAGACAACAGCCGTTGGCGAAATTACATGACAAGCTTTGCGACAACGCCACAACACAGAAAACTGTTAAATTCCAACTATACATTCTAATTTAGGATCTATTTTGCATTAAGGTTGGCATTCAAATTTACTAAATATGACGTAGCTGCTTTGTTTTTTAATTCCTTATCGCCACAGTGTTTAAAAAGTCCTAACACATTTTCAAAGGAGATGATGATGAATATGATTTGTCGAACATGGCGGACAAATTCAATTTTTCGGTGTTTTAGAGGTCGCTGATAAAAAATGTGATATTCATTTGTCAAAAATCAAATTGGAGGTTCCAACATTGGTTTTAGAGGAAAAGCATACTGATCGAATATCACCCGTCAAACCGCCCCTAATCTGTCCAGACATTCAAATCATTTAGCAACGAAATGTATATCAAGCGTGGTGTCCCACAAGGAACAGTCTTAGGTCCAGTGTTCTTTTAATATATACTTAAACGATATGTTCTAATTGTGTTAGCAAAATAACCAGTTATGCAGATGGCTGCAAAATTATATGAAGGCAATAACTTGTCTCACCTGAAAAATGTCACTTTGTCAAAATTATTCGGTGGTTTAACAGCAGAAAATTGATATGATATTCTAAAACATGGTTTTTACGATTTGCTAGACATTTCCCAAATTACAGAGCGAGACCATATTAATGCAGTATTTCAACAGCAGTGGATTGGAAGAGGAAGTATGTTTCCATGGCCTTCGCGATCAGCAGACCTTGTTTTGATTTATTTATTGGGGACGGATAAAGGGCATCAGTCTCAATCCCTAAATTATTATACGGTGAACATGTCTGCAACAAATGCTTCGATTACGCTTAAATTCGAGTCGCTGATAGTGAATTTGATATTAATTTTTTCCTAAATGACTGCCACACGTTTCTTACCTGATTTCATTTTCAGCATCCTTTTCTCAACACATACTAAGTGACGTATAAATCCGAACACCCAGTTTAAATGGTTTTATTTTAATAAAAGTTGGTGAATGTATTTATCTTACTGTAAATAACAAGTGAAAAAATGTTCAGCCTTATCAGTTGGACATTCCGGTTTTTATACTGCTTTTTTTAATTCACTAACGCTCTAAAAATGAATATTTCAGCCGCAGTAAAGAATCAACGTTGGCGGATTTTGGTTCTTGACATCCTTTACGATCGGTTACGATGCCTAGAGTACGGAGACCTGTACGATTTCGTCAACTTAGTGAGTTTGATAGGGGCTGTATAGTAGGACTTCGGGAAGCTGGACTTTCTTTTCGGGCAATTGCAGTTAGAGTGCAAAGAAGTGTAGACACTGTGGTTAGGTGTTGTCAGGCATGGCTTCGAGAAGGCCGTACGCAAAGAGCCAGGGGCACTGGACGCCGCCGTGGAACAACAGACCGTGAAGATCGCCGCCTAAGATTATTGGCCTTAAGGGACCGTTTCTCCACTACCAGGTCCATTGCAAATGAATGGTTTGCAGAACACGGAAGACCTATTGGCATGCGAAGTGTTTACCGACGAATGAGAAGTTTTGGCTTGTTTTCATACCGGCCACACTGGGTCCTCCCTTTAACTCGAGAACACCGACGTAATCGCCTTGAGTGGTGCAGACAACGGTCACTCTGGGATCAGGAATGGAACAGTATTGTCTTTAGTGACGAGTCTCGATTTTGTTTAGGCATGCACGATGGTCGTGCCAGGGTTAGAAGGCGACGTGAGGAAAGGAGGAATCCACAGTTTTTTGTTGAAAGACATGTTCATCACACTGTTGGAGTTATGGTTTGGGGTGCTATAGCTTATGGTTCCAGGTCACCTTTAATCTTCATCAGAGGTAACATGAACGCGCAGCGTTATATCCACGAAGTTCTAGAACCCCATCTTTTACCCTATCTTGACACCCTGGCAGATCCAACTTTCCAAAAAGATAATGCCCGACCACATGTTGCAAGAGTCACAATAGACTTCTTTCAACATAATGATGTCACATTGTTACCATGGCCACCAAGATCTCCCGACTTATCCCTAATTGAGCACGTGTGGGATATGATGGGTAGGAGATTGCTCAATTTGCAACGTTCTCCTCAGACTCTAGAAGCACTTCGAGAGGAGTTGGTGGTTGCCTGGAATGAGATACCACAGGAGGACATTGACCACCTGATCAGAAGCATCCACACATTATTAAAGGTCAAAGGGCTTTAAAGCAGTGCAATCATTTTGAAATTTTCATCATTTACTTATTATGCTTCATTAAGTACTTATACAAAATTTTATTAAAATAAAACCATTTAAACTGGGTGTTCGGATTTATATGTCACTTAGTATATTTTAAATTTGTTGTTTTGCTGATCTCGAAACTACCTCATCCGTCTATCCCGTCGTTAATATCTGTTGCAGAAGCACGAAGAGTACGACGTGGCTCTGAGCAAGTACAAAATGGCGGTGAATTATGAACCGGACTCGGTTGCGTTGTGGAACAATATCGGGATGTGCTTTTACGGGAAGCAGAAATACGTGGCGGTAAGTTCCGACCGTTTATAAGGACATTGTTAATGGTTTTAATACACCCCGGAGATTTCCGGAGTTACGAGGCTTTTTAATTGGAATCCACGGCACAATGGGGAGGTTGATGTTTTTGCTTGCGTTTTAAAAGGTTCCATGTAGAGGGTGCCGCAACGTTGCGAATTAAGAAACTTTTTATAATAAGGTATTATTTGCAAATTTGCTGTATACTGGGGGTTTCAGAATTGAGCATAAAAAATTATTGAAACCAAGATGTTTAGCAATCGATGGTAATGCATTATATAGATTGATGGTTTTAGAGGTGAAATAAAGAAGTTTTGTGAAGAGGCATTGTTACAGTGTCAGAGAATTGAATGCTTCTTGAATTGATATACAGGGTGTTTCAGTTTATTGTTGCATAACTTTAAAATTCGATAGAACTTTTAAAATTAATGCATAAAGTCTATATAAACATGGGTCGAAAAATGCGTGGCTTCCGAAATACAGGGTGTTTAAATTTACTTTCTAAAATAGTTTTTTTTAAATATTTCGAACAATATTTGATGTATAACAGTGAAAATTGGTATACAAGGGTTTTTTGCGTTTCCACTTACAAAGCCATACACAAAATGAATATCCGCTAACTCTTGATTGGAGAATAAAAATGGCATTTTTATAAAACTTAAAAAAAACAGGTAAAAGAAACTAAATTTCGTGCATTCACAATTGCAGAAAAACGTTTCAGGTTTCAACAGACAACAAAATTAACTGTCAACTAATTGACGTTTAACCTTATTCTGCTTTCAATTTCAAAAATATTTGCAGGCACAGCCTACTTCTAAAAATTATCGAGATACTGACTTTTTAACGTTATTTTATCATAAATAATTAGAAATGCATCGAACCTTAAAATCGAAATATCTCAAAAACAGCTAACTATAACGAAAATTCACAAGAGAGCTTTTTTATCTTGAAAAGTGCGAAGAATCAGTTTTTTTATTCAAAAAGCAAAAAATTGCACTAAGAAAAAATTTTCGGTCATTTTAATACACTACAGGTACATAGAGAGCGCCCTCTAGCGGCTACAGTAAAACTATGCCCATGGTTTTGTCGTACCAAAAAACCCTTGTATACCAATTTTCACTTTTATACATCAAATATTGTTCGAAATATTAAAAAAAAACTATTTTAGAAAGTAAATTTAAACACCCTGTATTTCGGAAGCCACGCATTTTTCGACCCATGTTTATATAGACTTTATGCATTAATCAATTTTAAAAGTTCTATCGAATCTTAAAGTTATGCAACAATAAATTGAAACACCCTGTATTCACCAGTTATTAATTTATTTTTCAAAAATGAAGGAGTTTGTAAACGTGACATAATAAATGAAGCTTATACAATTTTGAAACATTCAACCAGTTCAGCTGTTCGAAACATGAACTGATAGATATGATAAAAATTTCTTATGTTGAAAATCAAAAATGAATTTTGAATTTTTTGTAGATTTTTAGCTGAAACTGAATCTAGGAATAGATAGTATCTCAAATCACAATGTGTATCTCAAAATCAAGTATTTCTTTATTTGAGTATAGATACCGTAAAATAGTAAAACAATTGTTAGATACTTGATTTACATGAGAAATAAATTTTAGATTACCATCTATGCACAAACCTAAGTTTTTAACCGATTCTTCTATCTGAATAGCATGGCTGTTTAGGATAACGTTCAAATGACTTTTAATATGTTAGAATGCTTTAAATGCGGTTCAAATGACCTTTACTCCACGTATTTTGGGCTGCCAATACCGAATGCGATGTCGTTTCACGCGTATCTGATCCCGTTTATCATTTAGATTTAATTATTTAGCGAAAAATTGCATAACCACGCGTATTTTGAAAAATTAAGGTGCTCACTTGGTGAGGTGGACGGCACGGAACGATAATGCGTCGACAGATGACATGTGATTGACGCGACGGAATGTGGAACTGTAAACGTCATTGTCCAATTTGGATATGAAGTATACGAGGGACGCTCGGTAAACCTCAACCCAAATTACCAAAATGCCGAATTAAATTTGTTCTGGAAAAGTGTGTAATTCATATGAGTGTACGAATGTAAGATAGTGACACACACTTGACAAGATGGATTGTGTGAATTTATATTGAAGATTGTGTGTGAGCAATTTCAATTGACAGGATACGCGTCCACGTGTAGCGGAAGTAGGAGGTTAGAAACTGCATTCCGATTGTTTCCCCAAAATCTCTTCTTCTTGATAGTTTTAACACATAACGATGGTATCTGTCGTTATCGATAAGCCCAATGTTTCCGTCCGATTGTTTTTATCTTTGTAACAAGTGCTCTCATCTCTACGTTCGTTTTGAAACACCATTTGGCTGCAACCTCAACGAAGAGTAAGTTGTTTAACAATTTAAGTCGTTCCTGTATTGGTTGCTAGCATCACAATTGTGTTTTCAGCTCCTGATGAAGGCTCCACAGAGAATCGCCGAAAGCTTGATTTTATCACCAAAAGAGGTAACTAAAGCCTAAAGGTTTGCCAATTTCCCTATATATATATATAGGTGAAAAATTGAAAAATTAAAGCTAGAGAGAATAAAAAAATAAAAAAAGTAAAATAAAAAAAGTATAAAGAGTCCTCCTTGCTTAAATTTTGTCGAAGTACCCAACAAAAGGCGGAAGCTTTAATTTTTCTCCTAACTGGTCTAGACTACAATGACCACGTCTCAAGTTATATATATATATATATATAGGTGAAAAATTAAAGCTTCCGCCTTTTGTTGGGTACTTCGACAAAATTTGAGCAAAGAGGACTCTTTATACTTTTTTTAATTCTCTCTAGCTTTCAATGGACTTTGCCATCATCGTCAGGAGCTGCAATTACAATGATAACAGTAGCAACAAAAGTGTAAAATGAATTTAAATTGAATCAACTTACAGTAGTATGTGAGGATGTTGCTAATTGTTGTTTTCGTATAGGATGAGGGAAACGTTCAGTAACATGGTGAGAGCTGGATACATGGTACAATGGTTAAAATTATATAAAATATGACAAGACAAGTTAAAGACAGATTAAAAATTATTTAGAAAACATTAGAGCATTACGTCGTGAAGCCACTTGATGATTGCACAAAATGGTGGTCATGGAATAATGAGTGAGATGAACCTTTGACAGAAGGCCGAAGGTTGTCAATGTCTGTGTTGAAAGATGGAACGAATTGTAGGCGTGTGCCAAAACGTTGCCAAATCACTTCAGATGATGTGATTTTCAGAATGTTATGTAAGAAATTGTAATAATAAATATGTACCTATATATATATATATAATTTGTTCAAATTGAGGCTATACTGACTAATCCCGGACGTCTACGAAACCAAAGGGAGTGAGCTCTATTGAAGCTTAGTATGTAAGGACGTTGCTTCTGTCATTTCCCATGAATTTTCGTATTGTACGGGCTGTGGCCAGAAGGACTCTTTTCTGTATGATTTTGTAAATATTCTCGTTTAGTTCTGATCTATATCTTTCAGGCCATAAGTTGCTTGAAGAAGGCACTTTGGGCTCAACCGCTGAACTGGCGTATTTTGTACAATTTGAGCATGGCTCATTTGGCAACGAAACAACCGGCTTCAGCGTTCAACTATGCGTGCGCAGCTGTAAATTTGAGACCTAACGTTGCCGACTGTTTTGCTCTACTCGCCTGTAAGTATAGTGTATGGTTTTTGCACTATCAACCTAAGAAATCGGCATTATTTAATACATCATTCCAACGAGGAGTTACATTTCGCTCTCTATGTAGTAGTATTATGTATCCATCGAAGAAAGAGACCAAACTTGAACATATTCACGTATACTCCACGTGATCGTGCTCCGAAGCACGTTACAGGGCCGTACTAAGAATAAATGTTTTGTGATTTGAGCCATTCATCATCGTGATGCTCTAAATTTTGAATAATGCACATCAGTTCATTAGCACGACAGGTCTAACTTTCCTATCAGTGTGCGTGTTTACTTTTTTATGGATATTTTCGATGTGACGATTTAGTGGCTTGACTGAAGCATGATAAAGACCACACGTTTTGCATGTTCGACTTGATAGCCTCAATTTTACAGTCGGACATAAATAATCGTAGGGCATTTGCAGGAAATCTTTGAGTGAAGCACTTAAGCGTAGAGCCAAATTGACTGGAAGATTAAGAAATTGCCCTCCTTCATCCAAAACCAAGTCATCAACTGTTTGTTTTAATTTTACAGGTGGTCGAAGAAACCTATTGTCTAGTAATCTAAATAGGCCACTTCTTGGACGACAGCATTCTGTATTTCTACATTTTACAATTTGAAGCAAGTATTGGCTCTAACGCACATGTTCTGAATACCATTTAATGTCTGAAAAATCAGGAAGATCTTGTTCACCTGCCCCAACATATTTTGCATTAACATTATAGCCAATTTCCATTGAACTCCATACTTCTTCAGCTAATACATTTCCTGCAAATTTGAAATTAGATCTTTCTAAATTTTCATCAATTGTAACGCCACGTTCATCCAAATGAGATCCAAAATGGTCATGAGGCAATATTAAACCAGGCAGTTCCCGACTAAGAGGAGCCATTCTGCGCTCTACTCTGTTATACGCACTTCTTCCAGGAGCATTGGTAGCTAAAAACAATCCATCGTGATCATGTCGCTTAAAGTGTTGTATAGCAAACCCTATGACTTTTTGATAACGTGGATTTTCATCTGGTCCTCCATCAACCGTCATAATTACCACTGGTTTTACTAGTCAATGGTCAGTTTTAGCTAATGGTCGAAACTCCTCAAGTTCGAGAAACGTCTCGAAATTCTGAGCATGGGTATTAGCAGTAGATGAACTATGCTTTCCACTTCGAATAGCGATGTAAGTTGGTCCAGAATATCCAACGGCTTGCGGTTGTCCTAGCATACTGGAAGTGATTTTGATACCAGCATAAACAGATGGTATCAATTTATGACGCTCAGCGATTACCCAATCGTGATCAGGCAATTTGATTCTATATTCCATGTGCATTAGAAGAGATGCTTGCTTATTTGCCGCAGTTACGCCAATAGGGGCTCGAGCTTTATCATCTTGAGATATGAAAAATACTTGATCTGGTCCAAGTATGGATGCTATGTTCTCCAAATAATGGATTGATGTTTCAGCGAACTTGTTATCTAAGTGGCTCTTGTGGTGATCATTTTGAGCCCGAATGAGCTTAACAGGGACTGTCGATACATGTCTTCGTCCCTCTGCAGAATTAGATTTTCTGGGAATCAAACGAAGATATCTCCCACTGCGACTAATGTTAAATCCTATTTTACGTAATTCTTGTGGGAGTTCATCAAGAGTTTTTACGCTGCGAATTGATTCCGTTCATCTTCTATCATCTGCTGTACTCCCAAATAAAGCTATATCCGCGATTGTTTTCAATAGTGAATGTTGATTGCTTTCAAGATTAGGGTGTCCCACTGAACCCCTCAGAGATAGTATTTTTTTATTTCTGGATTTTCATGACAAATATCTTCTTTCTTTTCATACCATCCCTGTGTTTCTTCTGGGCAACTGCGTTTTGAACCTTCCTGTTGAAAGACTGTTTTGCTGTTTTTATTTCCTCGCGCAACTTAATGATCTGTTTATCAACTTCAGCGCGGCTTGGCATAGTATCTCTAGCAGAATACAAAGCATTCAGATTTTTTCGAGTAGAGCAATCTTATTTTTCATAGCTTCCTGAGAAGGTTTTGCTCTCTGTTTATCTGTATTTTCATTAATTTCGCATTGCTGTTGTGATTCATTACCGGGTTTTATTTTATCTTCCACCTCTTTTTTAATATTTGAAGCTGACTGTATAATTTGTGTTTTTTCTGCAGGTTTACAGGTTGCCTAAAAATAAAAACTTTCTATGGCTTCTGCTAAAGATTCTCTTATTAAGCTACATAAATACAAAGTATGTCAATATATATGGCAAATACAAAACCCTATGGCTTTAAATCTAATATGTTTAAACGAGCAATTCGTTCCGGTCACAGAATACAGGGTGTTAGTTTTCTGTATATATGTATAAAAAAAAACATCCTGTACTTTATGACCAATTGACGGAATCAATCATAAGAAATAAATCTATAATATAATGAATATTAACTCTATACTTTGAGATAGGCCATAATATTTTCTAATCAGTAAAGAGAAACTTTTTGGCGATTTCTAATATTTCTAGTACTCACAGGTACCTAAAATGATTTCGTCACTCACCTTAGAAAAAAAAATTAGTAGATTGGATTTATTCTTAGTCGCCGCTTGCAATTCTTCTTCGATTCTCTTAGATACAATAATATCTAGTTCCTTGTCGGATTCTGCTTGTAATTTGTAATTTCGCCACACTTTTGTACATTTTGTACTTTCGTACTTGTATGAGATTTTTTAAAACTTTAAATTTTTGGTATAACTTGGATTTGTCTATGTGAAACGACATCTTATTTAAACATTAAACTTTGGCTAATGGAATCAATGGTAACACAAATGTTAACTTGCTTTACTATGCTTACAATACGTCTACTCGCTATAGTATCCAAACAATACACTGATAGAGGAAATTTAGACAAGTGAACGCCGCGCGGTAATTCCCCTACTCGGTTCTAAAGCGAGTAGGGGAATTACCGCGCGCTGTTCACTAAACGTATGCATTATTCGCGGGAATCCCCGAAAATGCGTTTCGTTTTCAAGCAAAGACAATGTGAGGGTTGCCATTCGTGTAAAAAAGTAAATAACTACTTTATTTAAGTGATCCAATTTTCAGACACGTTGATGGAGCTTCACGATCCTTACAATGCCTCTTTGGCCATGCAGCAAGCGGTACAGAGGTCGCCGTCAGACCCCATTTTGCTCATCAACGCTGCAATCTGTTACTTTGACGCAGGAGAAAGAGACAAGGCTACAGAAATGCTCGCGAAGTTCGAAAATGCCGTGGAGGCTGGCACTGAAGGCACTCAAGAAATCATAGATGTAAGTGATCCATTTTCAAAACAAAAACAAGAGAAAACAATAAAACATGTACGTATATATAAAAGGATATTGATCACAAATAAAAAATCTACACATAAAATAAAGAAAATTGAAGGTTATGCTAGAAACAAGAGAAAACGGTGCACTTCCGGTCTCAACAAATTACAAAGACAAGTGGTCAAAAGAAGCAAGAGTCAAGGCTAAGAGAGTGCTGACCTACTGGGATGATTGTGAAAATAAACCGCTAATGTGTTTGGACTGTTTTAACGAAAAACATCCTGGAACCCTACAGTATATTCAGATAAGAGATAGACCGGACATAAACAAGACCACGTGATCAACGAACGCTGTAACATTCGGCAGGGACGTATTAAGAGTCACGCAGTACATATTTTAGATAGTAGATGCTGCTTTGCGTAACTTTGTAGTAAATTAGCACAATTCGATGTGTATACGATTGGTGATGGATATAGGATCATGTGGGGGTGGGGTAAGAAATATATAATGATGTAAATATACATAAGGGTTTCAAAATTTTCGCTTCGATTTCCAGCTTCGGATGCCGCCTGATGTTTGGTGAAATACAGTGGAATACAATCTCAAAATGGCGTTTAAATTAGCCTAAATTAAAAATAATTGTATATCTCTCAAAATTGCTTTTAGAATATTGATTAGTATATTTTTTGATTTCTAGGTAAATATGTAACCAAATTAAAACGTTCAAAACGTAAAAAAATGTGCATGGTTGAACATTGTCAGAAAGTAGATTCTTGAATAGGTTTTGCCAAAATGGGTTCAAAAATGTCAATAATTAATTAAAAAATACAGTAGCTTTATAATTACTTATAACTTACCGAATTTGATGAACGACATCTTTTATTGGAAAGATGAGCTTGATGAGCTTTCATCATCGCTACTGCCTGAAGCACCAACGTCAATAATGAATGGCTCGACTTGTTCCTCTAAAATATTGTCCAGTTCCCACATTCTCTTTTCAACTTTGTCTTTCACGTGCTTAATACAGTTTTCCCATTTTTGCGCTGTTATTAATTCTAGTGCTTCTTTGAAAAGTCCTTTGAGGTCACAAAATTTAAAAGTTGTATTGTGCTTAGCTATATAATTTTTAACCTCTGCCCATATGAGCTCAATGGGATTGAGCTCGCAATGGTATGGAGGTAAACGGAGCACAGTTTTATTTTGACTTGCTGCCATTTCGTCAATGGCGTATTTTTGATATTCCGCCTTGTGATCCTTGACAATTCTTAATAATTGTACTTTCAGCATTGCTTCTTCAAAGTTGATATTTTTCGAGCGGAGCCAATTTTGAACATCAACTTTCCTTGAAGCCGTTGTTGGGACCTTCTCCATTCTTCGAGAATGATAAGGCGCATTATCTAACACAATTACTGCGTTTTCCTCTAAGTTCGGTAAAATTTTTGAAAACCACTGTTCAAACGATTCGCCATTCATTTCCTCGTGGTAATCTCCAGTTTTCTTAGACTCAAAGCACCACAGACCGTCAACAACAAATCCATCCTCACTGCCAATATGGCAGATAATGAGCCTTTTCCCTTTACCTGGAAATCGAAGTACTAACTGGTGTAGATTTATTTCAATAAGCGAAACTTTTTCAAATGTTTTCATCACATTCAGCGAAAAAACATTGAGACATGAGTATCAGATTGCTATAATTGGGATTATTTAGTCATATTGAAAGAAAGAATATTGAACGTCGTATGATTACTCAGCGCTTCACAATTTAATTTAAAGTTATAAACCTTTAAAAAATGAATGATCAGGAACTTGAAATACGCGCAAATATTAATATTAACAAATTATAACTTTATAAAGCTTAAAGTATGAATTAAAATGATTAGAAATATTAGGAACGGTACACAATATAAAACTTAGTAACTTCTTTTAAGTTTATAATATTCGACATATTTTAAGATTATATTAAAAAATTATTGAAATATCGAAAACACATAAAAACATGGCTTAAAAAAGTTCTAACAAATGAAAATGACAATAAAACATCCACGCATTTTATCGAAAGTTATAAAAGTTTTGTTACTTGAAAATATGTTTTATCTGCCCCCTGGAATTAATGTTTAGAACCTTGTTCCCAAGGTTTGAAAAACATCCGATTGTTGTCTATTACTCGTATTTACCTGCTGGATTTTTTAATCCGGTGGACAGTCCATCTAGAAAGGCCCTCCTGGATGAAGTTACAGAATCATCAACCCATACTTTACTTGTAGTGTGTCCTGCGTTTACCCACGTTTCATCAAGGTAATAAATCTTCCTGTTTTGATTTCTATATTTCCCAATTTTTGTTAAATAATCCCTCCTCCATAGCACAATTTCTTCTCTATCCAGTAGTAAACTATTACGACCCCGTTTTATCCATTTGAAATTTAAATGCTTCAGTAACGCATGGAAAGCTGATTGTTTGAAATTTGGCAACGTTGTATCTCCATTTACCTCCTGCAGTACTTTATCTATAGTAGGTATTTCATTCCTAAAGAAGAATTCATGCACTTTCCTCCTAATCGCATGCTTATCAGCTTCATCCAATGATTTAACAATACTTTTGCGATGTTTACTGGTCATTGGCTCAACAATTTCTTTGATGGTTGATGCCTCGTTCTCCTCGCGCTCGATCTTATATATATTCAAAATGACCTCTTTCATTTCTGCACTCAGGTGTCTTTTTTTAGAGCGTTTCCTAGGTGGACTACAGGAGTTTACAACTTCATCGGCAGTATCTGTACTACTGAGCATTTTGCGCAAGCACTTGATAACAATAACAATCAATAACAAGGTATAACAATAACAACGACAAACTGAACAACTTAATAAGATAACAAACGAAAACGTCCAAAGAAATATCAAATTGCAATGATGCACACGACATACGTAACACGTCTGAACCTGAATGTGACTCTGCCTTGATACGACTGCTCTGCCGCTCGGCATAGGCATTTAATTGCGAATTGACCAATGAGGGCTCCTGTTTTACGTCGAGACGGCGGCGTTAGCGTGAAAATCACCCGAACCTTTTGTTTACATCCGGTCTATCTCTTATCTGAATATACTGTAGTTTCCTAATAATTTTGAGATTTGCAGTTTTTTTTTTTGATTTATTTAAGTTCAACAAAAAGATTTTAAAACGGCAATCAGCGAAGGCTAGTAGACATCTCGTGATGACCTGCTTAACCTAAAAATGTTTCCATCTAAATCTTCAGTTATGGTTTTCGGCTCAACAAAACAAAAGAACATCGGTCTAAACGGAAATTAACCTTAAAATCTATGATGGACTGGCTTCCTAGAATGAGTGAGTGTGACTGGATTGACACAAAACTGACGTACACTCTGTACATCTAAAAATCTTTCGCATGTGAAACCTTGCCCCCGACAAAAATAGAAGCGTATCGGCGAAACTGCTTGCTATGCAGACCATAATCGTTCAAACAGTGATAATGACGTAATAGGCCTGTTAAGACCGACCTTTCAAACTTCCGCTGATGTCTCATTACCGTTATACAACCGAACACATGCCGGACGGTTTCTGCAGTAGTTGTTAAACTTGATTAGCGTCGATCAGACAAAACTTTTGTTACACGGACCTTCGAGACTGCCGTAGCTTCCCAAATAACTTTATCTAAGCAATATGGGATGTTGCCCGTCTTGATATAACTCAAGGATTTTTTTTTTTAGTTTGAAGAAAGGTAGAGGAACGTGTCTGGATAGTAGCTTAGGTATCTAGCATGTCTGAAAATTAAAAAGCTTCAAATGCTATTCAAATGACGTCTGTCGTACGTAGTGAGCGTCGCTAAAACCGTATAGTTGTGTTCACATCAGGATTTTTTATCAAGGGGAAGAGATGGCTTCCAGCAAAATCGAAACAGCTACAAGCCAGCTACAAAACAAACCTGGAGGAGTGTGACTGGTGGTTCTCCACAATGGCTTTCCACTAAGAGGAATCAGATATTGAACAAACTTCTTCAGGACAAGCATTAATGGACATAGTCCGATGGTATACGTATAGAAAAGAGAACGTACCGCTGGAGGTTAAAATCCCATTACAAAATGGACGGATAGTACCCTAACCAACACAACTAAACGTAAGGTAGAAAATAAAAGGGTGCTACTCCATAAACTGGTGTTTGGGGTGTTAATATAAAAAAATCTGGAGTCTAACGAAAAAACGCCCTCACACAACCAAAATCACAGCGGACAGAAAATGGCGCTGGACCGTCCTCGCACGCAACCTCCTAAAAGAAGGTTGAATAAGTGGCCCTGAAGAAGGCACGTTCGACAGAACATCAAAAGGAACAGATAAAAGCCGGTAAAGAAGGTATCTTGATAGGAAGGTAAACATTCATATACGGCTAGTACGTGTGAAAATCACAAGATGGCGCGCTAGTTGCCTATGAACAGACTATAGGCAGAAACAAATCGTGTGAAATTCTACAATCAATAAACTATAAAATTATTTATATAGGAATGGGCACTCTATAATGAATAACTAGAAATTTGGATTACTCATAAGTGGTCAAAATAGTAAAAAGATTTTGGCACGTGACACGGTTTCGGGAGGAATATACTCGATCGCTTCGGTTATATTGTTCTTCAGCTTCTTGGTGGCCAGTTGACATCACCAATTCGAGAAATTGAACGTCCCGGAAATATTGTTCGCAAAAGATTCATTCTTTCCCTAGCTGTGTCACAAGTTGCTCGTCCTGCTGGGGAACCACATGTTTAGCAGTTAAATTGTTGGATTTGAGGAGAATTAGCTGCAGCGTCTTCAAAGACCCCTGCCTACCAAACACCGCACCAAACTTTGACTCGACGAGGATGTAGTGGTCGTTGATGCATGCCACTCTAATGCCCTCCTTATTAATAAATCCGTTCATGTCGAAGTGAGATTCATCGTTCATTATGTAATAGTTCGTGTTCCATCTCATCCCACTTACACCTTTTTCTTCCGATCTCACAATAAGTTTGTTTGACAGGCATTGAACCTCGCCGAGCGGCTGTCATCTCGACTAAAGCCGGAGAAACTTCGTACCGGAAGCGTTGAAGCGGGGATGGCCGATGACAAGCCGGCTTCCGGAAATTCCAGGGAAAATAATCCCGCAAAGGCTGCGCTGCCAAGAGAATTGCAGGAAGATGAAGTTTGAGTTACATTGACCAAAGAAGATAAAATACTTATTGTTTGTACTTTGTTTTTACGTGAATAGACCAATTTTCTGTTGTTTTGTTTTCCTGATCTGTTCTTAAATGACCGTTCTTATGATTGCTAAAAAGCTTGAAACAACGTTGTATGTGGTTGGTTATGGTCGCAGAGCCAAAAAAAGATCCTACCTAGGCTGTGTTTTTTATTTGAAAACATTTCGTTGGTTGTAAATACCGAACTCACAAACCGATCGCTCTGATGCACCTTCAAATAAAGTTTTCTTTTATATCATGAGCAGATTGTGAAAACGTTAAACAGCGTTGATCTCAAGGCAAAAATGTGACTCATGTGAAGGATTTCGTTAATAACCAATCTACGAGGGTTGTGTCAAAAATAGGATTCCCAAATTTTTTTCAGGCTCAAGGAATTTTTTATTTGATAAACCGAATTTATCATTAAGCTATTTTTCTACAGAGTCGACATTTTTTCAACTTATTTTTTTAGACGTGGAATCCACTTTTTCACTGTCAAGGAAGCTCGCTCTGTATGAAATATGTACAAAATAAACATTGGATATGAATGTCTACCACTGTTCCGGTCTCTCAGTATAATAAAAGATATTTTATCTAAAGCGTTGTTTATACGGAAGTAAAATGTGCAATGATTTTAACGAAATACCCAGTACAATCCCCCGAAATCATACATTGGCAGAATGGCCAAGAGAAGGCGCTTCTAAAAATCAACAGAAATGCAGGGTGTCCCATTTAAAAAAATGCAAGTTTATATTACCACTAATTTATGGGACACCCTGTATAGCTAAACATAATTTTAGGTTGTAGACCTTAGCACTGTCTACAACTTTTGTATTTCACTTTTTTCTGCAACTCTAATAGTAACGAAGATATTGAGTTTTGAAATACTATACATATAAATCCGAATACCCAGTTTAAATGGTTTTATTTTAATAAAAGTTGGTGAATGTATTTATCTTACTGTAAATAACAAGTGAAAAAATTTTCAGCCTTATCAGTTGGACATTCCGGTTTTTATACTGCTTTTTTTTTTAATTCACTAACGCTCTAAAAATGAATATTTCAGCCGCAGTAAAGAATCAACGTTGGCGGATTTTGGTTCTTGACATCCTTTACTATCGGTTACGATGCCTAGATTACGGAGACCTGTACGATTTCGTCAAATTAGTGAGTTTGATAGGGGCCGTATAGTGGGACTTCGGGAAGCTGGACTTTCTTTTCGGGCAATTGCAGTTAGAGTGCAAAGAAGTGTAGACACTGTGGTTAGGTGTTGTCAGGCATGGCTTCGAGAAGGCCGTACGCAAAGAGCAAGGGGCACTGGACGCCGCCGTAGAACAACAGACCGTGAAGATCGCCGCCTAAGATTATTGGCCTTAAGGGACCGTTTCTCCACTACCAGGTCCATTGCAAATGAATGGTTTGCAGAACACGGAAGACCTATTGGCATGCGAAGTGTTTACCGACGAATGTGAAGTTTTGGCTTGTTTTCATACCGGCCACACTGGGTCCTCCCTTTAACTCGAGAACACCGACGTTATCGCCTTGAGTGGTGCAGACAACGGTCACTCTGGGATCAGGAATGCAACAGTATTGTCTTTAATGGTTTGGGGTACTATAGCTTATGGTTCAAGGTCACCTTTAATCTTCATCAGAGGTAACATGAACGCGCAGCGTTATATGCACGAAGTTCTAGAACCCCATCTTTTACCCTATCTTGACACCCTGGCAGATCCAACTTTCCAACAAGATAATGCCCGACCACATGTTGCAAGAGTCACAATAGACTTCTTTCAACATAATGATGTCACATTGTTACCATGGCCATCAAGATCTCCCGACTTATCCCCAATTGAGCACGTGTGGGATATGATGGGTAGGAGATTGCTCAATTTGCAACGTCCTCCTCAGACTATAGAAGCACTTCGAGAGGAGTTGGTGGTTGCCTGGAAAGAGATACCACAGGAGGACATTGACCACCTGATCAGAAGCATGCCTAGGCGCGTTGGAGAATGCGTAGCACATCAGGGTGCATCCACACATCATTAAAGGTCAAAGGGCTTTAAAGCAGTGCAATCATTTTGAAATTTTTATGATTCACTTATTATGCTTCATTAAGTACTTATACAAAATTTTATTAAAATAAAACCATTTAAACTGGGTGTTCGGATTTATATGTCACTTAGTATATTTGGACACCATGTATAGAGATGGTATTTTTGGTTGTTGCCACATTGTAAGCTCGGTAAATTTAACTTGGTTCGATACTATACCGAGTGTTCCGTATTTAAATGAAGAAATTCCGTATCTGAAAATACAAAATTTCTAAATTCACTTTTTACGTATATACATGGTTATTTACCTAAAGAGGCAAAATATTCAATATCACATATCTCAGGCACTGTTGAACTAATTTTGTTGAAATTCTGCACGATAGAAAAGTTATCTAGGAGTTACCTGAGACTAGATGGATTTTTTGTTTTCTATCAAAATTATACTCTGAATTTATTATTATTCCACAGAAAAATGGTATACATGAGAAAAAAGAAAAACCGAAACCGACCCTGGAATTTTGAGTTTCCAATACACCTTTAGCTCAATCTTAAGCATTATTTTGTAATTTGTTGATGAAACCAAGTTGATAACTTTTAACATTTTGAGTTTTGTGCCACGTGAACCGCCAAAAACAAGTTATTTTTACTAAAAGGAAATGTTAAACTAAAAGACCAAAAGATGCGCATACAATACAATATTTAGCTGGTTAATTAGCATCATCCATTGGCTTTATTGTACATAGTCAAACATTTCAATATACGGCCTAAATGTTGCTTTGTATAAAAAAAGAATGTGAAAAACCGAGTCCGGACCTGGATTTTGTAATCATCCATCTAGTTTACATTACTCTCACGTAACTTTGTTGTTGTGCAAAATTTTAATAAAATCGCCATCTCAGATGACGAAAAGTATTTCACCTTAAGTAACATAAAGCGAAATTTGCAGATAAAATCCTTGTCTGGTGCGCATTTTCTAACAGTGGTGTATCACAGCCGTTTGTGGGAATAGTGAGGGGTGAAGCTTTGAATAGTCAGAGCTATATCGGTAACTGCCTTTCCAAATTGCTTCAGTTTGCCCACGAACATCATGCTAATGACCGTATCATGTTTTGACCAGACCCAGCATCGTACCATTGCCCAAGAGATACCCAAAACTAGCTTCGACAGCATAACATTATGTTTGAAAAAATAGACAAAAGCTTAGATAAAATAGCTGCATAATTGCGGCCACAGATGCAAGTTAAAGAAAATTCCCTGTATATAAAGTCAGACTGAATGCTGAGCAAGGTTAACTGACACAAAATAAATTTTTGATTATTGCTTTTCAAGAAGAAAATTTCCAATCTATCTACATTAATAATAGATTCAAAAATGGCATACATATGGTAGAATATGATTGGTACCTAACTGGTTGGAATTGACAGTCCTCTTCTTTGCAAATGATCAAAATAAACATTTGTTGTTAATGAACCTTTTTCTTTAAATATTAGCGATTTGCATATCTCGCAGTTTACGTTTTTAGAGATAGCGTGTGAAGCATATCCAGATATATAAGTCTTAGTACTATCCTCTATGTCACAATTGGCTAAGTAATTTGTCTCTAATACTTCATTGAATATATCCAAAACTTCAGGATTTTGTTTGGTATCAAAATTTTCTTGAGTTTCTAAGCAGTTTTGGAACCTTGTTTTAATTTCTGCTAAAGAAAATGACGATTTCTTTTCATTGAAAATATGCTTCAGCCGTATTTTCTTTTCAGCATTTAAAATTTCATCATATGACACATTGTAATTGCAGCCACATAAAAGTCTATAATTGTCAAATCGTTTTTCTAAATTATCAGTGGTGAATTTTCCAGGCAATACATACTCAATGTCAAATTGATTAAATGAATATTCAATTATATTAAATAGAGTCAGCGTGCTTTGATATAGAGCTGTATACGTTTCTGGTGTCAGGTGTCCATTATTATTCTCTAGATTATGCCATTTTTCTAAGCATATCAGGAATTTTTTTAAAAATTGTACTCTATAATCATATTTATCGGTAATAGGCTTACAAAATTCGTTTCGCTTCAATTCTCCTTTTATTACACTTGTATTACTGACAATATCCCACCAATTCCTGATTATTTCCAAAAAGTGTGCAGCATCATTAAACTTTAATTCTTTCATAGCAGCTATTGTTGAGTGATGGATGGATTATGTTTTCTCAGCGTTTTGAGCACGAGTTGCGTCGATGCAGCAAGCAGCGGCGGGAGTAACACTACCACCTACGTTGCCAGATTTCTTTGTTCACGGCTCGTAGTTGACGTCGGCTGTGGTTCGATCAATAGAGAATTTTTGGGCTTTACTGGCTAGGAAAGTTTATCATGGAGGCTGGGAAGCCCAAGATGAAGAACCATTCCTACCGCTATTTAAGTACGAAACGCCCAGTATTCGTATCATCACATTTTCACACATTAACCTTACTGCAACTACCTATCTCTGTTTACACAATCGACATTCGGGTGTACCGCAAAAGATCAATTCACCTTGAGACAATCACCAATTAGACATCGTTCCACGCTGAACCGCCACCGAAGCGTCTGTTTTCCATTTAATTAGAAGACTCTCTCCGTATATATCACCTTCAGTCCCCCTTCTCCTAATCAAAGTGAATCCAATTAGTTCTGTGCTCTGCCTTGAAGAACACCCTTCCCCCATTGTTAGATTGTTCTCTATGAAGCTATTAACTGTGTTCATTGGTGGGGCGATGTTTACGTACTGGGATTCGGGCTAATTGTTTGGAGTTTAGACGTTCGTTATGATTATGATGTTATTTTGTTGGGTCGCCCACCAATAGGGTGTCCCAGTGTCCCAGTCTATGAAGTTTTATAATCCAAAGCAACTTGATTATTATGTTATAAAAATGTTTTGTCATCATGGCACAACCAACACAAGATATATGAGGATATGTTGTATTTATAATATGCCAAGCAG